GGAACTATGGCCCTTTTATGAGTTGTGGACTTCAACTCCCAGATTTCCTGAGCCAGAATGGAAGTTGAAGTCCACAACTCATAAAGGGGCCCATCTGTGCCCTAGAAGGACATACACCAAGAGCCTTGGTAGTACAGTGGTCTAAAGCACCCTGTTATTAAGACCAGCTGCCTGCAATTACTGCAGGTTTGAATCTCGCCAGGCTCAAGGTTGACTCAGCCTTCCATCCTTTCTAAGGTAGGTAAATTGAGGACCCCGTTTGTGGGGGCAATAAGCTGACTTTGTATAAATAGACAAAAAGGATGAAGGCTATTGCTTAGCGCATTGTAAGCCGCCCTGAGTCTCCGGAGAAGATTATATCCGGAGATATAAATCAAATTAAAAAAAAAAAACATGATACATTGGTGAGCTGCTTTGGTTGCCATTTTGTTTCTGGGTTCAGTTCAAGCTGCTGGTTTTGAGCCTTAAAGTTCTACATCAGGGGTGTCAAACTCAAGGCCCGCAGGCCACATAGAGGCCTACAGGGATGCTTAAATCTGGCCTGCGGGGCCGGACTGGAAATAGCAAAGGATCGGCCTGTGGGGCCTTTGACAGCCACAACAGGGTGGGGGGGCACACACAGCTGGGCAATGCTTTCAGGCTGTTTTCAGGCTGTTTTTCAGGCCGTTTTTGGACTGAAAATGGCCTGTTTTTTGGCTGTTTTCAGGCCATTTTTCCAGCCGAAAACGGCCTGAAAAACAGCCTAAAAAATGACCTGGAAATAACAAAGGAATGGTCCGAGATGCCTCTGGCAACCACAACAGGGTGCGGGAGCGGGGGCACACACTACGTGGTGAGGCCGTTTTCAGGCCATTTTTCAGGCTGTTTTTGGACTTGAAAACAGCCTGAAAAACGGCCTGGTTTTTTTTGGCTGTTTTTTTCCAGCCAAAAACAGCCTGAAAAACAGCCTGGAAATAGCAAAGGACCGGCCCGCGGTGCCTCTGGCAACCACAATAGGGTGCAGGGGGGGGGCACACACAGCTGCGTCATGCCCCGTTTTTGGCCTGGATGGCATCCTGCAGCACTTTGCCGGTCAAAACAGGATGCAGGGCAGGGGTGGGTTCTACTTACCTTTACTACCGGTTCGCAACGGGATTGTGTTGGAAGCTGAATGGGGAAGCTTCTGCGAATGCGCAGATCGCTGATGATGACATCCTGGGGTGGTGGGTGAGTCCTCCCGCCAGTTTTACTACCGGTTCTTGCAAACCGATCCAAACTGGGGGGAAAACCACCACTGGTGCGGGGGGGGGGGCCACACGCGGCTGTGCCCCATTTTCAGCATGGATGGTCTCTGGCAGCACTTTGCCAGCCAAAATGGGGCGCGTTTATAACCACGTCTGTCCTGTCTCCCTGCCCCCCTTCCCCCCAGCTGGCCCACAGAGAAGAACTACAATGCTGATCCAGCCCTCGAAGAAATCCAGTTTGACACCCCTGTTCTACGTGGTTATTTGAGGGTCTGCCTCTAAACTTGGTCCTAAACTTGGAATCATTCATTTAATGACCATTCAAAGTTACAATAGCACTGAAAAAAGTGACCGGTTTTCACACTTATGACCACAGGTGGGTTTCAGCAGGTTCTGATCAGTTCTGGAGAAACGGTAACGGAAATGTTGAGTAGTTCGGAGAACAGGTAAATACCATCTCTGACTGGCCCCGCCCCATGTATTCTCTGCCTCCCGAGTCCCAGCTGATCAGGAGGAAATGGGGATTTTGCAGTAACCTTCCCCTGCCACGCCCACCAAGCCACACCCACCAAGCCATGCCATGCCCACCAAGCCACACCCACAGAACCAGTAGTAAAAATTTTGGAAACCCACCACTGCTCATGACCATTGCAGCATCCCCACGCACACAAAATCAGAATTTGGACGCTTGACAACTGGCAAGTATTTATGACGGTTTCAGTGTCCCGGAGTCATAGAACTACTTTTTGTGACTTTCTGGCAAGGAAAGCCAATGAGGAAGCCAGATTCAGTTTACGACTATGTTACTAACTTAATAAAGTACTTCACTTAACAACTGGGTCAAAAAAAAGAGGTCGCAAAATGGGGCTAAATTCATTTTACAACGATCTCGCTTAGCAACAGAAATTCTGGGTTCAATAGCGGTCGTAAGTCGAGGAATACCTGCCCATCTCTCTGTCCCCATGAGGTCTGGCAGGAGAGGCGTGTTGCTGGTCCCACTGGCTAACGAGTTCCATCTGAGAAGACACAAGAAGTTTTTCTACTTATAAACCTTCAGCGTAAGTTTGAATCTGCTCCAAAAATGGACATTTTTTCTCTAATCTTACATCCCAACAAAGCTCTTTTGCTGTTTTCAGAAGCTTAATGCATCCAGAGACATTCTTGTACATAAAAATAAGCAGGGTGCTTATTTTCCTAAATCTAAAACAATTTAAAGTAAATTTACATTTAAAAAAATGTCTTAAAAGCTTTAAAAATCAGGACAAAGGTAATCAGGACAAAGGTAAAAACGAATACCAAACCTTTCTAGTCTCTTTCCTTAATCTGTTTATTTTGCCTGAAGATGAAGCCACTTTGGGAATTTAGCTGGTTTGGTATTTTCAATGGGAGATTAAGTATTGTTTAATCATTTCTCCACTCCAAAAAGAGTCCAGATACCACTGCAGCATCTCTTGAGGTTCACCCAGCACCCACATACTGTACGTCTGACAGCAAAGATTTTCCATCAGAAAGATGGAAGTTGAGAATTCAGAAGTTTGGATCCTGCTTTGCAGCCTGAGATTTGTTCTAGAGGAGGTGTGGCTTTAATAGCATTAGGTCACATTTCAGTGTTTTCAGTCAACTTCTCCTTTCTCTCGTTTTGTCTTATCTTTTCTCTTTCAACATTTTAAAACCAGCTGATTTTTAAAGGCAGTATCTCTGCCCTCCAGCTTCAAGGACCGTGCTAATCCGTTCAACAAACAACTGAATTGTACTGTGAAAAACCTAGCTTTTCGCCCCATGCACTGAAGATAAGATTGGAGAATTGCACATTAGACACTTGTCATGGTGCTAGGCTTTTGTTATTTTTAATGGTTTAATGCGTTTAGTTTTATGGTTTTAATATGGATTTTTGTATGTTGTCATAACTTTTGATTGGGACTGGCCCAGAATTGGTGGCATAAATGAGAAAAGAAGGAAGCAAGCAAGCAAGCAAGGAAGGAAGGAAAGAAGGAGATAGGGAGGAGACAGGAAAGAGAAAGGCAGGAAGAATATAGGAAGGGAGGGAGGGAGGGAGGAAGGAGACAGGAAAGGAAGGAGATAGGAAAGTGAAAGGCAGGAAGAGTATGGGAAGTAAGTAAATAAGGAAGGAAGGAAGAATATAGGAAAGAAGGAAGGAAGGAAGGAAGGAAGGAAGGAAGGAAGGAAGGAAGGAAGGAATTATAACCTTCACTCACACCCACATCAGCTCCCCCCAGCCTCCCCCTTGGCAGGCAAGTCACCCGAGTCAAAAAAACTCGCCCTTTCCTTAATTGCAGGGGAAACATGCCGAAACTCCAACCTACCACTGCAGAATTCCAGTGATGCCAGATTCCACCCTTTTATTTTATTTATTTCTTTATTATTTATTTTGTCACATTTCTATGCCGCCCAACTCCCAACTGGACTCTTTTGAGCTGGAGTAAGCTTCAACATCGGGCCTTTCTTTCTTTCTTTCTTTCAAATCTGCAACTATGCAAAGTGGGGCAAAGAAGAAGCAAATGGCGTCAGAGCGGGGAAAGAGGGAGAGAAAGAGAGAGAGAAAGAAAGAAAGAGGATGTGAGAGAGAAATAGAGAGAGAGAGAGAAAGAGGGAGAACATGAGAAAAAGGGAGAGAGAGAAAGAGGGAGAGAGAAAGAGGGAGAGAATGAGAAAAGGGGAGAGAGAAAGAGGGGAAGAGAGAGAGAAAGAGAAAGGGGGAGAAAGAGAAGGAGAATGAGAAAGAGGGAGAGGGAGAGAAAAAAGGAGAGAGAAAGAGGGGAGAGAGAGAGGGAAAAAGAAAGACAAAGGGAGGGAGAGAGAAAGAGGGAGAGAATAAGGGAGAGAGGGAAAGAGGGGAAGAGAGAAAGAGGGAGAAAGAGAATGAGAGAAAGAAAGAGAGAAAGAGAGAGAGAAAGAGGGGGAGAGAGAAAGAGGAAGAGAGGGAGAGAATGAGAAAAAGGGAGAGAGAGAGAAAGAGGGAGAAAGAGAATGAGAAAGAGGGAGAGAAAGAGGGAGGAGAGAGAAAAAGAGGGAGAGAAAGGGAGAGCGGGAGAGAATGAGAAGAAGGGAGAGGGAGAGAAAAAGGGAGAGAGAAAGAGGGGAGAGAGAAAGAGGGGAGAGAGAGAGGGAGAGAGAGAGAAAGAGGGAAAAAGAGAATGAGAAAAAGGGAGAGAGAAAGAGGGAGGAGAGAGAAAAAGAGGGAGAGAAAGGGAGAGAGAAAGAGGGACAGAGGGAGAATAAGAAAAAGGGAGAGAGAGAAAGAGGGGAAGAGAGAGAGAAAGAGGGAGAGAATGAGAAAAAGGGAGAGAGAGAAAGAGGGGAAGAGAGAGGGAAAGAGGGAGAAAGAGGGAGAAAGAGAATGAGAAAGAGGGAGAGAGAAAGAAGGAGGAGAGAGAAAAAGAGGGAGAGAGGGAGAGAGGGAGAAAAAGGGAGATTAAGAAAGAGGGGAAGAGAGAGAAAGAAGGAGAGAATGAGAAAAAGGGAGAGAGAGAGAAAGAAAGAGGGAGAAAGAGAACGAGGGAAAGAAAGAGAGAAAGAGAATGAGAAAGAGGGAGAGAGAATGAGGGAGAGAATGAGAAAAAAAGAGAGAGAGAGAGAGAGAGAGAGAGAAAAAAGAGGGCGAGAGGTCAGGACGACACGGGACCTCCCCACCAGCTGATCCAGGCTGAGCTCATTCCGAGGAGGCGCCCGGCCCACTTGGGAAAGCGAAAGTGAGCACCGGGGGAGGAAAGCGCCGCTCCGTTTCCCGGCTTTCCTCCGCCCCTCGGAGCCGGGAGGTGGCCGTTTGCAGGAGGCGGAGGAGGCGGCTCCGGCGCTCTCTCGGGCTGGGCATCTGGGCGCTCTCCTCCCTCTCTGTCTCTCTCGGGCCTCCTGGCGACTCCTGGGCTCCCTCCCGCAGCGATGAAGCGCTTCTGCCTTGTCACGCTGGGCTTGGTGGCGCCGGCCTTCCTCATCGCCGGCATCGCCCTCCTGGCGGCCCACATCATGGAGAACCTGGTGGACGGCCAGATCAAGGAGGTGAGGAGCGGCGAGAGGCGCGCATCTGCCCCGGGCTGCTTTGGGTGGAGAGGCTCCCTGGCACCCGCTCCTGTGCCACCCACCGTGCCACCCACAGATCCTGGGGCTTAAGGAAGGCTTGCACCGACTCCTTTGGTGCCAGGGGGCTGGAGGCTTCCTTCCCAACCCCCTGGCACCCATCCTGTGCCTGCTCGTGCCACAGATCGTGGCACTTAAGGAACGGTTGCATCGGTTGCATCGTCTCCTTTAGGTGCAGTGGGTTCCTTCCCAGTTCCCTGGCACCCATCCTGTGCCCGCTCGTGCCACAGATCGTGGCGCTTAAGGAACAGTTGCATCATCTCCTTTAGGTGCGGTGGGTTCCTTCCCAGTTCCCTGGCACCTCTCCTGTGCCCGCCCGGGCCACACACAGATCGTGGGGCTTAAGGAACTCTTGCACCGTCTCCTTTGGTGCCAGGGGGCTGGAGGCTTCCTTTACGGTCCTCTGGCACCCATCCTGGGGCTGCCCATGCCACACACAGATCGTGGGGCTTAAGGAACTCTTGCACCGTCTCCTTTGGTGCCAGTGGGCTGGAGGCTTCCTTCCCAACCCCCTGGCACCCATCCTGTGCCCGCTCGTGGCACTTAAGGAACGGTTGCACCGTCTCCTTTAGGTGCAGTGGGTTCCTTCCCAGTTCCCTGGCTCCTCTCCTGTGCCCACCCGTGCCACACACAGATCGTGGGGCTTAAGGAACTCTTGCACCGTCTCCTTTGGTGCCAGGGGGCTGGAGGCTTCCTTCCCAACCCCCCCTGGCACCCATCCTGTGCCCACTCGTGGCGCTTAAGGAACGGTTGCATCGTCTCCTTTAGGTGCAGTGGGTTCCTTCCCAGTTCCCTGGCACCTCTCCTGTGCCCGCCCGTGTCACACATGGATCGTGGGGCTTAAGGAAGGTTTGCACCATCTCCTTTAGGTGCAGTGGGTTCCTTCCCAACCCCCTGGCACCCATCCTGTGCCCGCTCGTGCCACAGATCGTGGCACTTAAGGAACGGTTGCATCGTCTCCTTTAGGTGCAGTGGGTTCCTTCCCAGTCCCCTGGCACCCATCCTGTGCCCACTCGTGCCACAGATCGTGGCCCTTAAGGAACTGTTGCATCGTCTCTTTTAGGTGTAGAGGCTTCCTTCCCTGCCCCCTGGCACCCCTCCTGTGCCCGCCCGTGCCAAAAATCATGGCTCTTAAGGAACGGTTGCATTTATCTCCTTTGGTGCCAGGAGGCTGGAAGCCTCCTTTCCGGTCCTCTGGCACCCATCCTGGGGCTGCCCGTGCCACAAATCGTGGCTGGGGCACTTGATCCAGGCCCTGAGCTCCACGCCCTGCCCTGCACGATCCCGACAGATGTGTATCCAGCGCCTGGATGGAAGCCACCCCCCCCCTACGGGCGGGGTGGGGCCCTTCCTAATCCTTTGCCCCGTGCATTTCTCGATCAGCTTATCTCCCCTTAAGGGTTGCACGCTTGCAAAGACTGAAAAGGCAGCTGAACTTGTGAATGCGGGTTTTTATTTTTTTTATTTTTTTTTAAATCGATGCGCCTCTCCAGAAGTGAGAAAGGCAAAGGGAAGGGTATCCAAGCAGCTGTTTGGGAGGGAAGCCCATGCCATCGGATGAACGGTTAGGGAAAGAGTGAGACAAGAGCTGGGTTTAGCCTCGGCACAAGCAAAGTGCCCAAGCAAAGTGCCGTATAATGAGCAGTTGCAGTAAATAGCCCGGCCTTGAGATTGTGAAACAGGCTCCAAAGATTGAATGGTTTAAATTAAGGTATGGGAAAATCCAGGTAGGCAATCAAGAATATCCTGGAGTTGTGTTTAGCTTTGTTCAAAACAAAGTCTAGAATGTGTAGTTTCAGGGGTAAACGTGCCTGACTTGCCCACACAGATCTTAGCAATTTGTGACGAGAAATTAAAAAACTACGACAACAACAACTTGGGTGCAGTTCTGGAGTTAATTGTCTGCCTCATCCATGATAGAATAGAATAGAATAACAAGAGTTGGAAGGGACCTTGGAGGTCTTCTAGTCCAACCCCCTGCCCAGGCAGGAAACCCTACACCACTTCAGACAAACGGGTATCTAACATCTTCTTAAAAACTTCCAGTGTTGGAGCATTCACAACTTCTGGAGGCAAGTCGTTCCACTGATTCATTGTTCTCACTGTCAGGAAATTCCTCCTTAGTTCTAAGTTGCTTCTCTCCTTGATTGGTTTCCACCCATTGCTTCTTCTCCTACCCTCAGGTGCTTTGGAGCAGGGGTCACCAATCTTTCGGACCTCAGGGACCACTAAATTCATAATTTTAAATCCCACGGACCACTAATATGCCTTTTTAAAAAGATAAATAGTATTTAGCGCAATATAAAAACGCAAATAATTTTTCTGCGGAGCACCAAAACTTTCTCACGGACCACCGGTGGTCCGCGGACTACTGGTTGGTGATCTCTGCTTTGGAGAATAGCTTGACTCCCTCTTCTTTGTGGCAACCCCTGAGATATTGGAAGACTGCTATCATGTCTCCCTTAGTCCTTCTTTTCATTCATGATATGACTTCCTTTATTAAATCAGGCCATAATGATGTTTTACTTTAAGCGAAGAGTGGCAGAGAGCTTTCCAGAAATGTAACCTTGTACAATAAATTCACAAAACTAGAAACTTGATTTTCTCCCGAGATTGTAAACTACGAGTTATGTTTGCATTGCCGTGGCTGAACCGACACAAAATTGGGAAGGGCTTCTGCCCCCCCACTTCCAGCAATGTCTGTTTTAGTTGACATCTCAGCCTACAGGGAAGCCACCAATGGCTGAGTTTCCAATTCCAATCGGATGTCGTAATTAGTTTTTGAATGCTCCGTTGTATGGAGCAGTGGTCACCAACTGGTGGTCCGTGGACCGCTGGTGGTCCGTGAGAAAATTTTGGTGGTCCGCAGAAAAATTATTTGTATTTTTAATACTGCACTAAATCAGGGGTTCTCAAATTACGCCCCCTGGGACGGATACGTGCAATGAATGCTTGTGTTGCTGCAGAGAGTCTCCCCCTTCGGGGTTTCTTTCTGTGGGTCGGAGGGGGGCAGAAATTACGACTTGGGGTCTGCTTCGGCCTCCTGGTGTGGGGCTTTGGGGGAAGGCTGGAGGGAAGCGCTGCTGGTGGCGAAGAGCCGGAGGGCCTCGTTCCAGTGGGACTGCATCATGGCCTGGAACTGGCTGACCATCCCAGCCCGCTGAGCCTCCAGGTGCCGGTACCTGGCCTTGCACTCCCGCAGGTCTTCCCTCTGCTTGGAAAGCCTATGCTCCTAGTCCTCAGTGAGGTGCTTCTGCTGAGCCTCCTTCTCGGCCAGATCCAATTTGAACTGAGCTGTTTTGCCAACTTTTTCTCGTGGGGGCTGCTTAGCTCCAACAACTGCTTCCTGTTGGGGCCCTAAGGAGCCCAGGCGGGCAGGCAAGGAGTAGCGAGTGGCAAGGCGCCCCTCGACGTGTCATCAAGTTGGCCACGCCCACCCAGTCACATGACCACCTAACCACGGCCACCCAGCCGATCATTAGGCAGATCATATTAGTGGTCCGCAGGATTTAAAATTATGAACTTAGTGGTCCCTGAGGTCCGAAAGGTTGGTGACCCCTGATATGGAGCACATGCAGAAAATTAAAGTATCTAGAAGAAAAAGAAAAACTTATTTCCAATAGAAGAGGGTTGAATTGTGGGGGCCTTGATGCTCGCTGAGCTTGGCTGTTTTCTTGAAGACATTTCATGACTCAGCTGGGTTACATCATCAGTGTTAGTAGGCAGTGTGGTTTGCTCTCTTGACAAATGTATCTTTTCTTTTATGTACTCAGAGAGCGTATGCACCAAGACAAATTCCTTGTGTGTCCAATCACACTTGGCCAATGAAGAATTCTATTCTATTCTATTCTATTCTATTCTATTCTATTCTATTCTATTCTATTCTATGTGGATAAAAATCAATGATTTTTTTAAAAAAAAATCAAAAAAATCAGATTTTTTTATTTAAATCGGATTTTTTTGATTTTTATCGAATTTATTTTAATAAAAAACTTTTGGGGTAAAAATCTATCATAAGATAGTTTTCTATCTAAGATACATAAATAATTTAGTTTATTCAGCATGAAATGGAGCTTAGTTATGTAGCATGAGGCTGTATATTCTGCAACACTGGGACTATCGGTGAGTCAACAGCGGGTCAAAAGAGTAGCAGAGATGACAGTTGCTCTTTAAAAATTATGATTTAAATCGAGTTGATTTAAATCAATCCTTTTTACTAGTGATTTAAATCATGATTTAAATTGTGATTTAAATCAACTCGATTTAAATCAAATCCACCCTGCTATTCTATTCTATTCTATTCTATTCTATTCTATTCTATTCTATTCTCTCATTTTATACACAAGTGGCTTGGCCTGTTAATGTTGATGGGAGTGAATTTGGTAAATTCCTTGATTGGGTTGTTATAGTTTTCTGACAAATAACCTAACAGTAATTAACAGCCCAGTCAAGGAATTACCAAGTCCATTCCTACCTACACCAGCAGGGGAAACCATTACTATATAAAACGATCAAATGTCCTAACCGTACTCCCTTACTAGCACTGATGAAGTTATCTAGTTTGGTAATGAAACGTCTGCAAAAAAAAAAACCAACCAAGCTCAGAGAGCACCAAGGACCCCACAAACCCTAGTGAGGTTTGTGCATAGAGTCACAATTTGTAGTTTTCATAAATCTCTTTTCTAACTGCTGCAATTGAGCGCGGGAGTCCTAGAAATATGGATATTATCAAAATGATAGCAGCGTTCCAAAATCTGAGGTGCTTTGAAGAATAGGCACAAAGAAGAGGGGCACAAAGAAGTGGGGATCAACCTATTCCTCAAAGCACCAGAAGCAGAACAAGAAGCAATGGATGGAAACTAATCAAGGAGAGAAGCAACCTAGAACTAAGGAGAAATTTCCTGACATTGAGAACAATTAACCAGTGGAACAACTTGCCTCCAGAAGTTGTGGATGCTCCATCACTGGAGGGTTTTTTTAAAGAAGAGATAGCATAACTATTTGTCTGAAACGGTATAGGGCCGTGATGGTGAACCTATGGCACGCGTGCCACAGGTGGCACGCATAGCCATATCTGTGGGCACGCCAGCTCAGCTCTGGCACACAGGTGCGTGCCGGCCACCTGATTTTCAGGCCTTTTGGGCCCACCAGAAGTAGGGAAACAGGCTGTTTTCTGCCTCCGGAGGGCCTGGGGGTAGGTGGGGAAGGCTGTTTTCACCCTCCCCAGATGCATAGAGAGGATCTGGAGCCAGGTGACAAAAAAAAAAAACGGGCCAGGAGCAAGGGAGGAGGGGGGGTTTGGGTGCGCATGCGCAGGGCGGGACGCATAGAATTATGGGTATGGGCACGCACGTGCGTGCGTGAACCTCCCCACCCCACCCCCTTCCTGGCACACGATGGCAAAAAGGTTAGCCATCATTGGTATAGGGATTCCTGCTTGAGCAGAGGGTTGGACTAGAAGACCTCCAAGGTCCCTTCCAACTTTGTTATTCTTGTCTTCATGTACAATGGTATGCTCTGCTTTTGCTAGAAGTCCATTTTTTTCATCTTTTTTCTGTTTGCCTTTTCTTCTTTAGGGAACGATCTTAAAAAATAATTCGGAAGCTCTTAAATTCTGGGCGAACCCTCCAATACCCCTTCTCCTGCAGGTCTATTTTTTTAACTTGACCAATCCTTTAGAAGTGCTTCAAGGGGAAAACCCTATTGTCAAGGAAGTTGGCCCCTACACCTATAGGTAAGGTAACTTGCTTAATTTTCAACCTTTCCCCCCTCCCCATGTTTTATTTGTTTTATTTATATATCATTCAATTTTCATCCAACTGTACGGTCTGGGTACAATTATGTTTAAATAGTGATAATACAAAACTTTATTATAATATTGATAATGTAATGACATAATAATATGATAACAATAATATTTAACATCATCTTCTTTAGCAACTCTCCACGTTAACATTTCCTCTTTTTATATCTCCTCCTTTCTAACTTCTGTTTCCGTTGTCTAACCATTGATAGAATATGTGCCATATCGAAACAATATTCAGTTTCTTCCAGGGTGGATTTGATTTAAATCGAGTCGATTTAAATCATGATTTAAATCATGATTTAAATCACTAGTAAAAAGACTTGATTTAAATCAACTCGATTTAAATCATAATTTTTAAAGAGCAACTGTCATCTCTGCTACTCCTTTGACCCGCTGTTGACTCACCGATAGTCCCAGTGTTGCAGAAAATACAGCCTCGTGCTACATAACTAAGCTCCATTTCATGCTGAATAAACTAAATTATTTATGTATCTTAAATAGAAAACTATCTTACGATAGATTTTTACCCCAAAAGTTTTTTATTAAAATAAATTCAATAAAAATCAGAAAAATCCGATTTAAATAAAAAAAATCCGATTTAAATCAAAAAAATCTGATTTTTTTGATTTTTTTAAAAAAATCATTGATTTTTATCCACCCTGGTTTCCTAATAATAATAATAATAATAATAATAATAATAATAATAATAACTACTTTATTGTCATTGTACGTGTATACACAATATACCCGTACAACGAAATTCACCTAACACCCAAAGACCAGGTCCAACACCCATAACAATCCCCAAACACACTCCCACCCACCACAATTTCCCACTCTTAAACCACCCAAACATCCACACAACAGACCAAGAAATGCTGTCCAACAGCTCACTGATGGTGGCCCTTTAGTTCATTGTTGAGTGCAATTATAGCTCTGGGATAAAAACTCTTCAGAAAACGTGTGTTTTAATTGTTTTGTATTTTTTTTAGTTTTAAATTGTTGAAATTGTTTTAATTGTTCTGTATCTTCTGCCAGAAGGCAAGATATTATTTATCTTTAATAACAAGCGTTCGTCTATCCATTTCCGCACATGGTTATATTTTCTTAATTACGTTCCCCTCAGACGGAATCTCATCGTTTTTCCATTGTTGCGCAAACACAATTCTAGTTGCGGCTAATATACGCAAGATCAAATATGTAGTCTTTTTTTTATCATTTTCACTTCCTTTTCAACCTTATACCGGGTATATTTAGTAGAGAAGATTTCCAAGGAAAAATTCCCAGGAAGGAAAGGAAAATTTTGGAAGTAGTTGTGAGCTTCCGTTTCCCAAAGAAAAGAGCTTGCTATTTGCAGTAGACTGTAGAGGTGGGATTTGTAAAAGGCATGTTTCTAGCCCTCATGAATGTATGTGGTGAAGTTGCAGGGAATAGATTGTGGAGAATATCCCTCAACTAAGGGAGAGCATCACGATCATGAGCTCCGCTTTAATACAACACTGGTGAGACCACACTTGAAATACTGCATCCAGTTATGGTCACTGCAATACGAAAAATATGCTGAAATGCCTAGAAAGTGTACAGAGAAGAGCCAACAAAGAAGATCGGGACTAGAAGCTAAACTGTATCATGAATGGTTGAAGGAGCTAGGTATCTATTGAAGAGAAGGATTAAGGGAGAATGGAATGGGATGGGATGGGATGGGATGGGATGGGATGGGATGGGATGGGATGGGATAGGATAGGATAGGATAGGATAGGATAGGATAGGATAGGATAGGATAGGATAGGATAGGATAGGATAGGATAGGATAGGATAGGATAGGATAGGATAGGATAGGATAGGATAGGATAGGATAGGATAGGATAGGATAGAATAGAATAGAATAGAATTTTGTCACTTTAAATCAGTGTTTCTCAACCTTGGCAATTTTGAAGATGTGTGGACTTCAACTCCCAGAATTCCCCAGCCAGCAACAGCAGTTGCTGGCTTTGAATTCTGGGAGTTGAAGTCCACACATCTTCAAAGTTGCCAAGGTTGAGAAACACTGCTTTAAATGGACACTAATCAGCATACATTAAAATGAAATTTTGTTGCATTCAGCTCTCAAAAGATAACATTTATGCATATACCCACATACACACACACATATATGACACAGAGAAACATCACAGTCTAGTTGTAGAATGTATACATATACATGATGAAGAAAAAGAATCCGGCAAGTTTGCCAGAATCTAGCAAACCGGCTAGAAATACTTCGAAACCTTCTTCCAGAGGGGAGCAACAGAAACAGGCCGTGAAAAGGGTGTGTGGGGTCTCTAACTTTGCTTCGAACTCTAAGCATATGGTACTTATAAGCAATATCCTGAATAATAGGAATTGAGCTTCCTATAATCTTCTCTGCTGTCCTCACCACTCTCTGTATGGACTTTCTATCTGAGGCGCTGCTGCCACCAAACCAAAAACAGGGATGCAGTTTGTTAAAACGCTCTCAATTGTGCCTTTGTAAAAAGTGGTCAGGACAGAAGGAGAAAGATATGCTCTCCTCATCTCAACAGCTGTTTGACTGGGATAGTATAAGATCTCCTGCCAGGGATTAGATGACTTCTGAGGTTCCTTCAAGCTCTATGATTTTAGGTTCTAATATTCTGGACTAGATTCTAGAGCTGTGATGGCTCAGTGGTTAGAGTGCAGTATTGCAGGCTAAATCACTGCTCACTGCCAGCAGTTTGATCCTGACCGGCTCAAGGTTGACTCAGCCTTCCATCCTTCCGAGATTTTTAAAATGAGGACCCAGATTGTTGGGGGCAAGATGCTGACTATAAACCGCTTACAGAGGGGTGTAAAGCACTATGAAGTGGTATATAGAATAGAATAACAGAGTTGGAAGGGACCTTGGAGGTCTTCTAGTCCAACCCCCTGCTTAGGCAGGAAACCCCACACCACTTCAGACAAATGGTTATCCAACATCTTAAAAACTTCCAGTGTTGGAGCATTCACAACTTCTGGAGGCAAGTTGTTCCACTGGTTAATTGTTCTCACTTCCTCCCTGGAGATTCCACCACATAACATAAAAATGTGAGATTGGGTCTTATATTAATTTTTGCTCCATGGGACTCATTAGGGCTCATTTTCCAGTTAGGTCTTATTTTCAGAGAAATAGGGTACTAAAATGTGTCCGTCTGGCCGATGAGCTTATTTTGGGAGCAGGGCTTATATTACTACACTTCAGACAAATCTCTTCTTCCAATCTCTTCTTAAAAACTTCCAGTGTTGGAGCATTCACAACTTCTGGTGGCAAGTTGTTCCACTGATTAATTGTTCTCACTGTCAGGAAATTTCTCCTTAGTTCTAAGTTGCTTCTCTCCTCAATTAGTTTCCACCCATTGCTTCTTGTCTTGCCCTCAGGTGCTTTGGAGAATAGTTTGACTCCCTCTTCTTTGTGGCAGCCCCTGAGATATTGGAAGACTGCTATCATGTCTCCCCTAGTCCTTCTCTTCATTAAACTAGACATACCCAGTTCCTGCAACCGTTCTTCATACGTTTTAGCCTCCACTCCCGTAATCATCTTTGTTGCTCTTCTCTGCACTCTTTCTAGAGTCTCCACATGTTTTTTACATCCTGGTGCCCAGAACTGAATGCAGTATTCCAAGTGTGGCCTTACCAAGGCATTATAAAGTGGTATTAACACTTCACGTGATCTTGATTCTATCCCTCTGTTGATGCAGCGTAGAACTTGTTGACTTTTTTGGCAGCTGCTGCACACGGCTGGCTCATATTTAAATGGTTGTCCACCGGGACTCCAAGATCCCTCTTACAGTTGCTACTATTGAGCAAGGTAGCACCTATACTGTACCTGTATGCTTTGTTTTTCCTGCCTAAATGTAGGACCTTCCTTTTTTTCACCATTGAAGTCTCTAAGTCTCCTGCCCGCCCACCGATTCAACCCTCTTTCCATTCTGCATTGCCAAGCAGGCATTCCCAAGCCCGATTGAATATTAGAATATTCCAACCACGAATATTTTTTTGCAATCTCTCCCGTGCTTAGATGGCAGTTTCCTCAGGCCTGGGAATCAGGGATCTTTGCCTCTCGTTGGTTTCAGCCTGCGTGCTTTGCAATATGTCGCAATATGCATTGTGAATTAATGTGGCGGTTCCTTGCGAATAAGTCGTAACCTCCAGATGCAAATCAAGGGCGTGTGTTATGTGTTTGTAATGTGTTGGTTGCGCTCAGGTTGAGGTCACGGATTGTGTGGCTGGTTTGTTTGTAGCTCAGTTTGTTTCGCAGAGCTGGTCATCTAGGTTCGTAAACCATGGATTATAGTTTAGCACAGGAGAATATGCTCCGTCCCATATTTGGGTCACAGGTGAGGATCAGTGGTGGGATTCAAAACTTTTTACTACCTAGTGGTGGGTTGCCCCCGGTTCTATAGAACCGGTAGTAAAACCGGTGGGAGGCTCCGCCCACTGACCCTGACGTCATCGCGAGCGTGATCCCGTTGCGAACTGGTAGTAAAGGTAAGTAGAACCCACCCCTGTTACTACCAGTTATGTGGGCGTGGCTTGGTGGGCGTGGCATGGCTTGGTGGGCGTGGCAGGGGAAGGATTCTGTAAAATCTCCCTTCCCTCCACTCCAGGGGAAGGTTACTGCAAAATCCCCATTTCCTCCTGATCAGCTGGGACATGGGAGGCAGAGAATAGATGGGGGCGGGGCCGTCAGAGGTGGTTTTTACCAGTTCTCCGAACTACTCAAAACCGCTACTGGTTCTCCAGAACTGGTCAGAACCTATTAAATACCAACTCCGGTGAGGATGTGTTTTCAGCACTCGTCTCCCCCCCTCCCGTCATACAGGTAGTCCTCGGCTTACAACAGTTCATTTAGTGGCCGTTCAAAGTTACAACTGGAAAAAAGCGACTTATGACTGTTTTTCACACTTACGACCGTTACAGCATCCCCATGTTCACATGATCAAAATTCAGATGCTTGGTAGCTGACCCTTATTTATGACGGTTGCAGTGTCCAGGGGGGTCATGTGATTCCCCCTTTTGCAGCCTTCTGACAAGCAAAGTCCATGGGAAATCCGGATTCACTTAACAACCACATTACTCCCTTAACAAATGCAATGATTCGCTTAACCACTCTGGCAAGGAAGGTTGTAAAATGGGGCAAACTCACTTTACAAATGTTTTCCTTAGCAACATAAATGTTGGGCTCATTTGCGGTCGCAACTCGAGGATTACCTGTATACAACAGACCAAGCTTCCTGAGATCACGCTGCCAAAATTTAGCTGGAAAATGATGAACTACAGGTAGACCTCAACTTACGACCACAAATTTTCTGTTGCTAAGTGAGACGTTGGTTAAGTGAGTTTCGTCCCATTTTAGGACCTTTCTTTAGGACCTTTTTAGGACCATTGTTAAGTGAATCCCTGCAGTTGTTAAGAGAGTAACATAGTTGTTAAATGAATCTGGCTTCCCCATTGACTTTGCTTGTCAGAAGGTCGCAAAAGGGGATAGCATGACCCTGGGACACAGCAACCGTCATAAGTACGAGTCAGTTGCCAAGCATCTGAATTTTGAACACATGACCACGGGGATGCCGTACCAGTCGTATGTGAAAAACGATCATAAAATCCCTTTTTTCAGTGCCATTGTAACTTCGAACGGTCACTAACTGAACTGTAGAGAACTGTCTGTAGAATGTTATTGTTCACAGTAGGGCAGGGGTGTAAAACTCAAAGCCCGGGGGCCGGATCCATCCCACAGTGATGGGGTGCTTAGAACTGACCCGCAGGGCCACCCTGGAAACAGCAAAGGACCGTCCAGCAGTGCCTCTGTCAGCAAAAATTGGCTCCCCGAGCTCCGTTTTTGGCTGGGACGGCCTCTTGCAACCCTCTACCAGCGAAAACAGAGCTCGGGAGGCAGTGGTGAAATCCTCCGCGGGTTGCTACCAGTTCGCTGCCTGTGCATGCGCAGTATACGCCAAATGCATGCTGCGCACCAAACGCGTGCTTTGCATGGAAAAAGGAGCCATTTGAAGGTAAGTAGAACAGCGAGGGGCGGGGAGACAGCTGTGCCGCATGATTTAGATTTGCTAGAAAACAGGATTTCCTGTTCTCTAGCGAATATAAATCGCGCGGCACAGCTGATCGTCGGAAATACCGGTTCAGACGAACCAGTAGCCTTTATTACTAGCGGTTCTCCCGAACCGGTGCGAACCGGTAGCATTTCACCCCTGTCAGGAGGGCCACTGGCAGAGGGTTGCAGGAGGCCGTCGTAGCCAAAAACGGAGCTCGGGAGCCTGTTTTCACTGGCAAAGCGCTCGGGCCACCATAGGCGCCCCCGAGACGAGTGACGTCGAACTGGCCACACACCCCACACCTCCCGAGGTCAAACCCAACCCTGATGCGGCCCTCAATGAAATCGAGCTCGTCCGTGTAGTAGGGCATTGCTTTTTAGTATTGCTTCAGCTTCTGCTCATCTCAGGTTATCTGCTGGAAGGAAAGAGCAAATAATTCTATTAGAGACTTGACTAAATCCGTAAGGGTTCTCCAGTTCAGCGGTCTAATTTAAGGCAGCTTTGTCTGCTGGACATCTGTGCAAATTTTCTCCAGGTACAGGACACCAATGCCAGCTAAAAAGACACGATGACCAGTTGCAATTGCGAAAGCTTTTTAAGCCGGAGGTCAAGAATCTTCTTTTGTGGACTTTTCCCTACCTTTTTCGGTTATCCTGGTTTGCTCTGACTTGCCAAGACAGAATGAGCCTGAATTTCAATAGAAAATGCAGGGAACTGAAGTTCCCTTTGTATTTGCAAGCTGAAATAGTTCTTTATGTAGCTTCTTTTTTTTTTTTTTGGCTTGGGCTGCTTTTGCTGGGCCGAAAGCTGAGATGACTGCAAGTCTTTGTCAAGTAAAATTGCCTTCGTTAGCTATGTAAAATAGATAAACAGGAACAATTTTGCTGTATTTGCTGGCTCTTTTTTTTTTTCCTTTTAATCTTTTCTTTTCTTTTCTTTTCTTTTTTTTTGCCTAGCAAAAGATTTGGATGGGGAGAATAAACCCATCCGGAATCTCACGAACGGTGATAATTTCCTCTGCAAATTTCCGAATTTGAACCCAGCATTGTTTTTCCTTCTTTTGGAAAACTTGGCCAGGAAGCTACATTTTTTTACAATGATGTTGTGTTCAGAGGAAGTGCCTGGGCTTGTTAGCAGTTGTATTTTATTTGCAAAGTTGAGCAGAGATTTTTTTTAAAAAATGCAGGTGACCTCTGCAGCAACTTCAAGACTCCCCTTTTATTCTTATGGATTTATTAGATTTTTTTAATGCTGCCTTTATTACTTTTACAAGTAACTTAAGGCAGCACTCATACATAATACTCCTTCCTCCTATTTTCCCCACAACAACCCTGTGAGGTTGGTTGGGCTGAGAGAGAGAGGCACTGGCCCAAAGTCACCCATCCAGCTTTCATGTTTAAGGCGGGAGTACAACTCAGAGTCCCCTGGTGATTGGCCCAAAGTCACCATCTGCCTTTCATGCCCAAGGCGGGAATAGAACTTACCGTCTCCTGGTGATTGGTCCAAAGTCACCATCCTCCTTTCATGCCTAAGGCGGGAATAGAACTCACCATCTCCTGGTGATTGGCCCAAATCAAATGGCCAAGTTTGAGATACGCTAATTTAAAGCAAAGCATAGAGATAGAATTTGCAGAGAAAACCTTAACCTTGACTTTCCTTAAGATTTTATATGATTTTAGTTTGGAAAACGTTGGCGGTAGAAAACTGCATTTTTCTCTTGCTCTTTTTTTTGTCAGGGAGTGGAAATCTCGACGGGACATACACATTCTGGAGAACGGCTCAAAAGTGTCTTCTTTTCAGCCAACCACTTATTATTTTGTGCCAGAGCTGTCCGTGGGTGACCCAGAAGTGGATCGGATCCGGACAGTCAACTTGCCCGCAGTGGTAAGTCTTGAGATTTACTGGGTAGCAAAATAAGGGGGGAAAAAAAAGAATTTCTGTGATCTATTGGGTTGACATAGAATAGAATAGAATAGAATAGAATAGAATAGAATAGAATAGAATAGTCTTCCACTTAGGACCGCCATTGAGCCCAAAATTTCTGTTGTGACGCAAGACAGTTGTTAAGGGAGTTGTGCCCCATTTTACGACCTTCGTTGCCAAAGTTGTTGAGTGAAGCACTGCAGTGGTTAAGTTTGTAACATGGGTTGTTACAGTAAGTGTTACTTTTTTTTCCTCTCAGTGATAACGGAAAAATACAGGTAGGCCTCGACTTACGACCACAATTGAGCCCAACATTTCCGTTGCTAAGTGAGAGTTGTTGAGTTTTGCCCCATTTTATGTTCTTGCCGCAGTTGTTAAGTGAAGCACTGCAGTTGTTAAGTTAGTAACCCGGTTGTTAAGTGAATCTGGCTTCCCCATTGAATCTGCTTGGCAGAAGATCACGGAAGAGTATCACATGATCCCTGGGCACTATAACCGTCATAAGTATGAATCAGTTGCCAAATGCCTGAACTTTGGTCACGTGACTGTGAGGACGTTGCAACGGTTGTAAGTGTGAAACACGGTCGTATGTCACTTTTTTTCAGCGCCGTTGCAACTTTAAACAGTCCCTAAATGAACGATTGTAAATTGGGGATTACCATGAACCAATAAATGCCTCTTGTGACAGATAACAATTTCATAATAATGAAAAGTCTTAACGTGTCTTTTTTTCTTCCTTCCTATCAGACGGCCATGAATATGGCTCGGAGGACGCCTTTCCGTTTTCCTGCAGAACTGTTGCTGCTGGCCTACGAAGAAGACATGTTCACCATCCATACAGTTGACGAGATTTTATGGGGATACACGGATAAGTTTCTGAAGGCGGTACACAAGTTTTTCCCCGGCGTCGATCCGGTTTTCGGCTATTTTAAACAGGTAAAATGTTTGTCGCCAAGGGTAAATTGGCTACCCTTCTCGTGTCTTTAACAGGGACACGGTGGCTCGGTGGCTAAGACGCTGAGTTTGTCGATCGAAAGGTCGGCAGTTCAGCGGTTCGAGTCCCTAGTGCCGCGTAACGGGGTGAGCTCCCGTGACTTGTCCCAGCTTCTGCCAACCTAGCAGTTCGAAAGCACGTAAAAAATGCAAGTAGAAAAATAGGGGCCACCTTTGGTGGGAAGATAACAGCGTTATCCATGCACCTTTGGCGTTTAGTCATGCTGGCCACATTTTCGGACAGCGCTGGCTCTTCTGCTTTGAAACAGAGATGAGCACCGCCCCCTAGAGTTTGGAACGACTAGCACGTATGTGCGAGGAGAATCTTTACCTTTACCTCGTGTCTTTGCTTTTAGTTAGTGCATGTTTTCCTTCACCGGCGGCCTGCTCGCCCGCCGCTTGCGGCCTGGTTCCAAACGGGCTGCAGCCCACTAGTGTTCCGGGGGTTGGGGGACTCCTGCAATACAGCTTGATATTCTTTTTTTCCTTCCTCAGCTTTCCATCGAAGTCCTGTGCTACCTTGCAAGTATGGAAATGCTTATCTAGGCAGTCTTGGGTGCTGCTGATGAATATTGCTTGAGGATTGTTACCCCTGCTGTTTTTTAAACAGGACAGCAATTAAAATATGCTGCGCTTGTCCAATATCCTATAGACTCCAATGTCTCCTGGATATTCTGCTTATTACCATCTCATTATGGCTCCCTGTCTCTTTTAAATGAGAATAATCAACAGCGGCCCTTTCAAAGAGCTGATTGCCACTGTCTTATTTTTCTCGGATTTTTTTTATTTATTTTATTTTATTTTATTTTATTTTTTGCTCTTAAGAGGGCAGGGGAAAAAAAGGCAATTGACAAGGTTGCCAGTCTCTTTTCGGCACAGGATGTATTGTGGAGAAGCAAAATAAAGTCGATGCATTAGGCTTCCAGGAGGTTTATGACAATTATAAGAGTTTAAAATAAAACAACAATTTCCACTGGAGAGAAAATTAGTCTTGAGGCCCAGTTCTGTGAAAACAATCGGACCAGCCACTTGCGGGGCTCCGTATCACTCTAGAGCAGTGTTTCCCAAACTTGACCCTTTGAAGATGTATGGACTTCAACTCCCAGAATTCCTCAACCAGGCATACTATTCCTCAACCAGGCATACTGGCTGGGGAATTCTGGGAGTTGAAGTCCATGCATCTTAAAATAGCCAAGTTTGGGAAACACTGCTCTAGAGCAGGGGTGTCAAACTCGATTTCGTTGAGGGTTGCATTAGGGTTGTTTTTGACCTCGGGGCTGGGGTGGGCGTGGCCGGGGTGGGCGGGGCCATCTTGACATTACTCATGTTGGGTGTGCCTATGGCGGTCCGAGCACTCTGCCAATGAAAATGGGCTCCCAAGCTCCGTTTTTGGCTGCGACGGCCTCCTGCAACCCTCTGCCAGCAAAAACAGCTCGGAAGGGCTGCCTGCGGCCTTCCCAAGCTCCGTTTTCTCTGGCAAGTCTGCTCCTTCGTTGTTTATAGGGCAGCCCCGCAGGCCAGATCTAAGCACCCCGTGGGCTGGATCCGGCCCCCGGCCCTTGAGTTTGACACCCCTGCTCTAGAGTCTCCAGACTCATTGGCAAAACCATGACCTCAGGACCTTGTGAAAGAATATCAAAAGTGAGGACCGATCTTATCTCCTCAGGGATGTGGTTTCAAAGGGAGGGAGCCACCACAGAGAAGGCCCTTCTTCCTGCTCCCACTAGATGGGCCTCCTTAAGAGATGGGATTCGTAACGTTCCCTGCCTCCTCGCTCTGGTGTGTCAGGTAGATAAAACCTGGGAAAAGACAGTCCTTCAGATAACTTGGTTTATGGTTTTATCCAAGCCATATAGAGCTTTGAAGCCATATAGAGTTTTGAAGGTGACCTGAATTGGTCCCGGAAGCAAAATATATGGGGGAGGTGGTCCCTGCCACTCCTTCCAAGCATCACATAGTGGTCTTAGTTTCCTCCTTCACCTGGGCAAAGATGCTTACCAATAAATCCTTTGCTTTGAGTTCCCCAGCTTTAGATGAGCTAGAATTGTCTGGGACCACTCTGTGAGAATACAGATTGTGCTTCAGGTGGATTTTTTATTTGACAGGCTGCAAATTTCCCCTTTTTTAAAAACAAAGTTAATTAAAAAAAAAAACAGCGCAAGAAGAATGACTCCCGTCTGTGGAGAACTCCGAATGTTAATATTTGCTCCTCCTTGTAATAGGAAGAGGCATCAAATAAAGACTTAGCGTGTAGAAGAAAAGTCGGCAGAGCTAGAGGGTGGAGTAAAACATGTCATTAGTTTAGAGCCCTTGAGTTACCACAAGAGATCCCAAACCAGCCCTCCTTGAATTCCATTGATCCCTTATCCGGCGCCAATTTAATGCTGGCCATTTAGTTAGCCAGATTCTTGTATATAGGCTTCAATTTATTTTTATTTATTTATTTTATTTCCAATTTATATACCGCCCTTCTCCCTGAGGACTCAGGGCAGTGTGCAGCCAGAATTAAGAACATGAAATACAAATATTAAAAACAATTAATATATATATATAAATTTGGCCCAAAAATTAAAAATCACAAACCAATTAAAACATTTAAAAATTTCTTCTTAAGCCAGCCCAGCTTGCTGGAAAAAGTGGGTTTTAAGGGCACGGCGGAAGGCACTGAGGTCTTGGATTCTCCTTATCTCTGGGGGCAGCTGATTCCAGAGGGTAGGTGCCCCCACGGAGAAGGCCCTCCCCCTGGGGGTCACCAGCCTACATTGTTTGGCTGATGGCACCCTGAGGAGGCCCTCTCTGTGGGAGCGCACGGGTCGATGGGAGGTCGTCGGTAGCAGCAGGCGGTCTCGAAGATAGCTAGGCCCTATGCCATGGAGCGCTTTAAAGGTGATGACCAACACCTTGAAGCGCACCCGGAAGACCACCGGGAGCCAGTGCAGCTCGCGCAGGAGCGGTGTTACATGGGAGCGCCATGCTGCTCCCGTCACTACCCGTGCTGCTGCATTCTGGACCAGTTGGAGCCTCTGGGTGCTCTTCAAGGGGAGCCCCATGTAGAGAGAGTTGCAGTAGTCAAGGCGAGAGGTGACAAGGGCGTGAGTGACTGTGCACAGGGAATCCCGATCAAGGAAGGGCCGCAACTGGCGAATCAGGCGAACCTGACAAAAGGTCCCCCTGGTTACAGCCGTCAGATGTTCCTCCAAGGACATTAAATCATTAATGCTACCACCTACACGAATCATGCTGATTCTTTGCGTCTAAAATGTGTACAGTTTTATTCCCATTTGGAACCATTGCTGCCGAAAGTAAAAATCCTTTCTTGCTTGGTTTTTTTTTTTTCTCTTCTCTATATAGATGAACGCGACAGATGATGGTGAATATCTCATGTTGACTGGAGAAAATAACTACCTGGACTTCACAAGAGTAATTGAATGGAATGGCAAAGAGTAATGTTTGTTCCTTCTTTTTTTTTTTCCTTCTTTACTGGTGTCCTTTTATCTCTGTGGCAGTACAACATTGTAATTCTCGCCTTACCTTTTAATTCATTCATTTGATTTTTATCCCATCTTCATTGTTCTTTCTAAATAACTCAAGGGGCGGGGGGGATATCTCTAATACTCCTTTCCTCCTCCTGTTTTCTCCATGACAACAATCCTATGAGGTAGATTGAGCTGAGAAGAGTGACTGCCCCAATGTTACCTAGCTATTTTTCAGGCCTAAGGCAGGACTAGAACTCACTGTCTCCTAGTGATTGGCTCAAAGTCATCCAGCTGTTGTGGCCCGCCAGCGGCCTGTGTGGATCGTGGCTGATCCCGATGAGGAGGCTGGTGTGGGGTTGTGCCAGCAGCCGGCGCAGGACAGCGAGGAGGCTGAAGAGGATGTGGTGCCAGAGGCAGAGACTCAGCCAGGGCCTTCAGAACCTCCAGAGGCTCCTTCAAGTGAAGAGAGTGAAGTGGAGGAGCCTCTCCTCAATGCTCGGGCACGCAGGGCTGCCAAAAGGCAGGAGTGGCTACTCAGGAGGAGGAGGTCTCCTCGAGAGTAAGGCTTGGGGTTAAGTGGCCACTCCCTTAGCCTATTTAAGTTCGCACACAGATAGTAAACTTTGCTGGAAACAACGTGTAATTATTACAGAGCATTTTTGAAGAGCGAGTGTCTTATCGTATCTTGTTTTCTGGGCTGGTTGCCAACCTTTGCCGGACTTTGTTTATTCTTGGTATGTTATAACTTTGATAAGGACCGTTGGTGTGTGTCACAATCCTTGGGAATCCGGAGCTGGGGCAGAACACCAGCCAGCTTTCATGTCTAAGGTGGAACTAGAATTCACAGTCTTCTGGTGACTGGCCCAAAGTCACCCAGTTGCCTACCATCCCCCAAAGTCACCCAGCTGGCATTCATGCCTAAAGTGGAACTAGAACTCACAGTCTCCTGGTTTCTAGGCCCAGCCCTATAACCCATTGATCAAACCTCCTATTCTAAAAAAGATCCATTACATCCAATGGATTTCCCTGTCCTTCCCAAACGTTCTTAATAGTTTGAATTTTTTAAAAAAAGTTTTGGGTACTGCTGTTCAGGGTCCATGGGCTAAACCTCCCTTCTTCAGCTTCAATCTTGATAAGAATTTAAGAATTACAGTAGTGGCCAAAATTGTAGAAACCTTTTGGGAAAAGTGTATTTTTGAGGGGTGGTGGCTAATAACACCACTTTTTTTTTTTTTTCGAGTTTCAAGATAATCCTATTCCACTGCTGGAATGGCCTGGGAATAGCCCAGACCTTCACCCAGTTGGAAATCTATGGAGCCGACTAAAGAAACTTGTTAATCAGAAGCGACCCAGCAATAAAACCCAGTTAATAGAAGCCATCATTCAATCTTGGTTTCACCTTATAAGAGCTGCAGATCTAAAAGAGCTGCAGACCACTTCCCATGGTTCATTCCATGGGAAGACATTGTAAGGCGGTAATTCATGCTAAAGGTTACCCAACGAAGTATTCACTGACCTGGTGATAATTTTTGCATATCTCGTTTTTTCTACGTGTTTCACTTTTCTTCTTTATACTGTAACTGCTATTCTAATAGCAAATCCTTCATAAAAGTTATTACATTACATTCCTGATTAAATTATCTTTCCATGGATATATAATTTTATGGTACTACTCCCCCCAAAAGTGATGTAATTAGCTAGTTCTAGAAAATACACTTTTCCCAAAAGGTTTCCACAATTTTGGCCACTACCGTACTTCTTCCTCGGTGCCTCTGATTTAAGTACAGAAAAAGAAGGAAGATGCTTCAAGGAACGTGGCCTCTTTATCTTTTGGCAAGTTGGGTTTCGGGAAAACCCCATAATCACAATTAAGAAAGAAGGTGGCTTGGGAAAGAATTTATTCTGAGTGGGTTTGTATTAGGGATTGCCGGTGTTTTATTTTTCCCTGTCTTGGAAAACCTCAAGTCTGTAATTAAATCACAGACTTTGCTTTCACAAGATATTGTCTGGTCTGGGGTTGTTTTGAAAGAATCAAGACAGTTCTGTGGAGAAATATCAGATCCTGGATAAAAGAGGCCTTTTGATCTTGATTTCCCAGCAGGAAAATCTCTTGATGTTGTAAAACTAATCCTTGATTCCTTCTGATCTCTTCTTGTGACAGCAAGCTAGATTGGTGGACGACACCCAGCTGTAACATGATCAATGGAACAGACGGCGGGACATTCCACGCACTGCTCACCAAAGATGAAACGCTCTATATCTTCTCTACAGATTTCTGCAGGTAAGACCAGCAGCACAGGGATTTGGTTGCAGAAACAATCTTGGCACACGAGATTGCCCTGTTTAGCATTCAGGTTCCTGTACAGCGTTGTAGAGAGGTCAGCCACAGTGTGTCCATGTGCTTCATTGATTTTGAAAAAGCATTTGATAGAATAAGACACAGCAAACTTATTACAAATCCCGAAGCAAGTGGGACGAGATGACAAAGGCATCCGAATTATAAAGACTCTCTCTATATATTTTTTAATTTGATTTATATGCCGCCCTTCTCCGGAGACTCAGGGCGGCTTACAATGCGTTAAGCAATAGCCTTCATCCTTTTGTATATTTATACAAAGTCAGCTTATTGCCCCCACAAACTGGGTCCTCATTTCACCTACCTTAGAAAGGATGGAAGGCTGAGTCAACCTTGAGCCTTGAAGAGATTCGAACCAGCAGTAAATTGCAGGCAGCTGTGTTAATAACAGGGTGCTTAGACCACTGTACTATCAAGGCTCTTTGGCATCAGGTAGCAAACGTGAGATTAGGTCAAAAATACTCAGATACACTGGTGAAATCCTTTTTTTTTTTTTTTTTTGCTACCGGTTCTGTGGGTGTGGCTTGGTGGGCGTGGCTTGGTGGGCGTGGCAGGGGAAGGATACTGCAAAATCTCCATTCCCGCCCCACTCCAGGGGAAGGATACTGCAAAATCTCCATGCTCACCCCACCCCTGGATGGCCTATGGAACTCCCAGTGTCAAATTTCGTACTACGATAAAAGATTTTACCCATCTTGGTCTACAGGTAATCCTCGATTTACAACAGTTTAGTTCAGTGACCATTTGAACTTACAACGACACAGAAAGAGAGGGACTTAATGACCGTGTCAGGTTTCGATGTCATCTCAAATAAATTGCACTCCCAAACAATTAATCTTTGCTGAAATATTCCATTGAAATATTCATCTTCTCATTGGCCATCTTCCAAGTCAGTCTCCCCAGCTTCTGACCTCACCCCACAGGAATGTCTCCCCTCCCATCCCATCTCCTAGGGGATATTATCTACAGAGAAAATAAGTAGGTGAAAAATCAAGCCTCATCTCCTCCTTTTTATGGCAGCATCAGAATGCTGACATCCCGTTTTTCACACTTAGGACTGTTGCAGCATCCCCATGATCACAGGAACAAAATTCAGACACACTTAGCAACTGACTTGTATTTATGACAGTATATGATTGTATTAGTGACGTGAGCCCCTTTTGCGATCTTCTAACAAGCGAAGTCTACGGGGAAGCCAGATTCACTTAACAACCGTGTGACTAATTTGGAACAGCTGCAGTGATTCACTTAACAAAAGTGGCAAGAAAGGTCGTAAAATGGGGCAAAACTCACTTAGGGCTGGGGTGAGTGGGTGTCATGTGACTGGTGAAAGTGACTGACATCGAGTTGGCCACGCCCACCCAGGTTTTGTGGCTCCCGGTGTTTTCTTTTCTGTGGGAAATGGATCCAAATGGCTCTTTGAGTGTTTTGGCACGTAGCGCCATCTCTGTGGGCATGCAAGCTGTCGCCCCAGTTCAGCTCTTCCGAGCATGTGCGCATGTTTCCCTCCAGCCAGCTGGTCGTCAGATCTCTGCCACACATGGGGAAGGGGGCGTGGCGCACATGTGCATGGGGTATGCGCACATTGCATTTGGGGGGGGGTTCGGCGCATGCGCATTGGGCACTCAGTCTGGAAAAGGTTAGCCACCACTGCACCAGCATATAAAAATAAGAGCAAACCCCATTCCCTTTTAGCATTGACAATGATAACCTAGTTTGGTAATGCAACATCTGCAAGAAAACCACCAAGCTCGGCAAGCACCGAGGACCCCTCAAGCCATTGTGGCTTGAGCCCTGGTGGCGCAGCAAACTAAAGTACTGTTAAGTAGCACCAGCTGCCTGCAATTACTGCAAGTTCAAATCTCACCAGGCTCAAGGTTGACTCAGCCTTCCATCCTTCCGAGGTAGGTAAAATGAGGACCCGGATTGTGGGGGCAATAAGCTGACTTTGTATAAAATAGAACACCGCTTAACGGGGGCCCGAAAGCCCTACTAAGCAGGTATATTCAAAAGTATGAAGGCTATTGCTTAACGCATTGTAAGCCGCCCTGAGTCTCTGGAAAAGGGCGGCATATAAATCGAACCAATAAATAAATAAATAAATAAAACATGATACACTTAGGGCCTTGCGTGCACTCAACCGAAAACAAACTTCATATGGTGTGTCAAATCTGGGTTATCTCTGCAAATGTACATGCCGTAACCAAAGCAGACTTTATATATTATTTTGTTCTTTTTCCAGATCCATATATCTAACTTTCGAGGAAGAATTAACCGTTTTGGGAATTCCAACTTACCGGTTTACACCTCCCTTGGCAATCTTTGCCAATTCCTCGGTTAATCCAGATAACGCTGGCTTTTGTGTCCCTGCCGGGCACTGTGTGGGGTCTGGAATCCTGAATGTCACACTTTGCAAACAAGGTAAGTGAGTCACAAACCGAACCAAAGTGCTTTTAACAGGTAGTCCTCAATTTGCGACTTGGAGCAGAGAAGTTCTGTCGTACGTCATTGTCTTATAAGCCATGGTGGTTAGAAGGCAGTACTGCAGGCTACTTCTGCTGATCACCGGCTGCCAGCAGTTTGGCAGATCGAATCTCACCAGGCTCAAGGTTGACTCAGCCTTCCACCCTTCCTTCCAATTATAAAGCTTCCAACTTTATAATTGCCAGAATTACAGAATTTTGGATAGTAAATGGTGGCCTGATTTTTAACAGATGGATGAGCACGATAGCATGAATTGACAACATGCTGCATTTGAAAAACAATTCTGAAATCCGGTTGTGTGCATGGGAGGTATTGTAAAAATACGTGGGTCCCTCCTTATTTGTTTGTTTTTAACCGTTTTCTTGTTATTGTTGTTGCTGTTGTTGTTACAGGGGCCCCGATATTCTTATCGCTCCCACATTTCTTCCATGCTGATGATAAGTACGTCAAGTCGGTGGACGGCATGCACCCAAATAAACAGAAGCACGACACATTTCTCGATATTAACCCAGTAAGTCTCTTGTTTCTGTCGACCTCAAAATCTTCTACAGGTAGTCCTCTACCTACGACCGCCATCGAGTCCAAATGTTTCTGTTGCTAAGCAAGATGGTCGTTGAGTGAGTTTTGCCCCGTTTTATGACCTTTCTCGCCACGGTTGTTGTTAAGTGAACCACTGCAAATGTTACATTAATAATACAATTCTTTCAGTGAATGCGGCTTTCTCATTGACTTTGCTTGTCAGAAGGTCGCAAAAAATGGACATAAGGTCTTCATTGTTCGGTGCTGTTGTAACTTTGGACGGTTGTAAGTCGAGGACTACCCGTACTAGATTTGGACTGGATTGGTAAAGCGATGATAATGGCTGAAAAAATACGTTTGATTTTTAAGTGAAAGCACACTTGCTTTTCCCTTTCAGCTGACAGGAGTTGTGGTGCGAGCGAACAAACGAATGCAAATCAATGTTTTTGTTGAAACGATACCTGAATTTATGTAAGTATTGGAGGAAGAACCCGGCTGTGTTTTAGCTGTGTGTATATATATATACATATATATTCATTCCATTAAGCGGGAGAATAATGCATGTACTAATGGAACAATAATGTATGTAAAAACGAAAGGAATCTTATACATGCAAATCATGCATTGGCATATTTAAACAGCGAGAAAGATATTCAGCAGAAAAACCAGTTTACAAAATCAACAAGTGGTTTGGTTTCAGCGTCTCTCTTTACAGTCTGAGCTCAGCAAAACGGGCAGCCAAAATCAAATCAGTTAGTATGAAAAAATGATTTCGATAAATAAATAAGATGGTCAAATAGGGTTTGATGCTGTCGCAGTGAATTTGGCCACCGGGTAAGTCGATATTTCCAACCTCGGCAATTTTAAGGTGGTTCGCTAAATTAATCTCCACTTCTGAGGAAAAATACGTTTAAAATGGGGCTGGAGATCTCAACCTCATCCTTCTCTGGAAATATTCTAGCATTATGTCCCATTTCATGGGGGGCTAAGGGGGCAATATAACATAAAGGGACGCGGTGGCTCAGTGGCTGAGCTTGTCGATCGAAAGGTTGGCAGTTCAGCGGTTCGAGTCCCTAGTGCCGTGTAACGGGGTGAGCTCCCGTTACTTGTTCCAGCTTCTGCCAACCTAGCAGTTCGAAAGCACGTAAAAAATGCAAGTAAAAAAACAGGGACCATCTTTGGTGGGAAGGTAACAGCGTTCCGTGCGCCTTTGGTGTTTAGTTATGCCGGTCACATGACCACGGAGACATCTTCGGACAGCGCTGGCTCTTCGGCTTTGAAACAGAGATGAGCACCGCCCCCTAGAGTCGGGAACGACTAGCACATATGTGTGAGAGGAACCTTTATCTTTACCTTAAGTGAGCAATAGGATGGGGTGGGGCCTCGTTGTAAAGAGAAAGGCCAGAGATTTGCCTCTGGTCTGCATTCCAAACAGGTTCATGCTTGTGTGACTACAAGTAGGCCTCGTTTAATTACTGTCTTGTTTATCAGCTGTCCCCAGCTAATGATGGTGATGGAGAATAAATATTGCCACCAATCATTCACTTTAGCAGCCTTGCTAGAGGTCTAGAGGCTAAAACATAGGACAACTGCAGGAAGAGGATATGTCCAATCTAATGAGGAGAAGGACTAGGGATGAAAGGATAACAGTCTTCCACTACCGTATTTTTTGGAGTATAAGACGCACCTACCTTTTTTGGTGAGGAAAAGAAGAATAAGAAATCTCCCTCTACCTCTGAGCAATTTTGCCTCGTTACAGCAAACAGCCTGCTTCAGTTTCAGTTTCGTTTTCAGCATAGCTTGATTAGCACAAGGAAAAAAAAAATCTGCTCCAGCAATTTACCTCCTTGCAGCAAGCAGCAGAGCCCTGTGCAAAACGGCTGAGAGCAAATCAGCTGAGAGTCGGGAGGCCGATCCAATCAACTTGTGCTAATTAGGCTGTGCTGAAGCGGAAAGGAGCTGTTTTTTCATGCTGTTTGCTTGCAAGGAGGCAGAGGCCAAAGGGTGGGGGCCAGTGGGCGGGCGGGGCTACATTCGGTGTATAAGATGCACCTAAATTTTCACCCCCTTTTAGGGGGGAAAAAGGTATGTCTTATACTCCGAAAAATACGGTAATTTAAGGGGCTGCCCCAGAAAAGAGGGGGTCAATGTATTCTAAGCACAAGAAGTAACAGATGGAAGTTTAACAAAGAGACACAACCTAGAATTAAGGAGAAATTCCTTGATAGTGAGAACAATTAATCAGTGGAACTGATTGTCTTCAGAAGTTATGGGTGCTCCATCACTGGAGGCTTTTAAGAAGAGATTGGATATCCATTTGTCCAAAATGGTATAGGATCGCCTGCTTGAGCAGGAGGTTGGACTGCAAGACTTCAGAGATCTCTTCCAATTCTGTTATTATTCTGTTATAACGCAAAGGAAAGCTGAGGTACATTTATCAGCACAATTGCAGTTTCCCTTAGGCATCTGCTTCGCTTAACAACTGGGTTGCCTATCTCAACTGTGGTTGCTCAACCAGGACAACCTATATCCCATTTTCCTGAGCTCTGAAGGCTAATGAGATGCTTTCCCATCATGTGGCCCTTGAAGCAGGATCATTCTCTTGAGTATCGCTAGAGAACACTCTGGTTTTATCTATATTTTTGTCTTATTTCAGCCAAACGGGGAGTATCAAAAGAATGCCCTATCCAGTGATGTTTGTAAATGAGGTAAGCACTGATCAAACACCCCCCACCTTCACCCCTGGTATCGTAAGGAAGTTCTCTGAATCTGGGAAGGGAAGCGGAAACTTGATGCATGGCGGATGAGAACAAATTGGACATTTCTGTCAGCTGCCACCTTAACGCCTGCTTGTGTTCTTCATTGCCATGCAGTGACAGTGACAGCCTGCCATGAACTCTGGGGAGAGTGGATGGGAGGAGGAATGCTTGGGGGAAAGCGAAAGTAACGGCTGTATCTCCTGGAGATGCTGCCTCAAGGCCATCCAGCTGGGAGAAGAAGGCAGCTGCATATCAACTCTTCTGAAAACATCTTTCTTGAACCTGATTGGTCACAGGGGTGGGGGTGGGGGTCAGCGATGGGAAGCAGTTGGGGAGAGAAAAGTTGAATTTAGGGATTTAGGCGAACAATTGTCAGTTCTGGGTGTGCGTTACTGCAATGCACTTCTTAAGATCCGCGATGTCGCAGCGGTTAGAATGCAGTACTGCAGGCTACTTCTGCTGACTGCCGGCTGCCTGCAATTTGGCAGATCGAATCTCACCAGGCTCAAGATTGACTCAGCCTTCTGTCCTTCCGAGGTCGGTAAAATAAGAACCCAGATTGTGGGGGGCAATAGGCTGACTCTGTAAAACTGCTTAGAGAAGGCTGTAAAGAGCTGTGAAGCGGTATATAAGTGCTAATAAAACTATACCTTTCTCAACAAATGGAGCCGAGGATGATTTCCATTTAGAGCAGGGGGTCTCCAACCTTGGCAACTTTAAGCCTGGTGGTGTGCAGATCAATCCCAAGTTGTGTCCTCCTTCTCCAGCTCTTTCTTCGTTCTTTCCCTTCTCAGAGTTTTCTGCTTGACGATGTAAATGCGGGAAAACTCCGGGCAGCCCTGCTTCAATCCAATCTGGTCCAAGCTGTCCCATTCATCATGCTGGCACTGGGAATTATTTGTGGATCAGTGTTTCTGGCAGTCACCTATTGGCCCAGAGGGAAAAAAGAGGAGGTAAGGCTGCTTGTAGGTCTGTTCATTTCCCCGTTATTTTAGTTTAAAAGCTTCCTTCCTTCCTTCCTTCCTTCCTTCCTTCCTTCCTTCCTTCCTTCCTTCCTTCCATCCATCCCCTTCCTTCCTTCCTTTCCTTCCTTCCTTCTTCCTTCCTTCCTTTCATCCATCCAGTCCCTCCCTCCCTCCCTTCCTGTCTTTTCCTTCTTTCCTTTTTTCCATCCATCCATCCTTGCCCCTCTCTCCCTCCCACCCTCCCTTCCACCCATCCCCTTCCTTCTTCCCTCCCTTTTCTTTTCTTCCCACTCGCCATCCCTCCCTTCCTTCCTCACCAACCTACTTGTTCATTCTAGGTGAAAGGTTTAATAGACCCACAATAAAATGCGTCTCAGCAATATTCTGATGCTGACTTGTATCATATGGTAAGACACGCAAAATTTGTCTCTTCCTGGTGTCTCCAAACTTAAGTGCCAACAAGGAGTTTCTCCTTTTAAGAATTCTGAAATCTTAAAGCCTAGTTTTGCACATGTACCAGCCACTTATTGGCATTGTAACTTCTATGGGTGCAGAAATTCCTATTGGTTAATTAAAAACTGTATCGCATAAATGAATATTATTCCCTTACGATGGGCTCAAGCAGGGACTATTCGGAACTTTGAGCATCACGAAGTATAAATATACATGTGTGAACCAGTTTTGAGATTAAATTGTTCTGCTTTAATAACCTAAGCCTTGGGTTACCCCATTTTCAACTCCTGGTAGATTGCAACAGCCTTGCGACGGCTTAGCTGGAGCTATTTAAAAACAAAACAAAAAACACTTAAGATGATATCTTAGATTAAGTCAGGCAGTTTATTACTTTTTAAGGCTGGCGCTTGCATAAAAATTGTATTTCCATATGGCTTGCCATGAAAGCCATTCTCTGTGCCAACGAAATAACGCCACCTAGATCAGTTTCCCCAATCTTGGCCAAATTGAAGATGCGTGGACTTCAACTCCCAGAATTCCCCAGCCAGCAAGCTTCCCCAGTGGGGCATATGGCAGCCCCCCCCTCACCCAGGGCCAAACACCAGGAAGCCTTTGTAATTTCAAGTGGCTGCTGAACGAATGGTCGTAATTTGAGGACTGCTTGTCATGGAGAGTAGGAGTAATTTTGAGGTACCGAAGAAAGATGGTGGTACCAAGATGGTGGTCGGATAAAAGAAACCAGAGTCTGGGCTAGAGGTGTAATTTGAAAAAACGTCTCAAGCAGGACTCTCTCTGTATGTCTATGGAGATTCTCCGTCATCCAGGTCACACTTGTCCCAAAGGTGTTTTTTTTCAAGAGGCCACTGGACTTTCTTTCTTTTTTTTCTTTGAAGACATTTCGCTTCTCATCCAAGAACGTTCTCCATTTCTTCTCAGAAATGGTGTAGGGTCTCCCGCTTGGGCAGCTGGTTGGATTAGATGATCTACAACCATGATGGCGAACCTCTAGCACGTGTGGCACGCAGAGCCCTCTCTGTGGGTAAGCACGCCGTCGCCAGCTGCTCTTCTAGTATTTGTGCATGCCGGAGCGCTGGCCAGCTGATCTTTGTGGACGCCGGAGCACCGGAAAAACGACCTGAAAATGGCTAAAAACCAGACCGTTTTTTGGGCTGTTTTTCGGGCCAAAAATGGCCAAAAAACCCAGGCATGCACACGCTGGCCAGCTGGGTTTCCGGTGCTCCGGTGCACGTACATGCACACACGTGCATGCGTGTTCCAGTTTGGGCACTTGGTGCCGAAAAGGTTCACCATCACTGACCTAGAACTCAAAGAGGTGCAGGGGTGAAATCCAGGAGGTTCTGACCGGTTCTGGAGAACCGGTAGTGGAAATTTTGAGTAGTTCGGAGAACCAGTAGCGGAAATTTTGAGCAGTTCGGAGAACCAGTAGCGGAAATTTTGAGCAGTTCGGAGAATCGGCAAATACCACCTCTGGCTGGTCCCAGAGTGGGGTGGGAATGGAGATTTTGCAATATCCTTCCCCTGCCACGCCATGTCCACCAAGCCATGCCACGCCTACCAAGCCACGCCCACAGAACCGGTAATAAAAAAAATTGGATTTTATCACTGCTACAAGATCCCTTCCAACTTTGTTCATCTGATTAATGAGCTCTGAGCTTCTTGGGTGAGAAGCAAAACATCTTCAAATAAAAACCAGACAGTCCAGTTGCCTCTTGGGAAAAGCCATCTTTGGGATGCTCTGTATGGTTCTCACAAAGACAAAGGGAAGAAGAAAGGAAGAGCATCCAAACTTGCAAAGTTCTCTTATGGGAACTTTTATCATAAAAGTCACGTGAGCATTCATAACTCTCGGCTTCCTGGTCAGGTCCATCCTGAAGAGCCAACATATACCTAGGAAGTTATCCCTTCCCCCCCCCCACTACATTTATAAGGACGTGGTGGCTCGGTGGCTAAGACGCTGAGCTTGTCAACCGAAAGGTCGGCAGCTCAGCGGTTCGAATCCCTAGTGCCACATAACGGGGCGAGCTCCCGTTACTTGTCCCAGCTTCTGTCAACCTAGCAGTTCGAAAGCACGTAAAAAATGCAAGTAGAAAAATAGGGACCACCTTTGGTGGGGAGGTAAGAGTGTTCCGTGCACCTTTGGCGCTTAGTCATGCCGGCCACATGACCACGGAGACGTCTTCAGACAGCGCTGGCTCTTCGGCTTTGAAACAGAGATGAGCACCGCCCCCTAGAGTCGGGAACGACTAGTACATATGTGCAAGGGGAACCTTTACCTTTTATTATATGGGCCCCTGCAGAGACTGAGGAGCAGCTGGATCCCCCAGTCTTAAATCAAGCACCCATAATACAGGTAGTCCTCAACTTACAACAGCTCATTTAGTGACTGTTCGAAGTTCCAACGGCACTGGGAAAAAAAGTGACTTACGACCGTTTTTCACCCTTAACGACCGTGGCAGCATCCCCAGAGTTCAGGTGATTAAAATTCAGACACTTGGCAAACTGGCTCGTACTTATGACGGTGTACATTGTCCTGGTTGCCCTTTTGTGACCTTCTGGCAAGCCAAGCCAACGCGGAAACCAGGCTCGCTTAAAACCACCATGTTGCTAATTTAACAATGGCGGTGAACCACTCAACAACGGGGGTCGTGAAACGGGCAAAGCTCACTTTAACAAGTGTCTCACTTAGCAACGGAAATTTTGCACGCAAGGGTGATCGTAAGTCCAGGGGCTACCTAGTCACACAGTACAGGCGAGGAGAGAAACATTTGAGGAAAGGACTTCCTGCTTTGGTTTCTGGGGTGCTTCGTATTCTAAACAGGGACCCTCAAGTGTGAGAATAACCCCAATATTTCTGTGTGGGGATACCTCTTGGGTTCTGGTCTATGGGTCTGTAGGGTTTAAATTGGTCTGCCAGAGTGGAGAAAAGCTACAAGGGTTTTGGATGAAGTTGTAATTGCTCATCATTGCTTTTCTGGACTATATATAAATACTGCTCTTCGGGGATGGTACGGATTTGGTGAGTTTTGTTCTAATAGTGGTCTTGGTGAAGGTATTTCTTTATTGGCTGGATTTAATTTTTTTTAAGGTTCTTGGTTCTTTTTACATAGTCTTGTGAAACAGGCAAGGTAGGTTTTTTTTTTTAAAAGAGATGATCTCCTCAGCATTGGAACCCAAAGGTAAGTTGCGCTCATTCCTCGTCCAATGTTTTTAGAGCTTAAAAGATTAAAAGGCTCACAGATATTAACCTAAACTTTGCAGGTCAGGTGAATTCAGCTGAATTCAGGTTAATCCGCTTGCAAATGTAGTCTTCTATTCGGATTCATTGCTTGAGTAGAAACCATGGAAATTGGGGTGGGGGAAAAACAACCCAACGCATTTCTCTGGCCTTAAGGAATAAAACAGCTTTAGAGAAATACAGTTTGGCTAAAAAAAAAATATCTCCCTGCTGGACCAGTTTCTCACCAGCCAGGAGAAATTGAATTAAAAACACGTTTGAACATACGATCCTTCCCATGCATTCTGAAATAGGACTGTCTTAGGAACTCAACGCCACTAGATCAGTGATGGCTAACCTTTTTGCCATCGCGTGCCAGGAGGGGGGAGCGGGAGTTGTCAAACGGGCCATTTTCGGCCTCCAGAGGATCTCCGGGGGAGGGGGGGAGGCAGTTTTTGCCCTCCCCAGAGTCCTAGAGAGGCCCTGGAGCCAGGTGAGAGAGAAAAACGGGCCTTCCCCACCCCCCTCCAGGTCCTCCGGAGGCAGGAAACAGCCTGTTTCCCTACTTCTGGTGGGCCCAGAAGACCCGAAAAGTGGGCCACCTGTGGCACACCTGCCATAGGTTCGCCATCACGGCACTAAATCGATCTACTCAGATAGTTCAGAGGGTCCTTGTGGGGTCTTGGGTGCTCTCTGAGCTCAGTTGTTTACTTGCAGATGTTTCATTACCCAACTAGGTAACACCATGAATGCTAAGAAAGGAGTGGGGGTCACTCTCTTGTTTCTATACAAGTGGCTTCCCCTGTCAATATTGATGGAGTGTTCTGGATGGTTCCTCGACTGGATTATTGTTTATGGTTGAATTGTTTGTCAGAGTTTGATAGTTCCTTGACTGGGGAATTGTTTATTGCTTGATGATCTAATATTAATCTTGGCGTTAATCTCTGATTATCTGGATGTTGATTGCTGGGGAGGAGGAGGTATGGTGGCCTTTTAGCTTTTTGATTGTCTCTTTTGAATGATATGTAGACGTTGTTTACCTCTGTGTGCCTGTTGATGGCTGATTTGTCTTGAGTGCCAGGCTTCCAGGAATTCTCTAGCGGTTTTGGATTTAGCTTGGTCTCACAGTTTCCCAGTTGAAATTATGGTAAAATCAGCCTGTGTTTTTAGATACTAGTGGCTTGCCCTGTCAGTGTTGGTGAGACACTTCAGCGTTAGTGAGACACTCCCTTCTAACACTGATACATAGTCGGGTAACGAAGCATCTGCAAGAAAACAACCAAGCTCAGAGAATCATCAAGGACCCCGCCTTTCAACCTTGAGCTGCAAATATTCTCTTCTACCTTGTTTCCCCGAAAATAAGACCCAGCCTGAAAATAAGCCCTAGCATGATTTTTTCAGGATGCTCGTAATATAAACCCTACTCCCAAAATAAGCCCGTTAAGATCGTCAACCAGACGGACGCATGTAGTACCGTATTTCCCTGAAAATAAGACCTAACCAGAAAATAAGCCCTAATTCGTCTTTTGGAGCAAAAATTAATATAAGACCCTGTCTTATTTTCGGAGAAACACAGGTATCAGATCAGCTCTTAGTTAGAGTCCACTTATCAACAATTTATCTGTGAACAGGACTTGAGAAAAGTCTGTTGGATTCTTTTGCCATTTCCAGAAAAGTTGCAGGAGTCAATAAATGAAATGGGTTGCGTAAACACAATCTGTAAATTAACTCCTTTTTTTTTTTTTTTGCCTCCCCCTAACAACAGGGTACCGTTGACGAACAAGCTCCACTTATCCGGACATAACTCGATCTCCCCGACCATGCCAGGTTTACAAAAAAAAAAAAAAAAAAAGAGCTTCACCATGATGATTGAACAGGGCAAACGTTTTTAACTGCCACCAGAACCTACCACTTCAACGGCACCCTTGAAGTAGTCCTCTTTTTAGCGTTTAGTAACCATCTGCTTCCGAGGAAGGTGGACAATTGTAAACGGAACCTGAACAGAGGGCAGAATTACAGACTTTTTAAAGGAGTCGGTTGGACGCCATTTGCTACTGCTTTCCCAGAGTGTGAAAATAGCAGTAGTATTTCACTACACTTCCACCATTTGTTGGACTTATGGAGTTGCACCTACAGTTTCCTGCTGGCTTACTGGAGGTGCCATGAAAGGTGACGTCGGCCTTGGTGACATCCTTATTAATTTAGGACAGTAGTCGGCAACCTTAAACACTCAAAGAGCCACAAAGGTCCTAACCGGAAGCCCCCCATTCAATTCTGGAGCTGGCCAGAAGTCCAGTTACCCCACCATAGAATCTCCTTTTAGCGCGATGTCCTTTTTCCTATGCCGACCGGAAGTCCGATTCTCCCACCATAGAGTTTCCTCCTAGCGTGGCGTCCTTTTTCTTCTACCTGTCCTAACTGAAAGCTCTATCAATTGTGGAGCCGACCGGCGACAGGGAGCCGCAGCAGAGGGATGAAAGAGCCACATGTGGCTCCAGAGCTGCAGGTTGCTGACCCCTGATTTAGGAGATTTGCTAGCACAGCCCTTATCCTGCCATCATTTGATTTCTTGGTGAATCCTATGGCTCGGATCTACCTAGGAGTTTTACTTTTCCCATAGTGTAAAACTTTGCACCGGAAAAGGACACACACATGCACACACACACACACACACACACAAACACACACACAAAGAATAATTTTATATACTCCAGGAAATTTCCTATTTTTGGTTCAGGCCATTGGATGTCCCATTCGGTGTTTGTTTTTTTAAAAATTTCCTTTTGAGTAAAAGGCTCAGATCGGCTTTTATTAACCTGGCACCCAGGGTTTTTTTTCAAGCTCTAAAGGCCTCTTCCCTCAGAGGCATCCAGGTGTGTCGTGATTTCCCCCTTCAACTTGGAAAAAAAATCAAATAAAGAAGGGATCAGAGTCTTCACAATGAACAGCCAAAATGGAATTTCAACCCTGCAGGCCGAAGCCTACGATTTGTCAAGATAACGTGAGGAGGGGGGAAAAAAGAGAAGTTTTACAGGATCATTCAACTTGTACTGGAGGGAATGAGAAGGAATCCGTCGTCTTTGTCGAGCAAACTGCACTGATTTGATAAAGGGAAGCTGGGATCCTTTTTGAGCTGGTCCTGAAAATAAGATAGTAGCCAGTAATCTTGGTGTGGTAACATCTGGCTAATCCTGCTTTGGGGGGAGTCATACATTCTGCTTGATAATTCGGATAATTAGGAGATGAGAAGGAAAAACCCAAGACATCTCATATCATGGAAGTTGGAAAAAAAAAATTCTGGAAGAAAGCAGTGGCAAACTATATTTTTGCCAAGAAAACAACATGGATGTCCATGAAGACACCAAGGAGTCAAGCTCACACCAATTTTTTCCTACTAACTAAGCAGCGAAAAGAGATGTTGTGTCCCTAATGCTTTCCTCTCCTTTCTGTAGTATATCTTATCACTTGAGTATTACCTGAAGACACTATGAAACTCATAGTTCCCAAATGCCCTATTGTTAGAATCCTATTGTTAGAAATGAAGTGGTTCCTTCCGTTTGCCATCTTAAATTTTCCCTTTGGATTAGGAAGGATTCCCCTGGCTTTTGCTGTGTGTCCGCTGTATTCCTTTAACTTCATCGTAAAAATGGCTTTGCTGGATCCCACCCAGCCTGGGCATTTCATCACCCGTTGTGCCAGGCAAGAGTTCTGGGAAGTTAGCCAAATTTGAAGGTGACCTCTGTTGTAGAATTAATCTAAGAGATTAGAGCGGGGGTGAAATGCTTTAAAAAAAGTTCAGACTATCGCGCAATACATCTGTGATCGTTGGAATCTTTTTTTTTTTTTTACTTTTTTAAAGCATTTTTTTACTACCTATTCGCCAGAACCAGTAATAAAAAAAATGCTTTAAAAAGGTTTTTAAAAAGTTTCTGACGATCGTGTTGCACAGCGCAGCTATGATCATTGGAGCCTTTTTACAAACTTTTTTAAAGCATTTTTTTTTTTTTACTACCGGTTCAGGCGAATCGGTAGTAAAAAATGCTTTAAAAAGTAATTTTTTTTAAAAAAATGTTGGCCACGCCCACCCAGTCACATGACACCCCACCACTACCAAGCCACACCCACAGAACCGGTAGCAAAAAAATTTTCTTTGCATTTCACCGCTGGTGAAACCCTAGTGGCTTCCTCGGAGGTTGGGCAAATTATGCAACCTAAATCTGAGACGTTAAAATCTGAAGCTTTTTCAGCTCAGAAATGAAAATGTCATGTTACAGTGCATAAGTTCTTGCAGGAAGAGAGATGGTTTTGAATATCTGCAGGGACAAAGAAGCCAAAAGAACAGAATATACGATAATATATTGCAGTCTTGGGAGCCCAGGAGATGTACTACACAGTATCTGTAGGTCAAGATTGTGAATTTCTGGCTTATTTTACATGGATAGCTTTTAGCCTAGGACTGATATAACTTGCAGATTATAGGCACAGTGAAATCACTCTTGCTTTCAAAGGAGAGTTCTGTCACAATTACAAAAAAATTGGCCAACCTTCTGAAAAGTTGGCCTGTTAAGTCTCTTTGGGGTCCTTGGTGCTCCCTGAGCTTGGCTGTTTTCTTGCAGACGTTTCATTGCCCAGCTAGATAACATCATCAGTGCTAAAGGGGGTGGGGATTTACTTTACTCTATGTTTATATAGAGCTGGCTTGTTGGGTAGTGCAACATTTGCAAGAAAACCTCCAAGCTCAGAGAACATTAAAGACCCCGCAATTCAACCTTGAGCTACAAATATTCTTTTCTGTCGCTGGCCTCTTGTTTTGACATGTTGAAAACTAGATGTGACCAGATGTGGGATTAGCAATGGACTCTCTGGGGAGCAGCTTTAAATATGCAAAGGTTTGCAATAGCTGTTAATAAATCAAAGGGCTAGTTTCTCCTCTTCTCAAAAAAATTAGTCGATTTAAGACAATTTGGAAGGGAGAACCACAATCGGATTTTGGTACGAGCTGCTTGTGAAGTCGGTAATGAAATCAAATCTCAAGGCCCTAAAAAGTGCTTGGAATGTTGCTTGTTTAATTTTAAGCATCTTTTATAGCTGACTATAAATCATATGATGGATGATTTGGGGTTTCTTGTTAAGAAAAAAAAAATCAAGGATAAAGGCTCCCTCCTCTTGAAACCGATATTACGGGCAAACTTGTCTGCTGCTGAAGACGATGGATAAATTTAAAAAGTCAAACTTCAGGATCCAGTCTCCAAACAGCCTTTTCTCTGAACGTATTTTTCTAATTTGACTGGACAAGGTCAATTGCTGCTGGTACTTGAGGCCTATTCGCTTCTCTTGCACAAATTTAGAAACGATGGGCACACTTTGCCAGTTGCTCGCCATTGTTTCTGCTCTTGACGTTGAGGCTCCCAAGAATTTTCAGGTTCCTGGCAATCCAACTGGACATCACAATATTTGTCCTGCAGCTACGCAAGTTGGTGATGTGTGCGTTGACCAGCTAATCTCGGACTGAAACCATAGACTGCTCTCTTTAGAAAGATTTGAGCCCTCCTTCAACTGTAAGGGACAGGATTGGGTTTTAATCACATTATCTAATGCTTCTCTTAACTCAAAAAGAGCTGCTGATTTCTCTGTATTCCACAAGTTGCACAAGGTGCACTAATATTAACCCTTTTTAGATGGGAAGCTAAGATTGTGCCATAGCTGCTTTTCGAAGGTTGTGTTTTTGAGTTAATGACAAGTGCTGGCCTTAAAAACAGTCTTGCATCTCCCTGAAGTCTAACACACTTTTATGGCATGATGGAACTATACCAAGCATTGAGTAAAATATGTTTTTGTTCTTTCGTTTCTTTGTTTTCTTACGTCTTAAAAGGGAAGGCCAAAACAAACAAGGGAATGCATTTCATGCTCAGCTGGGGCGGGTGGAAGGAAGGAGGGAGAAGAAAGGAGAGTGGGAGGAAGGAAATGAAGGAAGGTGGAAGAAAGGAAATAATGGAATGAAGAAGGAGGAAGGAAGGAAATGAGGGAGGGAGGAAGGAAATAATGGAAGAAGGAGGGAGGGAAATAATGGAGGAAGGAAGGAAATAATGGAAGGAAGAAGAGGGAGAAAGGAAGGAAATAATGGAGGAAGGAAATAATGGAATGAAGAGGGAGGAAGGAAGAAAATGAGGGAAGGAGGAAATAATGGAAGGAAGAGGAAGGAAGGAAATGAGGAAGGAAATAATGGAAGGAAGAAGAGGGAGGGAGGAAGATTCATGACACTGAATCATAACTAGTTGAAATGTTTGATTAAGCACACTTCTAAAAGCATGATGCACATCATAAGTATTATTTTGTATACACCTAAAAAATAAAAAATGATTTCTGCATTTCACAATTAGTTTTGGAAGGTAGATGACCAGTGTGATTTATGAACTGGCACTGAATACTGCACAATGCAAAGTCTTCTGCAACTGCTGTGTTAGAAGATTCTATTCAGTGTGTGTGCCAAGCAGATCCCGGTAAAATTAAGATTTTTTTTAAAAAAGATTATTGATAGTTAACAATATTCTTAAAATCACTCGGAAGTAACCATCTAGTTCGGGGGTCTGCAACCTTGAATACCCAAAGAACCATTTGGACCTGTTACCCACAGAAAAGAAAACACTGGGAACCACAAAACCCTTCCCGTACCAGACTATTTCTTGAGCGTCCACAAAACTAGCCATATGTAGTTGAATTAAAAGTTCTGTTTTCTTCTGAATTGGATTTATCCATGGTTGGCCTACAGGAGGTTGAAAAGCTCAATAAATCGTGTGCTGGTGGATGTCACACATTGGAGGTTGTGATGCATATTTTGAGTGACGGAGCCGTAGCAGAGGGGTGAAAGAGCCACATGTGGCTCCAGAGCTGCAGGCTGCCGACCCCTGATCTAGTTAAAATATAAACGTGCATATATACAAATGGAGTAATACAATACAGGTAAGTCCTCTACTTACAACGGTTCATTTAGTGAAAGAAGGTACGTCATTGAAAAAAAAATGATTGTTTTTCACGCAACCATCGTAACATCCCCATGGTCACATGATCAAAATTCAGACACTCCCGGGGGCCATGTGATCTTTTGCCACCATCTGACAAAATCAGTGAGGAAACCAGATTCACTTAGCAACCGGGTCACTAACTTAACAGCTGCAGCAATTCACTTAACGAATGTGACAGGTCGTAAAATGGGGCAAAGCTCACTTAAATGTTTCACTAGACTAGGCAACCAAAATTTGATGCTCAATTGTGGTCGTAAGTTGAGGACTACCTGTCAATTGAAAGCGGAAGAGAACGAGATCTGCGATCCTCTTCTAATCCTTAAGGGGGCGCAGCGCTCCCTTTTTGCGGAAGCCGGTAGCGTTATGAGCCGCTCTGTCCTTTTGGATCTCGGATAACGCCTGTCTCATGACGTCACTGACGAGCACCGCGCGGATGACGCTAATCGCTCCGCCCAGTTGCCGGAGCAACCATCAAACTGTGCATCCAGCTTTTATGCCCGAGTGAACGACGGTTCCTGTTCATAGAGCTAGAAAATAAGAGTCGCACCTCTGCAGTGATTTTCATATAGCGTATATATAACTCAACCCGTTCCTCTTCCGAAATTCAACCCACCGTGAATCCAGCCTGCCACCCTCGAACGACGCCGTGTCTCTTCCACGGATTTCCATAACATAGAGTTATGGAAGAGTTCAGAATCGGAAAGCGGAACCCGAGAACTATTCTACATCTTTCGTAGATCTATAGTCCGCCTTCGGGCCTTCTCTCTTTGGGGAGTCACGGTTTCCGCCCGGACGGAAGAGGCGACCGGACCTTTTTTTTTTTTTTGAGCGGGGGGAGGGGAACCGTTCGGCGTTGCTCGTGTCTCGTTGCTGCCTCATGGCTTTCAACTTCGGGGCGGCTGCTGGCGCCGCGGCCGCCCCAAACCCCGCGGGTGAGTGAGGAAGCGAGGAAGGGAGGCCGGAAGGCCTTGTTGGGACGAGTTTCCGGGGGGGGGGGGGGGAAGGAGGGAGGGAGAGAGAGCTAGACCCGTTGAATGCCCGCCTGGCTCTTGGAAACCATGGCGGGGAGCGGAGGAAGGAGGGAGGGAAGCCGCCGGTGACTCTGCCTGAGGCAATATTGTAGGTTTATTAAACCGCCCTGAAGGATTCTGGGCGGTTGAGCGATTAGGGCTCCCTTAGGAACCAACCAAGAGGGGAAGAAACGAGGGAGGGAAATAAAATTACCTCAGCCGAAGGAAAATGGAGGGTGGGGGGGTGTCTGTGTCAAGAGCCAGAGGTCTTTTGAGGCAGCTTCCACTAGGCAGGGACACCACCACCACCCACCCAACGAGGCCCGGAGGAGGAGGAATGGAGGCAAATTTGTAAAAAAAAAGAGAGAGAGAGAGAGAGAGAGAAAGCGGGTTTTGTTTTGTTTTTAATTTATACAGGCCGTCCTCGATTTACGACGTTTCCTTTTTGGCTTTTCAGAACAGGCAAAACAAGGGCTCCCTCTTTCCAGATTGAGATTGGAGTCTGTGGGAGTGTTAACTCATTCCCAAGAAAACGTTTTTAGTCTTCAGCCAAAGCTGAATCATTGCTGCTCCAAAGCAGCTTCAGATAGAGAGAGAGAGAGAGAGAGAGAGAGAGAGAGAGAGATGATTGATTGATAGATAGATAGATAGATAGATAGATAGATAGAGATAGATGATAGATAGATAGATAGAGATAGATGATAGAGATAGAGATAGAGATAGATAGATAGATAGATAGAGATAGATGATAGATGATAGAGAGATAGAAATAGATAGATGATAGATAGGTAGAGATATAGATAATAGATAGATAGAGACAGATGCTAGATAGATAGATAGATAGATAGATAGATAGATATACCGCCCTTCTCCCGAAGGACTCAGGGCGGGGAACAGCCAAAAGGTAAAAACACAGAATACAAAAATTGTAAGAACAGTTTAAAAAAACATATTAAACAATTTTGGCACAACAATTAAAATGCCCCTTTTAAAATTAAAATTAAAATTAAGCAATTGGAGAAGTTAGGCCAGCCCGGCTTGTTGAAATAAAAAAAAGTCTTGAGGGCCTCAGCAGTTAGTCTCTTTGACCCAAATCTCTGCCAAAAATCTCGAAATGCTGCTTTATAACCAGAAATATTAAAAGAAAGGCTCTTTTCTTTGATGTTTTACATTTCTCTATAGTAAAGCCAATTCATGCCCATAGCTTTTTTTTTCTCTTCTAAAATACATCCTTTCAGAATATATCAAATTTTGCATATCGAGAGAGGTTTGTAAATCAAATTTAACTGATTTCTTAACATCAGTTAACAGTAGTCTTAATAGTAGTCTTAACAACTACTGTAATCTCTTGGCTAGGTATGAGTGCCTTTTGCATAGAAGGGCAGATTGCAAATTGGATCAATTGTTAGTCAGAAAATTGTTTTTCAAAACATTGAAATACTATTCTTGAATACGAATTTATTTCAAATTACCACTTGATATTGACTTCTGAGGGACACGGTGGCTCATTGGCTAAGATGCTGAGCTTGTCGATCAAAAGGTCAGCAGTTCGGCGGTTTGAATCTCTAGTGCCGCATAACGGGGTGAACATCTGTTACTTGTCCCAGCTTCTGCCAATCTAGCAGTTCGAAAGCATGAAAAAATGCAAGTAGAAAAATAGGGACCACCTTTGGTGGGAAGATAACAGTGTCCTGTGCTCCTTTGGCATTTAGTCATGCCGGCCACGACCACGGAGACACCTTCGGACAGTGCTGGCTCTTTGGCTTTGAAATGGAGATGAGCACTGCCCCCTAGAGTTGGGAACGACAACTAGCACATATATGTGAGGGGAGCCTTTACCTTTACCTTATTGACTTCTGAGCAATATTGGTTCTCTGTTACAATGAAATAGTTATTCTAGAAGAGAATTATAGGCGTGAAATTGGGTTATGTAGTAGCTTTGCTATAAGATCGGGGCAAGATTGGGCATTTCTGACTAATGGACACCTGTATGAAGGAGAGACTGCTAAAGATTTGTGAAATTTCACAGTAGAATAATGGCAGGAGACCATATTTCAGATTCTAATTGCTGGATCTTCCTTATGCTCTGGGTATTCCAGACTCAGTAGTCACTTGAAGCACAACAGTTGTTCAACATTTTTAATCCTAATTCTCCATTTAAAATTAAGACTGATACCATAACTCTTTTTCCAAAGAAAGATATTTGCTTATATATAAGTGGCTGTTTGATTGGATGAGCAAAGAAATCCAAAATATTGAAGATTTGAGAAGATATTATAATGCACTTCTTTGTCACAGATATTTCGTTGTCTGTCAGTTAGCTAGCTATCATATAGTTACTTAGCTACCTATTGCTACTGAGGCAAACCATGTGCAGATATGCTCAAAAGGTCACCATAAATGGCTGATAAGGTAAAGGTTCCCCTCGCACATACATGCTAGTCGTTCCCGACTAGGGGGCGGTGCTCATCTCTGTTTCAAAGCCGAAGAGCCAGCGCTGTCCGAAGACGTCTCCGTGGTCATGTGACCGGCATGACTCAACGCCAAAGGCGCATGGAACGCTGTTACCTTCCCACCAAAGGTGGTCCCTATTTTTCTACTGGCATTTTTTATGTGCTTTCGAACTGCTAGGTTGGCAGAAGCTGGGACAAGTAACGGGAGCTCACCCCGTTTTGCGGCACTAGGGATTCGAACCGCTGAACTGCCAACCTTTCAATTGACAAGCTCAGCGTCTTAGCCACTGCGCCCCTAAATGGCTGATAGGCTGCATTAAAGAATCCCTTTGAGCTAAATGAAATATAAATAGGGTGGGGAGGATTCAGTGTCATCTTTCTAATACAAGGGAACGATATCTGATTTGTGGTAAGTTTTGTATAGCTTTTAATATTCCCAATAGTAAACCCTAATGCAGACAAAAATTTCTTGCGTTCAGTTTTGGTCACCATGGTTAAAAAAAAAGATGTTGAGATTCTTAAAAAGTGCAGAGAAGAGCAACGAAGATGATTAGGGGACTGGAGGCTAAAGCATATGAAGAAGGATTGCAGACATTGGATATGGCTAGTCTAATGAAAAGGAGGACTGCAGCTGACATGATAGCAGTGTTCCAATATTTGAGGAGCTGTCACAGAGAGGAGGGGGTTGGCCTGCTTGGTGCCTAATAGTGGTTATTAAAATTAAGTTGTCCTAAAGAATTAGGAACAGAAAAACTCTTGTGTTTTACAATTCCTGCTATTGGTTTTCTTGTATTTCTTCTAGTACTTAAGAAATGGATGTATTGCTTCGATGTTTGATTTCTCACTGACTCTGTCTTGCTTTCTTTATGCTTCCCACTCATCAGGATTTGGTGGGCTTGAAGCAGCAAATTCCACTGCCACTGGGTTTAATTTTGGGGGTTTTGGATTAACTGCTAATCCTGCAGTGAATTTTAATATTGGGAATTTTGGTGTCTCTACTACTTCGGCGCCACCGTTTAATTTTGGTAACAGTCTGGCCAGCGCAGGTAGAGAATATTGATGTGAAGCTCGTAATTATTTTGTTTTTGGAGGGTTCCAAGAATTCAGTTTACACTTGCCAGTTTTTTCAAGTTTATCCATGAACGAGTTGCATTAAAATCTGTAAGAAGTCCTTCAAGCCAAGATTTGACAAAACATTTCTCTGCTTTTATTATTCATTTTAAAAATAATTTACATGTGATTTCTACCTGAAATGCTTTATTTATAAAAGAAAACCCAGAGTTTGTGAGATGGGCAGCCTATGAATTTTAATAAATAAATAAAAATTATTTATTTATTTATATACCCCAATCTGCTATATTGGAAAAATAGTCTGCCTTGTAGTGAAATGGGCAGCAAGATTAATAAATAATGAATATAATAATAAAGCACAATTATCAATAGCCCAGAATAATAACAGTCAAAAGCAGAATATTGTTCATCATCCAACCTTTAGCACAAGGCCTGAGGTTATAGCCAGGTCAGATCCAGTTCCCCAGCAATAGTTCCAGAAATTTGTCAGATTTCTTCATTGTTTTGTCAGGGATAACAACTAAAAACTCAGCAATGCTTAGAGATCTAGGAATTATCACGAATAAGCGTTCTCATTTCTAACAGTACCTGCATGAAAAAAATAGCAGAAATCAGGTTAACTCCGTAGCCAAGAAATTAAGAACGATCAACTGAGAGCTAATGTAAAATTTGCACTGAGCTGTACGTTGATTTTTAATGCATTTCCATTCAGATAATAAATGCATAGCAAGAAGGTACACAATCTTGCTGAAGAAAGGGACACGCATACATACACAAACACATGCGCAGATGTGTTTGGTATATAGTGTTCTGGCAAACATTCTCAGTTATACTTCCGGTGTACGTCTTTGAGTCTGTACATGAACATGTTTTGAAATCATATGGATCAAGATTGGGATATGATTTTTCCCCCAAACAAGATGAACCCAATGACCTTATAATACTTGCAGGGATACAGAATTATAATTCCATGGCAAAAAGGGCCAAACAATTTCATAGTAAAAGGTATTTGTTTTCTGTTTCTTGAATTCTTGGACTCTGCAACATTTATATATATATATTTATATATATATATATACCATTTCCTATGTCTCTTCATTGGATTTCAATTATCATGAATCCACCATGCTTTTCCCAAGGTCCTGTGGAAAAACAAATTGTATACGATCAGCACCCAAAACAAAAATAAAAAAATCCCAGCTGGCTTTGAGTCAAAACATTCAACAACAAAGATTTCTTGTTTTAAAAAAATCTAGTTTTGCTGACTTTAATAGTAATTATCTCTACTTACCTCTATTTTTTTTGTGTATATTTCTTTTGTATCAATTGTTGTAGCTGCTCGTATATGAAATATATCTTCATTTCATAGTTCCCATCACTTCCGTGCTATGTATGCAGACATTTCAACATTCAGTGCATTGTAAATTCATATTCACTGTTAAAACAATCACCACCTTAAGTAGTAATCCTAATAGCACTGTTTTGTGATTCATTGGAATTGTTTCCTCGGTATGCATTTCCTGTGGAGCTGGTTTGCAAGGAAAAATGCAGAAGGGATACAGAACTGTGATTTGATCACTACTACAATTTGTGTAGAAATTGTGCTTTAGATAGGCTCACAGAACTTACAAAGATGGTTCAGCAGTTGTTGCTATCCAAGTAGCAATAACGATCCTTCCCATATTTAATAAATTCTCTTTCCCTGTGCTTGAGAGAGTCCCAGAATTATTAATCCATCCCACTTGCTTATATATGGTAGGACTTCATTAATATGTTCTCTCTCCTAACCTACTTTGGCTGATCTGGGAAAGAAGCTTAACAGAATTTGATCTGGTTAGTATTTAGATGCAGGTTAACCTGGAAAAATGTAGACTAGTCTGACAGTTTGAAAAAAAAAAAAAGTCCTGCAAGAAAGCAACAGCAATAGCACTTAGACTTATATACCGCTTCACAGTGCTTTACAGCCCTCTCTGAGCGGTTTACAGAGTCAGCCTGTTGCCCACAACAATCCGGATCCTCATTTTACCCACCTTGGAAGGATGGAAGGCTGAGTCAATCTTGAGCCTGGTGAGATTTGAACCTGCCAAATTGCAAGCAGGCAGGAATCAGCAGAAGTAGCCTACGGTATTGCACTCTATCCATTGCGCCACCATCATTAATCTCTTTGGTATTCTTGTCAAGATACAGTAACTACATGAGTATGTTCATAAAGTTTCTAAGAATTGAGCTTGAGTTCAGGAGTCCCTTTCCTTCCTTCCTTCCTTCTTTCCTTCCTTCCTTCCTTCTTTCCTTCCTTCCTTCCTTCCTTCCTTCCTTCCTTCCTTCCTCCTTCCTTCCTTCCTTCCTTCCTTCCTCCCTCCCTCCCTCCCTCCTTCCCTTCCCTTCCCTTCTCTCCCTTCCCTTCTTTTTCTTTCTCATTCCCACTCACTCTCAGTGACTCTGGGCGGCTTACAAAAATAAAAAGCCAACATACAACATAAAAACAATAACACCCCCCCCACCACCCCTGACAGCAACAGATAAGATACTTGATGGGCCCCATCCTGCTCCGGGTTCCCTTAAGCCTATTGGCAAAAACCAGATCTTCAGGGCCTTGCAAAAGAAAGTCAAAGTAGGGGACAGTCTAATCTCTGCAGGGAGGATGTTCCAAAGGGAGGGAGCCACCACAGAGAAAGCCCTTTTTCTGGTCCCGCTAGGTGTATCTCCTTAGAAAAGGGGACCCACAACATTCCTTGCCTCCCCGCTCTAGTGGGTCAGGTATACGTGACTGAGAAAAGACGGCCCTTCAAATAATTATTAAATTATTTTAAAAATAATTATGTTTTCATTGTATGGCTGGCTTGGGAATTCTGGGGGTTGGAAGTCCACACATCTTCAAGCAGCCAACGTTGAGAAATACCGGCCTTCAGTAAATATGTCTCCTCCTTATCTGAGTTATATATATATATGTTTTCTCAGGTTTTCGCGGGTGTTTGTATGTAGGTCTTTGGTTATTCGGGTCTTCTCCCCCGTAAAATTGGAAGTGTCTTGGCGACGTTTCGACGAAGTCTCATTCGTCATCTTCAGGCTGGTGTTCTCGGCTTCGTGCTTCCAGGAGCCGAGAACACCAGCCTGAAGATGACGAATGAGACTTCGTCGAAACGTCGCCAAGACACTTCCAATTTTACGTGGGAGAAGACCCGAATAACCAAAGACCTACATATATATATATATATATATATATATATATATATTATATATATATATATATATATATATAATATATATATTTACTAGATCCCCCCCCCCCCAAAAAATGGTTGCAAGTATATGTACTTTTTCTCTAACAATAAACTAATGTTGGCTATTTTCTGCTGTCGCTGGATCTTGTGTGAGTATCAGATCATATCAGTCGCATTCATTTGTCGCCATCTCTCCAATCAGCATGCTGTCATTGAACAATTAAATTGCCTTGCCAGAACTGACCCTCCTTTTAATTTACATAAATTTGGTTTCCTAGGAGCTTTTGGGGGTTTTGGGACCAGCACCACCACCCCGGGTCCACCTTCAATTTCTCAACTCCTACAAATACAGGTAAGCGGCTGAAAGTCACCTGTGTAGAGATGGCTTTCTGATTAAAATGCACGTGTATTAAAGGAAATTGGGCTCGCTTCTTGGCTGATGTTCTTTCTCCTTCCTCCAGGGTTGTTTGGAGCTACCCAGAACAAAAGTTTTGGTTTCGGTACCACCTTTGGAACGGCACCGACGACAGGAACTGGGCTTGGCACCGGCTTGGGAACCGGTTTGGGATTTGGTGGTTTCAACACTCAGCAGCAGCAACCAAGTAAGTACAGGTGGTCCTTGATTTATGACCGCAGTTGAGCCCAGAGTTTTCTGTGGCTAACTAGGCGAAAATGATAAATATGAACCAGTTGCCAAGCGTCCGGATTTTGATCACATGACCCTGGGGATGCTGCAAAAAAAACAGTCCTAAGTCACTTTTTTCAGTGCTGTTGTAACTTTGAACGGTCACTAAATGAAGTGTTGTAAATCAAGGACTACCTATATGTAGAGGTTAAATATTTTCAAAGAGTTTATCTAAACTTTTCTGTGTTGAGATGGAGAAATCTCCCTCTTCAAAAGGATATCCTCGTCTTCTTTTGACTGACCTGCAGCTAGCACAGTGTTTTCTCAACCTTGGTAGCTTGAAGATGGGTGGGAGATTCTGGGAATTGAAGTCCACCCATCTTCAAGTTTCCAAGGTTGAGAAACACTCAGCTAGCAGGAGCAAAGCTACTGTTCTCTCCCACCCACCCCCTTTGTGAACTAATAAGTGCCCTATGGGCAAAGACACAATAACCACAATCAGGGTGGATTTGATTTAAATCGAGTTGATTTAAATCACAATTTAAATCATGATTTAAATCACTAGTAAAAAGGCTTGATTTAAATCAACTCGATTTAAATCATAATTTTTAAAGAGCAACTGTCATCTCTGCTACTCCTTTGACCCGGTGTTGACTCATCGATAGTCCCAGTGTTGCAGAATATACAGCCTTGTGCTACATAACTAAGCTCCATTTCATGCTGAATAAACTAAATTATTTATGTATCTTAAATAGAAAACTATCTCACGATAGATTTTTACCCCAAAAGTTTTTTATTAAAATAAATTCGATAAAAATAAAAAAAACCCAATTTAAATCAAAAAAAATCTGATTTTTTTGATTTTTTTAAAAAAAATCATTGATTTTTATCCACCCTGACCACAATCAATATTCCAATTGGCTGTTCCCAGAAGTCATCACAGCTATTTTTGAACAGGACTTTTGTAAAAAGACGCTGAACGCTTTTCAACCAAAGCGTTTTTTGATGAAAACCTGGGATCACATAGAGCTTGTCATCATCACTGATCAGACAATACAAACCTGACCTTCTCCAGGAGCATTAGGTCATCATTAGATCCATGATGACGTGCGGGCAGGTGGGCGGAGTCTCCCACTGCTTTTACTACTGGTTCACAAGAACCGGACAGGAGCACCCTACCACTATTCAGGTGGCCATGGTTGAGAAACCCTGCTATCGAGTTGATTTAAATCACAATTTAAATCATGATTTAAATCACTAGTAAAAAGGCTTGATTTAAATCAACTCGATTTAAATCATAATTTTTAAAGAGCAACTGTCATCTCTGCTACTCCTTTGACCCGCTGTTGACTCACTGATAGTCCCAGTGTTGCAGAATATACAGCCTCCTGCTACATAACTAAGCTCCATTTCATGCTGAATAAACTAAATTATTTATGTATCTTAAATAGAAAACTATCTTACGATAGATTTTTTACCCCAAAAGTTTTTTATTAAAATAAATTCGATAAAAATCAAAAAAATCCGATTTAAATAAAAAAAATCTGATTTTTTTGATTTTTTTAAAAAAATCATTGATTTTTATCCACCCTGACCACAATCAATATTCCAATCGGCTGTTCCCAGAAGTCATCACAGCTATTTTTGAACAGGACTTTTGTAAAAAGACGCTGAACGCTTTTCAACCAAAGCGTTTTTTGATGAAAACCTGGGATCACATACAGCTTGTCATCATCACTGATCAGACAATACAAACCTGACCTTCTCCAGGAGCATTAGGTCATCATTAGATCCATGATGACGTGCGGGCAGGTGGGCGGAGTCTCCCACTGCTTTTACTACCAGTTCACACTGTTCAGGTGGCCATGGTTGAGAAACACTGCTGTAGATTATTAAATACTTTTCAAAAAAAAAAAAGTGTTGGAGGTAATCTTGGAGAATATTACATTGATAGATTTGATCTGCCTCTTAATAGCGGATCTTCTAATCCAACTTTAGCACTTGGAGGTCTCTTCAGCCAGCCTGCTCAAGTCCCTGCACAGTCCAACCAGCTGATCAACACAGCAAGCGCGCTTTCCGCCCCCACCCTCTTGGGAGATGAGCGAGATGCCATTTTGGCCAAGTGGAATCAGCTGCAGGCATTTTGGGGCACAGGCAAAGGGTATTTCAACAACAACATTGCCCCGGTGGAATTTACGCAGGAGAACCCATTCTGCAGATTTAAGGTAAAGAGGTCTTTCTCTCATCCTTGTGTCGGGATCGAAACATTTGGTTGGCTGGCTGTGGGTGAGCTGTTCCATCTGCTGGGACTTCAGAGATAATCTTCTCTGTGTCAGTGTCCATTTTGAATGCCTCCTTAGTGCTGTGCTGACGCAGGAAAAGAATGAGCATCTGCAACTGAAAAGACAATTGTCTCTTTGACAGGCCGTGGGCTACAGCTGCATGCCCAACAACAAGGACGAAGATGGCTTGGTGGCATTAGTCTTCAATAAAAAAGAAACAGAGATTCGTGGTCAGCAGCAGCAACTGGTGGAATCGTTGCACAAAATCTTGGGTTCAAACCAGACGCTTACAGTCAACGTAGAAGGTGTAAAGACTATGCCAGATGACCAGTAAGACACTTGGATAATCTATATAAACGCAAAAAGAGCCGTGGGGGCACAGTGGTTAGAATGCAATATTTCAGACTAACAATAAAGGAGAATATTTGTAGCTTAGGGTTGGAATGAGGGGTCCTTGGTGTTTTCTGAGCTTGGTGGTTTTCTTGCAGACATTGCATTACCCAGCTAGGTAACATCATCAGTGTTGATGATGTTACCTAGTTTGGGTAAGGAAACATCTGCAAGAAAACAAACTCGGAGAGCACCAAGGACACCTCTGTCAGCGTCCTGGCACTGACATATATAAAGAGGGGAGAAGCTTGAACTTTTGCCTACTAAATCCCTTTGAAGATTCTGTCTCCTCGGAGATGGGAGAGGAGGGAAACATTCCTGTGATCTGACGAAGTAGAGATCAGGAAAGTGACTTGGAAGATAGCCAATGAGAAGCAGAGAATTGGGGATCGGAAAGGGAGGGATTGGGGGGCAAAGGTCAGTACTGACCGCGAAAGAGCCAGGATCAGATCGCTGTGCTCAAATAAAGAGAAAATTTCCTTAAAGATCGGCAGTCTGGAAATTCATTTATTTTGAGATAGCATCGAAACCTGACAACCTCATTTCAAGCTAATTCTGCCCACAGCCTGGAGTTCGATTCTGACCAGGTTGACTCAGCCTTCCATCCTTCCGAGGTTGGTAAAAGGAGGACCCAGATTGTTGGGGGAGACATGCTGACTCTGTAAAACCACTTTTTGATGGTTGTAAAAGCACTGTGAAGTGGTATATAAGTCTAAGTGCTATTGCTATATTTTATCCTGCTATCTATAAACAGCCTGAAGTTTCCCAGACCAAGGCTAAACTTAAGATCTGTTGTGTTGAGTTGGCCTCTGATAAAAGTCTCTCATTCATTTGTCCTCTGTTCACACCACACACTGGAGCTTAAGTGTGTGTGTGTGTGTTTGTATAGCAATAGCACTTAGACTTATATACCATTTCATAGTGCTTTACAGCCCTCTCTAAGCAGTTTACAGAGTCAGCCTCTGGCCCCCAACAATCTGGGTCCTCATTTGACCCACCTCGGAAGGATGGAAAGCCGAGTCAACCTTGAGCATGGTGAGATCTGAACTGTCAAATTGCAGGCAGCCAACAGTCAGCAGGAGTAGCTTCCAGTACTGTACTATAACCACTGCGCCACCAAGGCTCTATATTTATGCATGCTGAATGCATCGGGTGAACTCCATCATCATTATTTTTAAACAATGGCTTAGATTTGGGTTGTATGAAGAGAATTGTACTTTATTCAGTAAATGCTGGTTAAAATGTAACTTAGCTGCAGATGTATGGAGTGCTATTTCTGACGTATTGGTCTCCCCCGTAGCAAAAAAAGAGAAATTCATCCAGAGGTTTTTCATCCTGGGGAAATTCACCAGTACCCTTTCCCTCTTCTTATTATGGCCCAGTAGGACCCAAACAGAAAAGGTATTCTTTTTCCTAGATTTCCATTGTCAGTTCTTAGGATCCACTGTGAGATTTTCCGCTGAAAACAACGGGAACAGAGTAGGGAGAGATCTTACTTCTTTAAAACGTTCAGTCGGTTAAGTTTGCAGCGTGCCACTTGACACCAAATAACTACCCAATTCAAAAACCTTAATCACAGGTTAATCCTCGAACTTGCAACCCTCATTGAGCCTGTAATTTTGGTCGTAAGTCATCGCCATTAAGCAGGCTGACATGTGAGCCCATCGGATTTTACAACCCAAAATGCAGTCATGTGAGGCAGTCATCGGAACTTCAAATCTGGGTTTTTTGAAGTTCACAAATCTGCGTGCCCCTTTTTCAGGGCCCATCGCAACTTTGAGCAGTTGTTAAGCGACCAGTCGTAAGTCGGGGACTGCCTGCATGTCAAATCCGAATCCTTTCCCTGATCTTTTAGAACAGAAATAGTGATCTATGTGGTTGAACGGTCGCCCAATGGGACTTCCAGGCGGGTTCCAGCCACCACCCTGTACGCGCACTTCGAACAAGCCAACATCAAAAACCAGTTGCAACAGATTGGCGTGACCTTCAGCATGGCCAGGACGGAGCTCTCTCCAGCACAGGTTAAGCAGCTGCTTCAGCATCCTCCTGCAGGTAACCCAGGCGTGGTGGGGATAATCCAGCATTCCTTTCATGTTCAAGTGACAGAATGAATGGCTCTTTTTGAGGAAGTGAATGTTTGAGCGATTCTTGGAGCGAATGCCTTTTAAAGGAAGAAAGTTAGCTTCATAAACAAGGGTACTTTGGATTCCGATTTGACTTGCCATTTGGAAAGATTGCAAGTGGTCTTCTCACTAAATCTCTTGTGAGGTAATTTGCACAGTATTTACAGTTTCAAAAGATACCACTTTAGGACAAGAAGGAAAGAATATTTGTATGCTCTGTCAGCACTGAGCATGCAAACCAGTGAGAGGCTTCTACTTAAGAAAAACCAATTTCCTGTGTGTTACATTTAAGCAAGGGAAACTCTATCATTCAGTTGTCTTTGACTCATTAAAAAGAAACTCCCTCCCTCCTTCCTTTCCCCTTTCTCTCTCTTTTCCCTTCCTTCCCTCCCTCTCTTTTCTGTCTTTACCTCTAATTTCCTTCCTTCCTTCCTTCCTTCCTTCTTTCCATCCATCCATCCATCCATCCATCCTTCTTCTTCCTTTCCCTTCCTTCCTTCCTCCCACCCTTCTTCTCCCTTTCCCTGCCTTCCTTCCTTCCTTCCTTCCTTCCATCCATCCATCCATCCATCCACCCTTCTTTTCCCTTTCCCTCCCTCCCTTATTTCCTTCCTTCCCTCCTCCCACCCTTCTTCTCCCTTTTCCTTCCTTCCTTCCATCCATCCATCCATCCATGTTTTATATGGCTTCCCATATCACACAAGTGCCTCTAGGCAGCATACAAAGACTAAAACTACACAGACAAACAGACAGACAGACACCCACACTCTCTGTCTCTCATATAACCCCGGTATTCAAAGATTTACATGAACGAGTCGCAGAAATGTGATTATATTATTTATTTCCTTATTAATCAAATTTATGTAGCTGCCCATCTCACCCGGGGCAGCTATATACTTTAGCTTATACATTCACCATTCCATACTATTAGAAAAGAGAATCTAACCCCTGAGGGTCTGATTTAAATCAGTTCACATGCTAACTTAAAAGGAAAAGCTCTTAGATCTTGATTGGCATGGTATGTTTATTATTTCAGGTAGAACTTCGAGCGTTTTAACTAAACTTTAAAGGCCTAAGGATTAAGACATAAGGGATATTTCCTGTTGAAAAGAAAGGCAAACCTGTTTTTTTTTTAAAAAAATCCTTTCTTACACTAATAAAAGATGAAGTCGGTTCTATTCTTCTCCCTTTACAGGTGTTGATCCAATCATTTGGGAACAAGCCAAGGTGGACAACCCCGATCCTGAAAAGTAAGCGGGCTTTCAAGATGACTCATCCGAAGCGCACCTTTGGAATAATTTGCAAAAAGAATAACAATATTTTCCAGAGTCGGGATGGAGAAATTGAAATAGTTGGTTCAGTAAACAAAACAAAAAATGATTCTTGCTTCAAAATGGCTGCTTTGATAATTAATTGTGGTTTGGAAAAAGCTTTTTTCTCTCTCCCATATTAAATTACCTGTTTGCTTCTCGTCTCCGCAGTTTTGTTCTCCATTTCTTTTTCCTTCTTTCTTAGTCCATCTCCATTTTTCTTCTTTTTGTTAAATGAAAGATATCAATTTATATAAAGTAAAAACAAAGGCTCCTAATTATCTCCATAGGAAATCTTGTATTTATGATGTACAATTACTCTGCAGATTCATAGCACTCTTTCTATTTCTCCCATGGCACCAACAGTATTTCATTTAAATTAGTTTTTCTCAAACCTCGGTGACTTTTAAGACATGGTTGGCTGAGGAATTCTGGGAGTTGGAATCCACATGTCTTAAAAACCACTGAGCTTGAGAAAAATTGACTTAAATTATTGTTCAGTCTATGATCTGCAAGGTAATAATTGCCCCGCCTTTTAAATTGTGTTTTTATTTATTTTTTTCATTTGTATTATCTTATTTTAAGATAAATAGTTTTATTAATGATTACATTCATTTTTAATTGCTGTCCCTATATCACACCGGGCTCCTTTGGGAAGTGGGGATAAAATTGGATGATGGCAATGTTTGACATTCATCTAATTTTTGCTGAATCCATGCTTTTAACTTCCACAGGCTGATTCCAGTCCCAATGGTTGGCTTCAAGGAACTCTTAAGGAGGTTGAAAGTTCAAGACCAAATGACAAAGCAGCATCAAAGCCGGCTGGACGTAAGTGTCCACCCTTTGACCCCGCCCCTCTCTTCCTAAAGGCTTTGACCACAGATAGTGTAGATGGCAATAGACCTATATACCGCTTCATAGTGCTGTACAGCCCTCTCTTAAGATGGAGCTCTGGAGGTGGCTGCTAGATTGAGAGCAGACTCCACCTCTTCCCCCCTCGCTCTCTGCTCCCCACTTGTCCATCTCTTTTACTAATCATATGGATATATTTTTTTGTTTTCTTTTTCTTTGTTTATTTTCTTTATTTTATTTTATTCTATTATTTTACTTTCGCTTTGTTTAAACTTCCTTTTTTAATTACTGTAAGCCACCTAAAGTAATCCCATGGTGAAATAGGCAGCAAATAAATTTAATAATTATAGCAATAGCACTTAGACTTATATACTGCTTCACAGTGCTTTACAGCCCCCTCTAAACAGTTTACAGAGTCAGCCTCTTGCCCCCCAACAATCTGGGTCCTCATTTTACCCACCTCGGAAGGATAGAAGGCTGAGTCTATCTTGAGCCGGTGAGAATTGAATTGCCAAACTGCTGGCAGTCAGCAGAATTAGCCTATAGTACTGCATTCTGACCACTGCGCTGCAAACTAAAAAACTGTTAAGCATCTGTAGACGGAATAAATTCCCAAAACAATATCGTAAATATTTGGTCCTTAGTAGTGTCTAGTTTTGATGTTTGCTGGCTGTATAAGGATTGTCTTGTATAAGTTAATATGTTTATTGCCTTGAACATAGGAAAAGCCATATTTTTGGAACAGAAAATGTTTCCTGTTGCTACTCTGCTGTGTGACCATTAAATCTCTAATGCTTTTGGCTTTTAAGAATTGTTTGGAAGCTAATGTACGATTCCAGAAACCTACAGTCATGAAATCTGTGATGCAGAAACCATGTTAGCCAGCCATCAATGACTCAGTTAAGGAAGGGAGTGTAATAAAGGTAAAGGTTCTCCCCTCGCACATATGTGCTAGTTGTTCCTGACTCTAGGGGGCGGTGCTCATCTCCGTTTCAAAGCCGAAGAGCCAGTGCTGTCTGAAAACGTCTCCGTGGTCATGTGGCTGGCATGACTCAATGCCAAAGGCGTACGGAACGCTGTTACCTTCCCACCAAAGGTGGTTCCTATTTTTCTACTTGCATTTTTTATGTGCTTTCGAACTGCTAGGTTGGCAGAAGCTGGGACAAGTAACAGGAGCTCACCCCGTTAGGCGGCACTAGGGATTCGAACCGCTGAACTGCCGACCTTTCGATCAACAAGCTCAGCGTCTTAGCCACTGAGCCACTGCATCCCTGTTAGGGAGTGTATTAGAAAACTCCTAATTGCTTCTTGGAGGAAAACGTGGATTGGCTCAAAAGGAAGATGACTTTGGATTTTAGACTATTTTAGTACATTCTTGGACCTCAGTGCAGAAACGGTAGTTGGAGAGAGATCATCCTGCTAACAGCTGAGATATTGATAGACAGGTCTTCCTTGTTCCTCTTTCTTTTCTTTTCCTCCACAGCACTAAACTCAGGAAGGATATCTAAAAGCCAGCCTTTTTGCCCAACCATAAAAGAAATAAGCCATTTGTCTTTGATGCTTTAGTCTAGTTCAGACAACAAATGTTATTTATATGCTTGCTTACACATTAATTTCTATACTGCCCAATGCAGAGGTGGCAGTGGTGTATAAACCAGATAAAAGAAGCATCCAACGATTGCCTCAATTAAAATCTTACCACAGTAAAAAAAAAAATTAGAACAATAGCCCCCTAACTCAGCTAGAAGCCAGACACCATTTTTAAAATGTAAGTTTTTAAATGCTAGAATTTAAAGCCTTGATAGATAGTACAAGAGCCTTGATAGTACAGTGGTCTACGCACCCTGTTATTAACACAGCTGCCTGCAATTTACTGCTGGTTCGAATCTATCCAAGGCTCAAGGTTGACTCAGCCTTCCATCCTTTCTAAGGTAGGTGAAATAAGGACCCAGTTTGTGGGGGCAATAAGCTGACTTGGTATAAATATACAAAAGTATGAAGGCTATTGCTTAACGCATTGTAAGCCGCCCTGAGTCTCCGGAGAAGGGCGGCATATAAATCAAATTTTTTTAAAAAAATCTTTGTTGGAATCATAGAGATGCAGTTGGGTTTTGTGCCCAACAGAATTACAAGGAAAGGACGTTTTAGAAGGAGAAAAACATCATCCTGTTTGTTCAAGTAGCGACAGGGAATGAATTTATCCAATATCTCAGGGGGGCTCAGTTGTGTCAGATTAAAGAGTGGGGTTTGTCACAGTTTTAGTGTGTTGAGTGTGCATGTGTGTGTGTGTGCACATGTAGCTAGAGAGAGAGAAAAAGAATTGCAAATGGTCATTTATTTCTAAAATGACAGTGATTCTGAATGGAGTTGCTTCCAGTTCCGTAAATACCCAAGAGAAAATGGAGAAAGGTGAGAAGATTCTAGGGATGGAACCAAAGTGATTGTTCAAAACGAGTTTCTTTGTCTGTACCTCTGAGCCAATCTCTCTTTTATCTGTAGATAATATCAGAAGATATAAGCGAGCTTCAAAAAAACCAGACCACAACCATGGCCAAAATCGCTCAGTACAAGAGAAAGCTAATGGATCTTTCCCATCGAACTTTGCAGGTAAGCCTAGCAGATACTTCTTTTTTTAGCCCTCCAGTAAAAGAAGATTAAGCATGTTCGCATTACCTAAGTTTTAAAAGAGATCCACAAATCTTTAGTTCAGTTAGGAAGTCAACCTGATCAGATGGCCTAAGATTCAGCTGGAGAAGAAAGTATTTTCTAGTCTAATAAATGCATAGAAATGCAGTTACACTTTTAAGAATTACACTTTCCAAAAGTTGCAGTGCTGCTTTATCCATTTATTGAAGTTATATTTAGTCCATCTGCTAGCCTACAAAAATATATGCATTGGGAACAGGAATATTCATAAATATCAGAATGTATGTATTAAAAATATGACATATAACATGTAGTAGAAAATTGCTTGCCAAAGAGAGAAATGAAAAAAACATTTGTACAGGAAAATGCTTATGTTAAGAGAAGTATGCGTAGAAATACCTCCAGTTTTTGGCAACATTTTGCAATCGATGTAGGGATGGAAAAATAATGAGCTAAATAGAGACTGAATTGCTAAGATCTGCTACAAATTCTTCTCATCTTTAATATATAAAGAAAAGTGGTTCCGGATTCTGCAACCTTGATACCATGTTTCCTCGAAACTAAGACCCTGTCTTATATTTTCAGGGAGGGCTTATTTTTGTGGGAGGCTTATTTTAGCACATGCGCTCAAAAGCCCAATTGGGCTTATTATCAGGGGATGTCTTATTTTTGGGGAAACACGGTATAATTAGCCAGATGAACCATGCCTTTTCTCTCTTAGTATATGTTACAGGTTTTACATCTCACTGTGAAACCTCCACATTGCCCTTGTGGCTAAAAGTACTGTATTGTTTGTACTATAAGACATACACACACACACCCAAAAAAATTTGGGTGGAAATGTCTGTGCATCTTATAGAGCGAATGTGGCTGAAGCCCTGCCCACCCGCCAGCCCCCACCCTTCAGCCTCTGCCTCCCAGCAATTTGCCTCCTTGCAGCAAACAGCAAACAGCCTGGTCATCTTCAGCACAGCCTGATTTAGCACAAGCAGCTGGTTGGTGGTTGGATTGGCCTCCCAGAATACCGCCGATCAGCTGTTCCAGGCTGCGAGGATTGCAGCTGGAACTCCCGGAATACTCCCAGAACTCCGGATCCCTGCCACCTGGAACGGGCCGAAAACAGGACGCATGGAAGCTGAAAATGGGGCGCACAGAGGCAGCAATAGGCGGTGGCGATCCCCAGAGCCTGGAACAGCTGATCGACTTCCGGCTGTTTGCTGCAAGAAGGCAAATTGCTGGGAGGCAGAGGCAGATTTTTTTTTTCTTGTTTCCCTCCCCAAAAGCTAGGTGCATCTTATGATCTGGAGTGTCTTATAGTGCAAAACATACAGTAAGCAGCCCTTGTCAGTCACAGAAAACCAGAACAACATTGTGAACAAACAGAGTTGCTTCTTTATTGTTGCTTGCCTGTTTACAGGAATCTTGCCAGACTCACTACATTCTCTTCTATAGAAGAGAATTTTTATAGTTTACTGTTGAACTATGAGGTCCTTGGTGCTCTCTGAGCTTTGTTGTCTTCTTGCAGACATTTCATTACTGAAAATTATCAGTGCTAGTAGGGAGTGGGGTTTGCTCTCATTTTATATACTGCGTTCTCTTGGGAACTTGCCAGATAAAGGCTTCAGGAATCCTAGAGTGGGGGGTCTGGCCTTTGTCACTTCCTTCCCTGCAAGGACTCCAAGCCCATCAGTCTTTTCACTCCTCCTCCTCACCCTAACTGGAGATTCCACCACAAGGTTCTTGGAATGCTGTGGGATGGAGTTCCATCGGAACAAACATGGGCCAGGCTCTCCCTGCTTCCCAAAGGATTAACTTTCTTTACAGAATACAGCTTCTGAGACGTGTAATAATTTTTAAAAAAATATTTGTTGCAGGTGTTAATCAAGCAGGAGATCCAGAGGAAAAGCGGGTATGCCATCCAAGCGGACGAGGAGCAACTCCGGGTGCAGCTGGATACGATTCAGTGCGAACTCAATGCCCCTACCCAGTTCAAGGTGAGCGGCTCAGAAGGTTGCAGTGAGACCCCCCTAACTTAGACATAACTAACCAGAAGAGATTCCGAAGAATGGATCAAATAGTTTTCTGTATTGTTGTTGTGGTCCGCCAGCAGCTTGTGGAGCTGGCAGCGGAGTCGGACAGTGAGGAGGCTGGGGAGGAACATGGGCCAGTCCTGGAGACTGGGGAAGGCTCGGAACAGGGCTCTGTGTTGGAGGCAGAGATGGGGCCAGCGCCATCTGGGAGTTATGTGCAGATTCCAGAGCCTCCAGAGTCGGACATCAGAGAGGCAGAGGAACAGGAGGAGCCTGTTCCTAGTGCGCGCATGAGAAGAGCTGCCAGAAGACAAGAACAGTTAAAACAAAAGGGACAACTCAGGAGTAAGGCCTGATGGGGTGAGCTCCTGTTACTTGTCCCAGCTTCTGCCAACCTAACAGTTTGAAAGCACGTAAAAAATGCCAGTAGAAAAATATGGACCACCGTTGGGTGGGAAGGGAACAGCGCTCCTTGTGCCTTTGGCCTTTAGTCATGCCGGCCACATGACCACAGAGACGTCTTTGGACAACGCTGGCTCTTCGGCTTTGAAACAGAGATGAGCACCGCCCCCTAGACTCGGGAACGACTAACACGCATGTGTGAGGGGAACCTTTACCTTAACCATGATTGCAACTTTAGTGAGAAGTTAATGAGTTAGGTCATCTTTCACCTTACCCAAACTCTTTTAAATTGTAAGTGATGAAATCACACTTTTGAATCCTTTCCCGTACAAAACAACAGCAGTGAAGATCCCTTCCATCTGAGGCACTAATTTTATACACAGAATGGTTTTTTTTTTTTTGTAGATAGGTAGATAATTTTGTAACTTATCTCTTCCAGGGTCGGTTGAATGAGCTGATGTCACAGATCAGAATGCAGAACCACTTTGGAGCTGTCAGATCCGAAGAGAGATACTATATCGACGCAGACCTCTTACGGGAAATCAGACAGGTGTGCAGTGACTGGGATTTATTGTGAACTAAATTGATAAAACATGGGGCTGAAATCTCAGCTCGAATCAGTGAGCTCATGCTCCTCAGTGACTTTTATCTAGATTCGCTATCGTCGATTAAAAAAACTGAATTGCAACACTCTGTAAACATCAGAGAGATACAAAATCTTCTATGATTTCTTCTGGGATTTAGTCTAGAGATCCATAGTTGAAATAGCTACATTGTGCCTTTAATGCTAATGTTTCAGACCCTTGGCAACTTTAAGAAGCTTGTACTTCAACTCCCAGAATTCCCACCTTCTACATCCCTGACAGTCTCCAGTTATATAGACCTCAACTCCTAAAAAACTGAGGAATAGAGAAGGCAGGGAATTGATGTACATATACCTGAAGGCTATCTATGCCGGGGATGTCTGATTTAAAACATAACAGTTAGATTCTTGCATAAAAAGAAGAGAGCTCAATGCTTTCTTGGTTCCAGCATTGTGAAGGATGATGGGAAAGAGGTAACAGTACTTTCATTTTTGATAAAATGGCTTTAAGGAAACTCAGAAGCAAAATCTATGGTAGGATATTTATAATAGAACCATCCTGCTGCCAAATAAAATCTTACGACTAAACCTTGTCGGAATGAGTTCCATTCAGAACCAGAAAATGCCAGTAATAATATTTTGCTAAGATGAACATAAGTGACAGAATGTTGATTAATGTTCATTGATTCCGTAACTAATTACAGAAACATGTTTGGATTAAGAAATTCTAATTTGGAACTGTTTGTGAAATAATGTGAATAGTTCTCGGAAATAATTGCTGCAAAATGAGAGCAAAAACCACACAAGTTTCAGTGCGAGCTCATCTAACTTCTTTCCAGGAATACAGATTCTTTTAGCATATTCCTTTCCTCTGATTACATGCTCATCTTTCCTTTTATCAACCCCATTTGAGATTTCAGAGAGAATGGTGTGAAATTTATGATTTTTTTCAGTGTGCTTATAAAATGCCAGGTGCTAATGTTCAAAATCTGAGCAAAGTTTGGAATACTTTGGAGCCAGTTTGGTGTAGTGCAGGGATGTCAAACTCGCGTTGTCACGTGACATATCATGATTCTCCCCCCCCATTTGCTAAACTGGGTGTGGGCGTGGCCAGCGCGTGATGCATCCGGCCCGCGGGCTTTAAGTTTGACAGCCCTGGTCTAGTGGTTAAGGCACCAGCCTAAAAACCTGGAGATTGTGAGTTCTAGTCCTGCCTTAGGCCTAAAACCCAGCTGGGTGACTTTGGGCCAATCACTCTAGGAGACCATGAATTCTAGTCCCGCCTTAGATATGCAAGCTGTCTGGTGACTTTTGACCAATCACCAGAAGGTGGTGAGTTCTAGTCCCATCTTAGACATGAAAGCCGGCTGGGTGACTTTGGGCCAATCACTCACTCTCATTCCATCCCACCTCAGAGGGTGATTATTATTGAGAAAAGAGGAGGAGGAGGTATGTTCACCCCCTTGAGTTATGTAATAAAAAGAATAAAGGCAGGATAAAAATAACATAAATAAATGCTCAAAAGGAAGCAATCTCATACGATTTCCCCTCTTTCTCTTTTTTAGCATTTGAAGCAGCAGCAAGAAGGACTGAGTCACCTGATCAGTATTATAAAAGATGACCTGGAAGACACAAAGCTGATAGAACATGGCTTGAATGAGAGCATTCCAGTTAGAGGGGGCGTCTTCAGTTGATCAATTGGTCCTTTCCATTGACTCTACGGGCATAGAAAACACCTTGTTCCCCTTCACTGAAATTCACCAGGTGGTTCTTTGGACCATAAATCTTAATGAAGATTCTGAGAGAGTGCCAGGGACTTTACCCTGAAGGTCAAAAAGGGATAAAGGTTCTAGGAAAAAAAACACACCCTGCACTTGATTTTTAAGGTGGAAGGAAATTTTAGACACCGTTCTGTGATTTAAACCTGCGTTTCTGTTACGTTCAGCTATGTCTCATTTTTGTTTTGTTTTTTTAATTTTCTGAACAACACTTCCAGTGTTAAATTATCGGTGGGGAAAATAACACACCTTCTCTGTATGAGAAAGAACACAAAACAACTGGTTTAAAGGAGAAACGCACCTGTCAATGTTTGGGAAAGAAACGCACAGGTCACAGGTTTCCCCCCCCCCCTTTGTGCTTAACAAACACAAAACTATAATTTTATATCGTTGCATCAGAATTTACAATGAAAGGTAACAAAATCTGCTTTCTTTCTGCTATTCAGCCATATGCTCTTTGTAGCGGATCGCTTGTTTTCAAGATTACTACAGATGGAAACTGGATCTAGGAGTCTTAATCTTGCCCGATCACTAATTAATCCGTTGGCCTAAATATCCTGTGAGACTCAAATCCCTATCCACCACCTCCTGTTCTCAAGTAGTACAACAGAAAGCTGCATTTGAAGCTGTGCCTGTTGCTTTAACCCAGGACTCTCCAAACCTAGCAACTTTTAAGACTTAATGGACTTCAACTCTCAGAATTCCTTAGGCTGCCATGCCTTTCTGGGAGTTGAAGTCCACAAGTCTTATTTGGAGACCCCTGCTTTAACATCCCTCTCCTAATGTAAGGCACAGAGGAGGAATTGTTCCCTCTGTGTTGTATTTCCTAAAGTGAAGCTGAAAATGAAAGCCTTACAGTAACTCTGTAAGAAAAGCTTTTTAAAAGGGGTATTGCTTTATTATATTAGAAAGCTACCTGCTGGTTTTTGTTTTGTTTTTTTTTAAGCCAGGAACGGGGGCTGAGGGAATAGCCACAATAACGTGCTGGCCTTCTTTCAGAGTTCTTGGTAGAATGAAACAGCAGCTCTGTTTTAAGTGTTTTTCCATTTGTTGTTATGTTATTAATTGCACCAGGGATAATAAAGGTAGACTGTCAAACTGGACTGTGCTTACAAGTGAGTTGGCTGCGCTAAGGCATCTTGGCATCACTCCCAAAATACAAACTACATAATCCATATGTGTGCATGCGGTAAAGGTAATCCAGGTGTGAAATCAAGCACATGGATGGGAGCTGCTCTCACATTTTGTATTTGTAGTTTCTGAGAATGTGAAGATTGGTCAGTAAATGCAGTTTTAAGACTGTTACTAGAATCTTCTACTTGGCAGCTACAGGCAAATGAATCCCCATGTTGTTGTTGTTTTTCTCTCCATGGTCTTACAAATACTTAGAGCAAAATCAACTCGGCATCGCTCTGGTATTCTCCAAAGTGACCACATCTGCTTGACAGCAAGAAAATGTTTCTGATTGTTACCGATTTGCCAAAATGATTTTGGTCCACGGAGGTAGACAATATTTTTTCCTACTAGAAGAACCTGAATAGATGATGAGAGATTAATTGGATCTTCTTTAATTGAATAACCTTTTAAAAATATAAGATCAAAAGGAGACTAAAGAGAAAGAAGACTTAATGAATATTGAAGATTGGAACCTGCGCTTATGACTGAAATGAAAAACTGTATTTTTGAAATTTAGATGAGCAATGATGGTTAGAACCCAGTTTCTACTATTCTATGTTGATGCCTCTGTACAGTGGTTTTGAAAAATAATTCTGTATACTATAGCGGTTTTGGGAAAATCAAACTGTCTGACAAATCAACATGTAAATGAAATAGTCTTGAAACAAAGATACTTTTTGATTTTTGATTAGACATAATTGTGTAAGACTTAATTTTAAACCTTTCTTTTGCTAATTAATCAGCCAAACTTGGCAAAACTTTTTATTAGACCCACATTGAAACTGTAACAAAAAGGAAACGTCCCGGTCATTGGATACCGTTGATACAACTGTATTATGCTTTAAAATTGAGTAAAGTTATTAAAAGCAATGCAGCTTTGATCACAAGCGTTTGAATGATCTCCAAGCACTAAAAAAAAAAAAAAAAAGCTTCAATGCTTGAAAGTTACTGAGGGAAAATTTTTCCCAGATTTTTTTTTTTCCTGTTGAATTTAAGAAAAGTAAAAGTGGCTCCATTGGTAGCAGTAAATAATTCACAATTTGGGGTTAGTTCAGAGGCAGATTTTGGAGTAAAAGATGAGTACAGAATTAGCAACCTTGTTTTGAGACGGTGGGTTTTTCCTCACCAGCTCAGCTCACGGCGGCTTTGATTTTCACTGGGAAGCCGGTTGTTTGACCAGGCGGAATGCCTCGAGGAATTCGTTGAAGTCGATTTTCCCATCCTTGTTGAAATCAATGCTGCGGGCCAAATCGCGGATGTTATCATCGGAGATATCAATATTCATATGGGAACTGAACAGCTTCCAAATTTGATTGAACTCTTCGAGACAAATAAATCCTGCAGGATGAGGGCAAAGAACACAATCTTTCTTGGGGTGGGGAGGTGGGAAATCACAGCAAGAGCACTTCTATGGCTCCAATTATGTGATTTTTTTTAAAAAAAAAAGTTCTGCCACTTTTTAGATGTACTTGGTTTGCTAAAAAGAGACTTGATTCTGAGATTGCAGCTGCCATCTTGACTTGGCACGTGTGGTCATCCTGTTTCTCTGTTTAGGCAAGGAAATATTCCTGAAACCGCGACTCAAGGAACGCCTGGTTATTTATCCCAAAAATGCTTTTTCAGGAGGCATTTCTGGTTTTTTTCTTTGAAGACGTTTTGCTTCTCATCCAAGAAGCTTCTTCAGCTCTGACTGGATGGTGGGGAATAGAAGGATTTATATTCCCTGCACACAGCTGGTGAAAGCACCTTTGGGGCAACCATGACCTGGATGACTTGAGAATTTCACACCTGGATTACCTTTACCGCTATACAATTTGGGACGAACACCCTTGGGAAAGTGTGGGGGTAGGAATGGTTTTCCACAGGAAAAAATTTCAGACTACAGGAACCATTTGCACTACTTGGGTGACCCCAAGGACACAGATAAATCTCCAGGTGCTTCAACGACCCTCAAAAAAGATGAAAATGACCAGCTGTCTGCAAGGAATATAAATCCTTCCATTCCCCACCATCCAGTCAGAGCTGAAGAAGCTTCTTGGAGGAGAAGTGAAACATCTTCAAAGAAAAAAAACCCAGAAAGTCCAGTTGCCTCCTGAAAAAGCACCTTTGAAACAACCATGGATGACTGAGAATCTCTACAGATCCCTGGTTATTTAATTCCTTATAAAATCAGCAACAACAACATTGTCCTTGCCTCTGCTGGTGTATTATAAAATGCTGGGATAGAAGTTAATACTACTGTACCCTCCACATGCGTATAAAACCATAACACTTGGGCTTTGTACACAAATAATCACTTTGGCTATTAAAAAAAGGAAATCGGCAGATAATAAAAGGCATTTTTACCTGAGCAATCGGTGTCAATCAGGTTGAAGATCGTCTCCAGGTTGGATAAGTTTCGGTAAATGCTTTCCAGCAAACTCGACTGAAGGCGCTGAAAGAAACAAGGCTACTGTTCACGCAAAAGTCCCTTAAATCTTGTTTTCAAAACATAGCTAGAATTAGTCAAATTTGCTTAACATAGGATAAAGCTATGACCTTGAAAACGTATTTATGTCTTGTGTGCATCTATGGAATGATGGTTTGTCAGCCAGTGAGGCTTGCCAAATTCCATGGTTGGCAAGAAATTCCAGGAAGAGGAAGAGAAGGAGAAAAAGAAGGATTAACAAAAGTTGGAAGGGGCCTTGGAGGTCTTCTAGTCTAGCCCTCTGCTCAAGCAGGAGACCCTAGGCAAATTCAGACAAACAGCTGTCTAGTTTCTTCTTAAAAGCCTCCAGTGATGGAGCACCCACAACTTCTGAAGGCAAGTTGTTCCACTGATTGTTTTTGCCGATAGGACATTTCTCCTTAGTTCTAGTTTGCTTCTCTCCTCCTTTACTTTCCATCCATTGTTTCTTGCCTTGCTTTCTGGTGCTTTGGCAAACAGGTTGACCTCCTCTTTTTTGTGGCAGCCCCTCAAATATCAAAACACTGCTAACATGTCACCCCTAGTCCTCCTTTTCACTAGACTAGGCATACCCAATTCTTGCAACCGTTCTTCATATGTTTTAGCTTCCAGCCTCTAATTGTCTTCTCTCTTTCCAGAATCTCGACATCTTTTTTATATTTTTTATAAAAGAGCCTTGGTAGTACAGTGGTTTAAGGCACCCTGTTATTAAGCTGGTTATTAAGACCAGCTGCCTGCAATTACTGCAGGGTTCGAATCTCGCCAAGGCTCAAGGTTGACTCAGCCTTCCATCCTTTCTAAGGTAGGTAAATTGAGGACCCAGTTTGTGGGGGCAATAAGCTGACTTTGTATAAATATACAAAAGGATGAAGGCTATTGCTGAGCACATTGTAAGCCGCCCTGAGTCTTCGGAGAAGGGCGGCATATAAATCAAATTAAAATATATATATATATATGGTGGTGACCAAAAACTGGGTGCAGTATTCCAAGTGTGTTCTTACTAAGTCGTTATAAAGCGTTATTAATACTTCACGTGATCTTGATTCTATTCCTCTGTTAATGCAGCCTAGGATTGTATTGGCTTTTTTGACTGCTGGCTCATATTTAAGTGATTATCTACTAGGACTCCAAGATCTCACTCTCAGTTGCTGCTATTAAGCTAAATTTCACCTGTTTTGACCTAGGCTCCCTTAACAAGTACGAGGCAGGAATAGATCCCGGCAAAATCTCTTTTATTTACATGACTGTGATTTTTTATTAATTTTATCTTTTTTTTAATTATAATTTTTATTAATATATTCTATACACCAATACACAAATAAAATATACAATCCTGCCACCATGGTATAATGTGATTACATTGTCCATAAATATAAAGTCATTCATATTGTCCATAAATATAAAGTCATACATACATATTTGCCATCATATATATACATCATCATATATCTATTCTATCCCAACTTTTCTGGACCCAATCATACCATAGTTTCCAACTGTTATAAAATTCTGAATCTTTTTTATCATTGATCAATCTAGTTAATCTATCTGATTCCGCACACTCATTAATTTTATATATTATTTTCAAATCCATCAGTAAGTATTGATTTTTCCACTCCTGCGCATACACTAATCTTGCTGCAGTAATAATGTGAATCAACAAGAACCATATATCTGATTTAACCTTTGCCCCCAATAGGAAAATCTCGGGCCTTAATTCCAAATTAATCTGTGTAATTTCCAAAATCCATTGCCATATTTTTTTCCAATATTTAACCGCCTGCGGGCAGGTCCACCATTGGTGAAAATAAGTTCCATTACTATAACTGCACTTCCAGTTCACGACTGTGAATTATCTTCATTCACAGTCAGCAAGGTTTGTCCAAACAGTTTTTCAAAGGAATATTTCTCAACACACCTTATCTCGTTTGGCAAGCTGCCACGTAACTTGTTTCCAACCGCAGTACAAGGCAAAACGTGGCACAGAGTCTCTCAGAGTCACGGAATGAACAAATTGTTTCCTGCAAAATCCCCCTCTCCCTGTTCGCTCCTCTTTTATTTCCTATGGGAGGGGCCAATCACCTCCAAGGCGGTGCTTTACTCCTGAGTCGACCCTGCTTTCTGAGTTGTTCTTGTCTTCTGGCAGCTCTGCACATACGCACACTGGGAACGAACTCCAGCTGTTCCTCTGCCTCACTGCTGTCTAGCTCCCTCTCTGCCTCCGACGCAGAGCCCTCGTCCGAGCTTTCCCCAGCCCCCAGGACTGGCCCAAGTTCCTCCCCAACCTCCTCACTGTCCGACTCTGCTGCCAGCTCTGCTGGCTGCCGGCGGGCCACAACATCACCTAATAATCTGTACCTGTATGTTTGATTTTACTTGCCTAAGTGTAGAAGGAGAACATGGCTATTGATAGGTGCAGTGGTGGGTTGCCCCCGGTTCGGACCGGTTCGCAAGAACCGGTAGTAAAACCAGCGGGAGGCCTCACCCACCACCCTGGATGTTGTCATCGGTGATCTGTGCAATCCCATTGCGAACCGGTAGTAAAGGTAAGTAGAACCCACCCCTGGGTACGTGATGCTGGTTCTCTTCATTTCCAGAGACTCTCTAGTGCATTACCTCTTGGATGGAAGATTTCTCTTCCGTCACGATGTCTCTGAGCCATGTCTTGTAGTCCACCTTTCCATTGGTCAGTTGCAATATCAGATGTGGTCTCAGCATCCTCCATGGCAGTCCCAGCTGGAGGACCGACTCGATGGCCTTTGCCCAGTCGTTTACAGTGATGAGGCCTGTGAGAACACAAAAATAAATCGTTTCAGAATGACTTGGTCATGATCAAGTCCTTGAGTTATGACCATAATGGATCCTCGTTTTGGTGGTCGTAGGGTGAATCGGTGATTTTTAAGTAGCAGGGTTGTTAAGGGAGTACGGCAGTCGTAAAGTGAATCAGTGGTTCGCTATGGGCACAGCTTTGCTGAAAATCAAAAATAACCCAGTTTTTGGCAAAATTGTTGCAAAATGCAGTTGCATGGCTGCAGGATGCCTCTTAACAGTTGTAAATCTGCCAGGTTACAGATTAACAGAGTTGGAAGGGACCTTGGAGGTCATCTAATCCAACCCCCTGCCCAAGCAGGAAACCCTACACCATTTCTGACAAATGGCAGTCCAGTCTCTTTTTGAAAGCTTCCAGTGATGAAGCTCCCCCAACCTCTGAAGACAAGCTGTTCCATGGGTTGATTGCTCTCACTGTCAGAAAATGTCTCCTTATTTCTAGGTTGAATTTCTCTTTGATCGGTTTCCATCCATTATTCCTTGTCTGGCCTTCGGGTGCCTTGGAAAATAGCTTGACCTCCTTCCTTTCTGTGGCAGCCCCTCAAATATTGGAACACTGCTATCATGTCTCCCTTGGTCCTTCTCTTCACTAGGCTAGCCGTGCCCAGTTCCTGCAAGCGTTCTTCCTATGTTTTAGCCCCCAGTCCCCTCATCATCCCTAGGTCTGGAGCAGTGGTGGGTTCCTCCCGGTTCCGTCCGGTTCGGCCGAGCCGGTAGCAGTGACGATATGACGTCACCGAACCGGTTCTCCCCCCCCGCCCTCCCACCCACGTTATTCTTACCTTTTGCTTGGTCCCACCCCCAATCTATTGCTGCCTCCTGAGTCCCAGCCGATGACTAGAGGGAAAAAAACTGTTTAAATTCTTGCCGCGGGGCTTCAAAGGGCCGTCCTACAGCTGATCAGTGTTAAAAGCAAACAAATGAGTCGGGTCGTAAGTGCGAGGACTGGTCGTAAGTGCAAGGACCTTCCAGAAATGACTCTGACCAGCTAGCCACGCCCACCTAGTCACATGACATCCAAGCCACACCCACAAATTAAGCCATGCCCACAGAACCAGTAGTAAAAAAAATTAGAACCCACCCCTGGTCTGGAGGTGGCTGATGAGGAAGAGGAGGAACAGCTGGGTCCAGTGCCTGATGCACAGAAGGCAGAGGAGAGGAGAGCAGTGGAAATCTATGGGCTGATCCTTGGGACAGAAAAGCCACCGCTGTTAGCGAAGCCCCACCCTAGCTCTGGGGATAAAAGGCAGGGGGCGGAGATGAATAGATGTGGCAGGCAACTATTCATCTTCCAGCTGGATGGACTTGTTAACCTGCGGTGAGAGAGAAACTTTTTGCCAGGGCTGCTGGCGCTCCTAATAAAGGAATCTTTGCGTTAACTTCAGAGGGTTAGTTGTGTTTGGAGAGCTGGGTCAGAACACTCAGACTATTGGGAGCAATAGGCTGACTCTGTAAACCACTTAGTGTTGTATGAAGCAGTATATCCTTTTATCCTTTCTAAGGTAGGTTAAATGAGGACCCAGTTGTGGGGGCAATAAGCTGACTTTGTATAAATATACAAAAGTATGAAGGCTATTGCTTAGCGCATTGTAAGCCGCCCTGAGCCTCCGGAGAAGGGCGGCATATAAATCAAAATTAAATAAAAATAAAAATCAAATAAATAAATATAAGTCTAAGTGCTATTGTTATATGCCACTTAGTGGCATAGAAATATGATAAATTAAATTAAATTAAATTAAATTAAATTAAATTAAATTAAATTAAATTAAATTAAATTAAATTAAATTAAATTGCTATCGTGGTGGCATCAAAACTCTGCCAAGTTTTTATGGGCAAAGAGCCCATCTCGACTTTCTGACTACTGTCCCCAAAAATGTCTTTTTCTTAGCCTTACCTATGTTCTTCTTATCGTAGCCCCTGAATGCTGCAATGAGTTCTGACCGGTGAGCAAACAATTGCTCCTTTAAAATTTGGTACGCTGACTCCTCCACTCGGCTGGTCCTGGGAGAAAAAAGAAAAAAAAATTATGCCACGTAAAATCGCACGAGAACGAAAACGTTCAGACTGTGCCCTTTCGGGATGACTAGCTTTGGGAAACTGATCACAGAACAGAGCCGTCCTTTGTTCACTGGAATAAATCAGCTGGATCGTGGTTTGTTTCTTTGTTTGTTTTTTAAAAAAACCTCTTTTCTTTTCCTTGAATTATCATTTAATTTTCTCTACAGATAGTTCTCGACTTACTGCTGGTCATATAGTCCTAAAAAGGGTCCTTGGTGGTTTTCATGTAGACATTTCGTCACCCAAACTAGGTAACATTATCAGGGCTAGTAGGCAGTGGTGGGATTCAGCCGGTTTGGGCCAGTTCTGGTGAACCGGTAGTTAAATTGCTGGCTGGCTCCACCTCACCCTGCCCTGCCCTGCCCCTTCCAAGAGTCCCCACATGCCCCATTTTGGCTCCCAGGTAAGTACAGGGAGGCCTAGGCCCAAAATGGGGCATGGGGGTGTACGGCATGCCCCCCTGCGGCCCATTTTCACTCCCAGGAGGCTTCAGGGAGGCCTCGTAGGCCCAAAACGGGCCACAGGGAAGGGACAGTGTGTCCTCCCACGGCCCATTTTTGCTCCCAGGGGGTTGCAGGAGTCCAAGTCCTACCTGCCACACCCCCTTGGCCACGCCCACCATGGCCACGCCCACCTAGTCAGTCATTAGGGCAGAGAACCGGTTGTTAAATTATTTTAATTCCACCAGTGCTAGTAGGGAATGGATTTGGTCTCCCTTACTAGCACTGATGATGTTACCTAGCTGTGTAATGAAATGTCTTGAGAGAGCACCAGGGGCCTTCATTTCAACCCTGCAACCTACTGGCAAATGGCCCTGGCCCCCTCTCTGCCTCCGACGCAGAGCCCTCATCAGAGCCTTCCCCAGACTTCAGGACTGGCCCATGTTTTTCTCCAACCTCCACACTGTCCGAATCTACTGCCAGATCCACTGGCCACTGGCGGGCCACAACAGGCTATAACAACTGTACGCAATGCTGGCTTACCTTTGAGTTATGTTCAGTTGGCGGGATACTCCTTTGGTGGTTTGAAACTGGACAAAATGAGGGATGAGGTCAGGTCCCAATTTGATGTAGGCACCCCGGTTACTGCCCACTGAATAATAGTTTGAAGCCGAAAATATGGTGATGACCTTGTCAAGACAAAACAGAATACAACAGACTTAGAGAAGTCCCCATGTTAAGGTCTCCAAAAATCACGTGTTAATCTTTGCTTTGGTTTAGTCCACATTGGTGGTGGCACGAAGCTCAGTGGTTAAAGACGCTGAGTTTGTCAGCTGGAGAGCTGACAGTCTGGGTTCGAGACCCAAGTGCCGTGCAACAGGGGCCGCTCCCGTGCCTCATCCTAGCTCCTAGTAGCTCGAAATGATGCAAATGCGAGTAGATAAATAGGTACCACTTCGGTGAGAAGTTAACAGTGTTTTGTGCCCCTCGGCATATAGTCATGCTGGCCATGAAGCGTCGTCAGACAAAATCTGCTTTCTTGGCCAAAAAACAGAAATGAGCACTGCCTACTAGAGTCAGACACGACCGGCCAAGGGAAGCCTTTACCTTAATCCACATTTGTGCATTGTTTGATTTTGATTCTCTGATTTTGTTATTCTGTGATTTTGTGATTCTGTGATTTTATGATTTTGTGATTCTTTCCTTTTGTGATTCTGTGATTCTCTGATTTCGTTATTCTGTGATTTTATGATTTTGTGATTCTTCCTTTTGTGATTCTATGATTCTCTGATTTTGTTATTCTGTGGTTCTGTGATTCTGTGATTTTATGATTTTGTGATTCTTTCCTTTTGTGATTCTATGATTCTCTGATTTCGTTATTCTGTGATTTTATGATTTTGTGATTCTTTCCTTTTGTGATTCTATGATTCTCTGATTTCGTTATTCTGTGATTTTGTGATTCTGTGATTTATGATTTTGTGATTCTTTCCTTTTGTGACTCTATGATTCTCTGATGTTGTTATTCTGTGATTTTGTGATTCTGTGATTTTATGATTTTGTGATTCTGTGATTCTTTCATTCTGTGATTCTATGATTTTGTGATTCTGTGAATTTATGATTCTATTCCCCATGCACTTTTGCCATCCAGAAGCTTTTACTGATAGCCTGCACCTCTCCAGCAGCACCCTAAACACCGATCCTCCCCTGAGCCTACCTTCCGATTGTGGTCGACTTCATAACCCTCCGGCTTGCATTCATGAGAGCGGATGATGAACTGCAGGCGGTGTTTCTGCAAAAACGAATCCGTCACATCAGGCCCGAAGTAACAGCCTCCGCCCCTTTCTAAGTTATCTGTGCATCCAGGTTTGGAATCAGGGTCACTCCATAAAATATCTATCACCTATAAGCAAAGTCACAGACAGGAGGTTTTCCAGTTGCTCTATTTTAATTCTGTGCACGAGTCAGGTATGTAAGTCCACATTCAAAATAAATGTCAGCAAGGAATAGCGTCAACATTAGAAATTCTGGAGTTTCAAATTTTTATTAGTTTATCAAAATCTAAAATACAAAAATACGAAGGAAAAAAACATGAAAATAGGGGGAAAATAGGGGAAGGGGAAAAAAGGGGAAAAAATCTAGGATCAACATTCACTTCCAACTCTGGCGCATAATAATACATCCTAACAACAAATGTATTTAATCAGCAAAACCCCAAACCAAAGCTTCGTTTTTTCCCCCCACTCCAAGCACAACATCCAAAAGTGATTCCAAGCAGAAACAAATTTCATTGCATTCTTTTCTTTAAACAAAGCCATCAGTTTTGCCGTCTCTGCTAACTCCGTCACGTTTTGCAGCCATTCCTCCATTGGGGGAATCAAAGTACCCTTCCATTCTTGTGCACAGAATATTCTTGCTGCCGTCCAGGGTGGGTTCTAAAATTTTTTACTACCGGTTCTGTGGGCGTGGCTTATTTTGTGGGCGTGGTTTGATGGTCATGTGACAATTCTTTAGGATTTAGCAGAGGTACTGGTCTACCAGGCTTTTAACTGCTTGCAGAGCTGTACCGGTCTACTCATTTATTTCTGCAGGCACTGGTCTACTCATTTATTTCTGCAGGCACTGGTCTACTCATTTGTTTTTGGAAGCACTGGTCTACCACCACACTGCCTTTTAACACTGATCAGCTGTAGGGCGGCCCTTTGAAGCCCTGCGACAAGAGTTTAAACAGTTTTTTTCCTTCTAGCCAATCAGCTGGGACTCGGGAGGCAGTGAATAGATTGGGGGTGGGGCCAAATAAAAGGTAAGAATATCGTGAGGAGTGGGGGCGGGATGGCCCAGCTCCCAAACAAAGAGAACCAGTTCGGTGACATCATATCGTCACCGCTACCGGCTCGGCCGAACCGGGCCGAACCAGGAGGAACCCGCCACTGTTGCCGTCACCATGTATAAAATCAAAGTTCTATTTTATTTTATTTAAAATCCAGAAGCTCAGCACAAGGTCATATGATCACCTTTTGCGACCTTTGTCTAACAAGCCAAGTCAATGGGGAAGCCAGATTGACTTAAGAACCGGATTACTGATTTATCAACTGCAGCGACTCACTTAACAAGTGAGGCAAGAAAGGTAGTAAAACAGGACAACACATGTCTCACTTAACAACAGAAATTTTGGGCTCCATTGGGGTTGTAAGTCGAGGACTACTACCGGCATACAGTAAATCATGGCTCAGATCTGTGTGACATGAACCTAAACTCAGATTGGTGCAGGGTTGTCATATGATTCACCCTGTCAGCATGATTTCCTCCATTGCAAAAGAGATGGTTTCAACTTCTTAGAAAGAGAATATTTTTTTTTATTACCTACTCTTTGACTCCCTTAGTTGTGGTTGTATTGGGCATGAAAAATCAGGACCATTTGCTGTTGATTTATTGCTCCTGCCTCTACACAAGAATCTGGTCAACTAATAGTCAGCACTGAATTGGCGGCAGATAAGAATTAACAGAGTTCAAGAAAGGTCGGACTTAGGGTCACCCCTAAGTCTAAAGAGCACTTCTTGCAACATTGTCTGTTAGGTACTAACTTGCAGTTGGTGAAATGGATTGCTAAATTTGCGGTAAAGTTGATGGAAAAAAGGACAAAGTTGGTGCAGCAGAATGCGGTAGATTGTAGGAAAGACCATTTGATCTAATAATGTAATTTTAATAGTAGTTTTAAGACCGATTGGGTAGATGCAGGGGTGACATTATAATATAATTTTAACCATATTTAAATTGTATCTCAAATGATGGTATTTTATTCCGATTTCATTTTAGATCGTCTTTTATTCTAATTGCACTTTTAAATCGTGCGTTATTCCAATTTCATTTAAATTGTTTTACCAAACTTTTGTAATGATTTGTTTCTGGAACTCTGCACTTTGATATGGCCTAAGGGCTAATCAATAAATAAATTCATTCATTCACTGAATTGGCGGCAGATAAGAATTAACAGAGTTCAAGAAAGGTCGGACTTGTACGGCTGGTGGGAGCGTAATGACTCTATGCTGATGACTCTCTTGACTCCACCCACAGGCTCTGCTCTTTTTCTCCTACAGGTTGGTCGGCTATTGCTACCTTAAGCTGGGTTCATTGCTACTTTTCTGCTTGCTGGGATTTCGGCAGTTCTCCAAATGCTTACCTGTTCAATGTCATCATCGTCATCGTTTGTGGATTCACTTGAGTCCTCTGAATCCAGAGATGAACTGGGTCCGGAGATTTTCTGGATTCCAGATGACTTGCCAGCAGATTTTGAATCTTCCTGGACTGACTTTTGTCCCCCTTGGGGGATGCTGATTGTGGAACCACTCCTGGTTGGTCTGCTACCTTCAGATGCAGTATAGTCCAACGTTCTTCTTCTCTTTGGTGTTAGCACAGAGGGAATCTAAGTTGAGAAGGACACCAAAGAAATATACGTGACTTAGAACGGCGGTCACCAACTGGTGGTCCACGGACCACTGGTGGTCTGCGAGAAAATTTTAGCGGTCTGCAGAAAAATTACTTGCATTTTTTATATTGAACTAAATCAGGGGTCCTCAAACTACGGCCCCTGGGCCAGATACATGCAATGAACGCTTGTGTTACTGCAGAGAGTTTCCCCCTTTGGGGTCTTTTTGTGTGGGTCGGAGGGGGGCAGAAATTGGCACCACAATTTTGAGAGAAGCTTCTGGTTGGGGGAGGAGGGAAGCATGGCGTGCCAGCAGGAGACACTATGGTTTTCCGGTCGGCTCCACAATTGATAGGGCTTTTGGTTAGGACAGGTAGAGGAAAAAAGGACAGCACACTAGGAGGAGACTCTATGATGCGGGAACTGGACTTCCGGTCGGCTCCAGAATTGAACGGGGGGCTTCTGGTTAGGACCTTTGTGGCTCTTTGAGGGTTTAAGGTTGCCGATCCCTGGTATAGGGTGTTGTGGCTCTGTTGCCTGAGCCTGGGCTATCGACAGATGCAGACTCTGAGAGTGAGGGAGAGGAGTTGGCAAGGCCTCCCTCTCCAGGACCCTCCTCTCTGGCAATGCCTCCAGAGGACACCAAAGGCCAAGAGATAGGCCCAGAGCCAAGCACGTCCCCGCAGCCACAGGTGGACAGCGACAAAGGAGATAAGTGCTGGCTGGATCCTCGACAGCGGCGCAGGGAGAAATGCGCGCAGCAGAGGAGAAGGCATGCCAGAGATTAGCTGAGTCACTGGACTACACCCCACAGGGTATAAATGTGGGTGTGGTGGCCGGTTCAGTTTGTGACGAGCAAAAACTAGAAATAATCCATGATCTCTGCGTTACTGGACTTCTGCCTGCCTTGTCGGACTGCATTTGGACTAATCCTTGTATTGCTGAAACTTTGCTTGCTTTATTGGAATGCTTGCAGTCTAATCTTTGTTTTGTGTGAGTAAAGTCTGAATTGGCAGCTAGCCACTGGGTTGCTGCCAGCTTTATCTTCAAAAACTTTGTCGTGTGGCTTATTAACTCCGGGCCATCTGTGGGGGTGCGTGTGTGGGAAGGGGACAGAACATAGGGTCTCCTGGATGAGCAGTGGGTTAGACTAGAAGACCTCCAACTCTGTTATTCTGCTCTGTTTTGCCACAAACAAAAGCAGGTTCGCTTCTAACGCCATACCTTACATCTCTCAACTTTGGCTAGCCGTTCCAAATCGGTCTTATCGGATATGCCTCCATGTACGACCAGGACCTTCCTGTCAATCACGGTTGCCAAAGGGATGCTGCTAAAAACGTTCTTGATCACCGTCAGGAGTCTGTGGGCATGATCCTAGAGGGAAGAGGAGCAGAGTGCAAAAACTGAGACGCACAGGACAGGGCAGGGGTGGTATTCACTTACCTTTGCTACCAGTTCGCAAATGTGAGCACGCGCACATGCGCAGACCCTTCCACGCATGCGTAGACCGTCAAAAACGGGATGTGATAATGTCCGGGTGGGTGGGCGGAGCTTCCCACAGCCACCACTACCAGTTCGCCCGAACTAGATAGAACCGGCTGAATACCGCCACGGGTACAGGGTCACCCGACAACACAGAAGATGCAATAGGTAGGTAAACCGGAGTACCTTATATTTCCGTGTCACTTCCTTGGTGAACCCGTAGCTAGAGGCAGAAGAGAAGGGAAGGTTTTAAATAGATGCCTTGGAAAGAGAGCAAAACAACAACAAGGACAATATTAAAAGTGGCCACCCAACTCACTCTCAGTACCTCTGTGGCTTACCAAGATAAACAAAATAAAAAATAGATTGCCGTTTCGGCAAAGGTTTTGGGTTCCATACCGGAAATTGATCATATAGTCCTCATGGTTTCCTCTATTCAGGTGGACCTCTTTGGGGTAAATCAAGAGGAAAATGAAGATAATGATCAGGACCTCAATGGAATGCGGGCCTCGGTCAACAAAGTCGCCGTTGAAGACATACAACTTCTGCGGAGAAGGAAGTCCGTTCTGTAAGGAAGAAAAGATCCCTAAAATTAAACTTCAGTAGGATGGCAAGATTAGGAGACAACAACAACAACAACAACAATAATAATAGCCTTTATTATCATTGTACACAGAGGTGGGGTTCACATAATTTTACCACCGGTTCGCCGCACACCAAAAATGTGAGCATGTGTGTGTTGTGGTCCGCCAGCAGCCTGCGGAGCTGGCAGCAGAGTCGGACAGTGAGGGTTAGGGTCCAGGTTCCTCCCCAGCCTCCTCACTGTCCGGCTCCGCTGCCAGCTCCGTAGCCTGCTGGCGGACCACAACAATGTGCAAGCTCGCTTTCCTCTCTCGCGCACCTTCCGCACATGCACATGGCCTTCCACCAGAGGTGGGTTTCAGCAAGTTCTGACCAATTCTGGAGAACCGGTAGCGGAAATTTTGAGTAGTTCGGAGAACCGGTAGTAAAAATTCTAACTGTACCCGCCCTCATCTATTCTCCGCCTCCCAATTCCCTGCTGAAATCGGGATTTTGCGGTATCCTTCCCCTGGAGTAGGGTGGGAATGGAGATTTTACAGTAGCTTTCTCCTGCCACTCCCACCAAGCCACACCCACCAAGCCACACCCACAGAACTGGTAGTAAAAATTTTTGAAACCCACCCCTGCCTTCCGCGCACGTGCTTTGCTCGCTCGCGTGGCTTGCACGCATGCGTGTGGCTTAGAAAATGTGGCTAAACAGGATGGCATAGCACCGGGGCAAGGGGGCAGGGGTGGAGGCAGGGGTGGGGGCGGGCCCGGGCGGGCCCGCCCCCACCCGCAGGTCACCACTACTGGTCCGAACCGGCTGGATACCACCACTGATTGTATATCATGTATACAACGACAAGCCCCCAAGTGAGCCTTAATCGGTGGGGCCCCCGGGTGTGATCGCTGCGTCTGATATTTTCTTGCCGATGTTTCATGATCCAACTAGGTCATGTGATCCCCTTTTGCGACTTTCTGACAAGCAAAGTCAATGGGGAAGCCAGATTCACTTAACAACTGTGTTACTGACTTAACAACTACAATGATTCACTTAACAACTGTGGCAAGAAAGGTCATAAAATGGGGGAAAAACCCACTGAACAAATGTTTCACTTAGCAACATAAATGTTGGTCTCAATTGGGGTCATAAGCTGAGGACTACCTGTACTTTCAGACTTGCAAAGATTTCATGTTGGCCTTTTCTGGTAAATCAGTTTGGAACTATAACTACAGTTGTGGCCAAAATTGTGGAAACCTTTTGTGAAAAGTGTATTTTTCTAAAAGGAGCTAATAACACCACTTTTTGGGGGGGAGTAGTACCATAAAATTAGAAATCAATGGAAAGATAATTTAATCAAGAATGTAATGCAATTTTTATGAAGGATTTGCTATTAGAATAGCAGTTACAGTATAAAGAAGAAAAGTGAAACACGCAGAAAAATCGAGATATACAAAAATGATCACCATAGAAAAAACGAGATATACAGTACAAAAATGATCATCATGTCAGTTAATACTTACACTAGTTGGGTAACCTTTAGCATGTATTACGGCCTTACAAGGTCTTCCCATGGAGTGAACCAAGTCTTTTAGTTCTGCAGCTGTTCTCATGTGAAACCAAGATTGAATGATGGCTTCTATTAACTGGGTTTTATTGCTGGGTCGCTTCTGACTAACAAGTTTCTTTAGTTGGCTCCATAGATTTTCAATTGGGTCAATTGAATTTCAATTTTCAATTGGCTATTCCCAGGCCATTCCAGCAGTGGAATAGGATTATCTTGAAACTCCAAAAAAAGTGGTGTTATTAGCCATCAAACCTCAAAAATACACTTTTCCCAAAAGGTTTCCACAATTTTGGCCACTACTCTAGGTAAAATAAATTTACTTTATTGGAAGGCCGCTTTAACAGAATCTTACATGTCTGAAAGTATATCACTTTTAATTGCTAGATTCATTAGCGCAGGTCCTTCTTAAATTTCTTCCTTTGGCCCTTAAGCGACCGAGGGTCTCTTTATTTGATGATATTTTAGGCAGTATCTCGATTTCCTTTAAGATTATCCATGCAGTCCATTGCAAATGGTGACTAGAATATGGGAGGTTAGGATAATTTCATAGTTGTTAGTCGTGAAGTTGTGTCCGACCCATCGCAATCCCATGGACAACGTTCCTCCAGGCCTTCCTGTCCTCTACCATCCTCTGGAGTCCATTTAAGTTCACGCCGACTGCTTCAGTGACTCCATCCAGCCACCTCATTCTCTGTTGTCCTCTTCTTCTTTTGCCCTCAATCGTTCCCAGCATCTTCTCCAGGGAGTCCTTCCTTCTCATTAGGCAGCCAAAGGATTTGAGTTTCCTCTTCAGGATCTGGCCTTCTAGAGAGCAGTCAGGGTTGATCTCCTCTAGGACTGACCGGTTGGATGGCCTTGCAGTCCAAGGGACTCGCAGGAGTCTTCTCCAGCACCAGAGTTCAAAGGCCTCCATTCTTTGGCGCTCAGCCTTCCTTATGGTCCAACTTTCACAGCCATACATTGCAACTGGGAAAACCATAACCTTGACTATATGTTGATGCTAGCACACTTCAAATTGAAATGCTGTGGAAGAACCAGACTTTTTCAAACTGGCCTTTTGATTTTTTTTTTTCCTTTTGCCTGAATGGATTATTTTTCTTTTTTTTTTTCAAAAAGAAAAAAAAAATGGCCAAAACAGATTCACTGATGTCTGTTGTGTGTTTTATTGCTTCACCGTAGCAAAAATCTAACAACCAGCAAAACGTGGAATTATTTTCTTATACACGGGCTAGGAAGAGTTACCACGTCTTTTCTTGCATGGAAAATTAAGAATTAAGGGTATTTTTTTTAAATAAAGGTTGGTTTATTTCGATTGCTTTTGACATATCGTTACCCAAGCTCTGCTTACCTTGTAAAATATGTGAAACAAGTCGAATATTTGCCCATGTAAGTCTCCTAATGAAAGAAAGGGAGAAAGTGTTATCTCGGTGAAGAATTTGATAAAATCCTAGAATATATAATTGGGAAGAATCTTTAAAGTCAATTTAATCCAGCTCCTTGCACAGTGCAGGAGTTTTATTTAACATCGAGCAGGACACTGCTGAGCTTGAGAGAAGACTAAGGAATCAACATCCCATAATATTTCCTTATTGCTGTCAACCAGCGGTGGGTTTCACATATTCTTACCACCAGTGAGCACATGCTCACTTTGTACCAGGGGTGAAATCTAAATTTCTTTCCTACCGGTTCTGTGGGCGTGGCTTGATGTTTGTGGGGTCATGTGACTGGGTGGGCATGGCTATGTAACCATGTGACTGGGGGCTCAAAAGAAAGAAACTCACTAAGAATGTCCTGCTGGAGCAGGGTTGGACTAGATGACCTCCAGGTCTCTTCCAGCCATGGATTTATGTTTGTTTATGTTTTAATAAATTTATATACCGCCCTACTCCCGAAGGACTCAGGGCGGCGAACAGGCACAAAATAAAATACATAAATACAAAAGTTAGAAACATAATTAAAACCAAATTAAATAATTTAGCCCAAGACAATTAAAAATCCCAATAATTTAAAACAAATTAAAATTTCAATTTAAAAATTTAAAAGAAAGGGGAGAAAATTAGGCCAGGCCGGCTTGCTGGAATAGGAGGGTCTTAAGAGGCTATCCTCTGAAGCTGCGTCTAGTGCCAGGTTTGTAGTCCTTCCTTCCTCTCCTTTTTCTTTCATTCCTTCCCTCCCTTCCTCCCTCCTTCCTTTCTTTCTTTCTTTCTTTCTTTCTTTCTTTCTTTCTTTCTTTCTCTCTCTCTCTCTCTCTCTCTCTCTCTCTCTCTCTCCGATGTTCGTGCGCCACAGCTGTGATCCTCAGAGCCTTTTTAAAAAAACCTTTTGAAAGTGTTTTTTGACTACCCGCTAGGTAGTAAAAAAGTGCTTTAAAAAAGAAAGAAAAAAAGGCTCCGATGATCGCGCGGCACAGCTGTGATTGTCGGAGCCTTGTTTTTATTTTATTTTTTTTTTAAATAATAATGCCATTGCTAGATAAATGATAAATGGGGATAATGATATAAAGATATATACTAGGTTGATAATATGAGAAATATAATTTGTAAAATGAAGCACAAGGGATTTGTAACTGATCGACACACTGTTTGCAATTGTAATGGATGATGGATGTTTTATGTTTTGTTTGTTTAAAAATAAAAAAAAAGTCCAAAAAAAAATGCAAGTAGAAAAATAGGGACCACCTTTGGTGGGAAAGGAACAGCGTTCCGTGCACCTTTGGCGCTTAGTCATGCCGGCCACATGACCCCGGAGACGTCTTCGGACAGCGCTGGCTCTTCGGCTTTGAAACGGAGATGAGCACCACCCCCTACAGTCGGGAACGAGTAGCCCATATGTGCGAGGGGAACCTTTACCTTATCTATCTATCTATCTATCTATCTATCTATCTATCTATCTATCTATCAGTATTTGTATTTATATTATTTATTTTTTCTCTCTCATCTCTCATCTATCTATCTATCTATCTATCTATCTATCTATCTATCTATCTATCTATTGTATCCATCCATCTCAATCATCCTGTATATCTATCTAATCTATTAAATTTATATGCCACCCATCTATATCTATCTATCAATATTTGTATTTATATTATTCATTTTCTCTCTCCTATCTATCTATCTATCTATCTATCTATCTATCTATCTATCTATCATCTATCATCTTATCTATCTATCTTATCTATCTATTGTATCCATCCATCTCAATCATCCCTCTATATCTATCTAATCTGTCTATTAAATTTATATGCCACTCATCTGCGGAGACCAGGTCTCCTTTGCTGGGCCCACAACTGCTATTCTCTTCCTTGCAACTCTGCCAAGGGCTCCACCTCCACCTATTTACAAAAGGTAGACTTACCACACACGGTGATCTCCTCACTGTAGCAGGTAGAGATTCTGTTGATATTTGGCAGCTGGCTGAGATGATGCTCCACCTCTTCGAAGAGTTTTAGAACATAGTAAGGATGAAGCTGCTACTGGGAATAAAGAAAAAAACATTAGAAAAAGGCAGCTGGAGAGAGGTTGAGCCTTGCTCTTCATTACAGATAGTCCTCGAATTACGACGGCAATTGAGCCCAACATTTCTGTTGCTAAACGAGCCATTTGTTAAGTGGGTTTTCCCCATTTAAGTGAATCTGGCTTCCCCAATGCCTTCGCTTGTCAGAAGTTTGCAAAAGCTGATTCACATGACCCTGGGACACAGCAACTGTCATAAAGATGAGTCTGTTCCCAAGTTCCCAGATCTGAACTTTAATCACATGGCCATGGGGATGCTGCAACGGTCATAAATGAGAAAAATGGTCATAAGTCGCTTTTTTCAGTGCCGCTGTAACTTCGAATGGTCACTAAATGAACTGTTGTAAGTGGAGGAACTGCCTATATTTCCAAATGCTGCGAAGAGCAACACGCAGACAAAAAACATGTTTAGTGTATGTGTGTGAATGCACTGGATAGTAGGAAATGTAAATCAACAGTATACCCCTCGACATTACAGGCACTCCTCAACTTATGACGACAATTGAGACCAGAATTTCCATTCCTAAGCAAGATGGTTGTTAAGCGAATTGTCCCCGATTTTATGAGCTTTTTTTTTTTTTTTGCCACAGTTGTTAAGTGAATCCTTCGGTTATTAAGTGAATGTGGCTTGCCGCATTGTCTGAAGGCAGCTGGGAAGGTCGCAAATGGCGATCGTGTGACTCCAGGAGGCTGCAACCATTGTGTTGAGGATCAAGCATCCAAATTCTGATCACACGATCGCGGGGAATGTTGTGATGGTCGTAGGCGCGAGGAACGATTGTCAGTCACCGTTTTAGTACCGTCGTAACTTTTTTTTTTTGAATCAAGTTTTATTATTTTTTCTCCCCCACATTCACCTGCATATTTTATGAATATGCAGAGTATTGACCATATCATAACTTATACAATTTATCTTATTCAAATACATTTTACTCAGTTACCATTTTTGCCAAAATCTTCTTTTTCCATTTTTTTTATCATATCTTAAAATGTATGCTTGTTTGTATAAACAACATCTTTATTCGCCCTCAAATTCTAATTTCTCTGTTTCTACTCATATTTATTCTCTTTTATTTTTTAACAATTCATTCTTTATCCTAGTGCAGTTACACATGTTTGGGGTTGCCTTTCTACCTTCAAACGGTCACTAAACGAAGGCGTCAAGGCCGACTCGCACTTTCACCAATATTCTACTCCGCTTGCAGGTTGACAAAAGGAAGTGGTGAATCTGAATGTAAGGGTGGGGGAAATGGCATCCAAGGTTCCCAGGGGATACTGCTCCCCCCTCAAGGACACCCAGAATAGATGTCCCAGCGTGGCCAGCTGGTTCCCATAACAAAATAAACAGAAGTGATTGGTGGACTGTAATAGACTGTAGAGGGCCCGTAGGGAAAGGAAGACTGAATTATGCTCGTTTTTGCGAGGGAAACTCAGAGCTGGTTTTGCTTCTTCTGTGCCAATGTGGTTTATTCAGCAAAATTTTATACTCTTGGTAAAATAACATCCCAGGAGTTTCTTTTTCTGGATTCACCAACTGGACAGTTGACAGAAGGGTTGTAAGTAACTACCTATAATAGTTGCCTTTTCTTTTAGGAATCTCTGATACATTCCCTTGAAGAGCCGCAGTGGCGCAGTGGTTAGAATCAGTGATGGGTTTCACTTACCTTTGCTACCGGTTCTTCACGCGTGCAGAGCGTATTTGATGACGTCCGGGCGGGTGGGCGGAGCCTCCTGCCTCTGCTGCTACAAGTTCGCCCAAACCAGAGTGAACCGGTAGCAACCCACCACTGGTTAGAATCAGGGGTGGGTTCTAAATTTTTTTACTACCAGTTCTGTGGGCGTGGCTTATTTTGTGGTGGTGGCTTGGAGGTCATGTGACTAGGTGGGCATGGCTAGCTGGTCAGAGTCATTTCTGGAAGGTCCTCGCACTTACGACCCGACTCATTTGTTTGCTTTTAACACTGATCAGCTGTAGGATGGCCCTTTGAAGCCCCGCGGCAAGAGTTTAAACAGTTTTTTTCCCTCTAGTCATCAGCTGGGACTCAGGAGGCAGCAATAGATTGGGGGTGGGACCAAATAAAAGGTAAGAATAACGTGAGGGGGGGGGGGGGGAGGGCGGGGGAGGGAGAACCGGTTCGGTGATATCATATCGTCACCGCTACTGGCTCGGCCGAACCGGACCAAACCGGGAGGAACCCACCACTGGTTAGAATGCAATACTGCAGGCTACTTCTGTGGACTGCTGGCTGCCTGCAATTTGGCAGTTTGAATCTAACCAGGCTCAAGGTTGACTCAGCCTTCCATCCTTCCGAGGTGGGTAAAATGAGGACTCAGATTGTTGGGGGACAATAGGCTGACTCTGTAAACTGCTTTGAGAGGGCTGGAAAGCACCATGAAGCGGTATATAAGTCTAAGTGCTTTGAGAGGGTTGTTCTTCAGTTACTTACTTGATTGTTTCTGAAGGCTTCCAGAACATTAATCGCGTCGTCTGGCGTCAGGGGGAAACCAAGACGAGGCCCTTTGTAACTGACAGGTACCGCCGTAGACTCCAGTGCTTTCTCCAGTTTGCTCTGTTTCATAGCATCCGTCTCCGACAGGATGCGGCTAATGAACTCCCCTTGGCAGGAGTAGAGCAAAAATGTAAATATTTGCAATTGGGATGGCATGCATTTTTATGATATGGTAGAAGTAAGATACATACGTATTTTCATAGACATTATGTAAGAAATTTATTTATTTATTTTATTTATTTATTAAATTTATATCCCGCCCTTCTCCCCGAAGGGACTCAGGGCGGTGAACAGCCGAGAATTAAAATAACATACAATATAAAAGTTAAGATAATTAAAAATAAATTAAATTAAATGGCCTCCCAATTTAAAACCCCTAGCTATAATTAAAAAAACTAACCCATAAAACCTATTCAGGCCAGGCCGGCTTGCTGAAATAAAAACGTCTTCAGGGCCTTACGGAAAGTGCAGAGATCCGGAATCAGCTGTATTCCGGGAGGTAGCTCGTTCCAGAGGGCGGGTGCTCCCACAGAGAAGGCTCTCCCCCTGGGGGCCGCCAGCCGACATTGCTTGACCGATGGCCCCTGAGGAGGCCCTCTCTGTGAGAGCGTATTGGCCGGTGGGAGGTTATCGGTAGCAGAAGGCGGTCTTGTAAATACCCTGGCCCTAAGCCATGGAGCTCTTTAAAGGTGAGAACCAACACCTTGAAGCGCACCCGGAAGACCACCAGGAGCCAATGCAGCTCGCGCAGGAGAGGTGTTATATGGGAGCGCCATGTCGCTCCCGTAATCACCCGCACGGCCGCATTCTGGATGCATTATTATTAGTATAACAATGCATTATTGTATAAATGCATAAATGCATTATTATTAGTATGGGAGAAGGTTAGAGACAGGGGTGAAATGCTCCCGGTTTGGACCGGATCGCCCAATCCGGTAGCGATGGAGGCGGGTGGTTCAGAGAACCAGTAGCAAAAATCCCTGCCCCCCCGCCCATGCCCAGCTGAGCCGCACAATCATCAGAGGCTTTTTTTTCCTTTTAAAATGCCTCTGACGATCCAAGCTGAGTTGCCTGATCGGCGGAGGCATTTTTTCTTTTAAAAGCCTCTGCCGATCAGGCAACTCAGCTTGGATCATCAGAGACTTTTGAAAGCATTTTTTAATAACCTCTTCGCCGAAGAGGTTGTAGAAAAAATGGTTTTAAAAGTAAAAAAAAAAATTGGCCATGCCCACCCAGTCACATTACCCCCCCCCCACCAAGCCACGCCCACAGAACCGGTAGTAACAAATTTTAGATTTCACCACTGGTTAGAGATAAATACTATGTGAAAATTCCAATATGGTTATCAATAATGGAAGCATTGATACACCCAAATATGGTTAATCTTAGAAATATCTTTAGATATAAAGACTTACTTACAGACATGGTGGAAATGAAAGGGAAACAAGAAATGGAAGAACAAGGGAGTATGATGGACTGGTATACGCATACGCAAATACAAGCAAGATATGAAAAAGATGCAAAATTATATGGTTTTTATTCAGAAATGACAGATTTGGATAAGATACTCATGGGAACAGAGGATAAAATAATTTTAAAAATCTATAACTTTCTGCTTAGTATGGAATTAGAGGAAGAACAAGTAAAGGAAACAATGATTCCTTGGGCAAAAAATTGTGAATATTCAATTGAGCTCGATAGATGGCAACAATTATGGGAAAGGAACTATAAACTAATAATGTCCACTGCATATAAAGAGAATCAATATAAAATGTTTTATAGATGGCATATGACTCCGGAAACATTGGCAAAAATGTTTAAAGACAAATCAGCTAAATGTTGGAAATGCCATCAATAATCTTATTATCATATGTGGTGGACTTATCCAAAAGCTAAAGATTATTGGAGCAGAATTAAGATATGGATAGAAGAAATGACTCAACAACATGTTGATTTAAAACCTGAGCTGTTCCTATTGGGTATATTACCAGAGAAAATTAGTAAAGTAAATATATACTTGATTATAGATATAATAAATGCAGCGAGGATAGCATTTGCGCAAAGATGGAAAGCAGAGAAAATCCCTTTGGAAGGGGAAGTAATTAAAAAAATCTTAGATTGTGCAGAAATGAACAGATTAATTCTGATGATTAAAGAGAGAGAGGATATGGATTATTATAAGATATGGGGGAAATTTATGATTGGTTAGAAAAGAGATATAGATAAAGATTATGATAATTAAATAAGGAAAATGTTATAAATATTGTAACAGAGAAATGGAAATTATCAAGGAAGAAATGAAGATAAGAGGAGTAATAAAAAGAAGAAGAAGTCACGGAAGAAACACCGAGAAGACACACGGAAGGAATGATGTATTATTATATCTTGGTTTGTTTTAAAAAATAAAAAAACTTTTTTTAAAAAAAATAATAAATATATTTCAGATATTATGCACACGATCCTTTCCCTCAGGAATCAGAAAAGTTAAGATTGTGGCCACTATTATACAGGTAGTCCTCAATTTACAACAGCTCCTTTAGTGACCGTTTGAAGTTACGACAGCACTGAAAAAAGTGACGCAACTGATTTTTCATGCTTACGACTTTTGAAGGATCCCCATGATCATGGGATCAAAATTCAGGTGCTTGGAAACTGGCATGTATTTATGATGGTTGAACCATTCCAGGGACATGTGATTGTCATTTGAAACCTTCCCAACTGGCTTCCGACAAGCAAAATAAATGGGGGGGAGCCAGATTCACTTAATGACCGAAGGATTCACTTAACAATAAGTGATTCACTTAACAACCATGTCAAGAAAGGTTGTAAAATGGGACAAAACTCAACAACTGTATTCCTTAGCAATGGGAATTTGGGGCCTCAATGGTCGTAAATCGAGGACTACCTGTGGATCTATCTACCTAGACATACACTTACTGTCTTTCTTGTTTTTTGGTGTGATGTGGTCCATGAGATAGTCAAAGAAATGGTTGAGCTGCAGAAGATCAAAAGAATATTGTCAAAACCTGGAAGGAAACATACATTTCTTTTCTTTTTTTCTTATTTTTGTCCTCTGGGGCTATCCTCCTTCACCACAACTGTCAAGGAGAGAAGCAACTTAGAACTAGGGAGAAATTAATCAAGAAGAGAAGCAACCTAGAACTAAGGAGAAATTTCCTCACAGTTAGAACAATTAATCAGTGGAACGACTTGCCTCCAGAAGTTTTATGTATTTATTATTTATTTATTGTTTACATTTGTATAACGCCCTTCTCCCGAAGGACTCAGGGCAGTGAACAGCCAAAATTAAAATACATATAATATAAAATTTAAAATAATTTAAAACAGAATTAAATCGAATTGGCTTCCCAAAAATTAAAACCCATTACCCTTAAAATAACCCATTAAATAGGAAGGTCTTCAAAGCTCGACGAAAGGTCCGGAGGTCCAGGATCAGTCGTATTCCTGGGGGTAGCTCGTTCCAGAGGGCGGGTGCCCCCACAGAGAAGGCTCTCCCCCTGGGGGTAGTCAGTCGATATTGCTTGACCGACGGCACCCTGAGGAGGCCTTCTCTGTGGGAGCGAATTGGCCAGTGGGAGGTTATCGGTGGCAGAAGGTGGTCTCGTAAATAACCGGGCCCTAAGCCATGGAGCGCTTTAAAGGTGAGAACCAATACCTTGAAGCGCACCCAGAAGACCACTGGAAGCCAGTGCAGCTCGCTCAGGCAAGGTGTCACATGGGGGCGCCAAGTTGTGGGTCCTCCTCCTTCACTGGAGGTTTACAAGAAGAGATCAGACAACCATTTATCTGGAATAGTGTAGAGCAGTGATGGCTAACCTTTTACGTCACCGCGTGCCGGCCTGGGTGCCAGAAATGGCACGCGAAACCATCCCGCCTGGACCGTGCGGTCTCGCTGGCCGTCACGCCCATGGGAGCCCCAAAACCCAGAAGAAAACGGAAGAACTTCCGTTTTCCGGCACGGATGCGTGCCTGACGAACAGCTGTTCGTCAGGCACGCGTCCGTGTCAGAAACCAGAAGTTTGGGTGCCGGTTCACGCATGCGCGACGGAACGCTGCTCTTCCGGGTTTCAGCGATCCCGCGTGCACCAAGGCCAGCTGACCGGCATGCATGTGTTCACAGGAATGCGGACGAGGAGCCAGCGAGGCCACGCATCCCTCACGGGATGGTTCTGCGTGCCGCTTCCGGCACGCGTTCCATAGGTTCACCAACACGGGTGTAGAGTATTCTGCCTGAGTAGGGGGTTGGACTAGAAGACCACTAAGGTCCCTTCCAACTCCGTTATTCTGGGAGCTGGCGCTTCCACACACCATACCTTTATATGATCGTGTTCTCCCGCGTATTCTATGGATTGGAAGATGCGCCAGGTGCATCTCCGACGCATTTCGAGCCGGGCGACATAACGTCGATACCACCGCTGGATCAGAATAGCTGATTTAATGACTGAGGTAGAAAAAGAGAGACTCAGAGCAAAGCTGAAAGCATTTGTATCACGAAGCAATCGCTATTATTTAAAAAGCACAGTTTCATTGGAGTACGTTGTTAAGAATAATGAAAACATGATGAATAGGCTGCGTTTCCCCTCCAAAAGACATCTCCGTTGAAATTCCTCAGATCGTTTTTTGTTGTGTTCCTCTGGCAATGCTTTTAAAAACGGGCACCATTTTGGCTACAAGAAGCCCTTGATTTACTTCAACTCCCAGAATTCCCCAGCCAGTCAGTTACAGGAAGTCCTCGACTTACACAACAGTTCATTTAGTGACCGTTTAACGTTACAACAGTACTGACTAAAGTGACTTGTGAGCGTTTTTCGCCCTTGGCACCATCCCCATGGTCATGGGATTAAAATTCAGACTATTGGCCACTGACTCATATTTATGACGGTTGCGGTGTCCCAGGGTCATGTGACCTCCTTTGGCGGCCTTCTGACAATCAGAGTGAAGGGGGAAGCCAGATTTCCCCATTGCTTTACTAACTTAATGATTCACTTATCAGTTGCGGCAGAAAAAGGTTGTAAAATGAGACAAAATTCACTTAATTGTATTAGGCTAGATTAAGATAAAACAGAGAAAATATATGCGAAGATGTTGAAAAGAAGATGTAAATATCTGTTTTTGTTTCTTGGTTTGCTTTTTGTTTGTTTGTTTGGGTTATTTTTTTTTAAAAAACCCTGTTCAATAAAAATTATTATAAAAAAAAAAAGAAATTTTGGGCTCAATTGGCGTCTTAAGTTGAGAACAACTTATAGGGTTTCTCCATCTTTAACATGTGTGGATCAACTCCCAGAATTCCCCAGCCAGATAGCAACATTTCTCAACCTTAACAATTTTAAGATGTGTTTTTATTTAAATTTAAGATGCAAGCTGACTGGGGAATTCTGGGAGTTGAAATCCACACCAGGGGTGGGTTCTAATTTTTTTTTAACTACCGGTTCTGTGGGCGTGGCTTATTTTGTGGGCGTGGTCTGATGGTCATGTGACAATTCTTTAGGATTTAGCAGAGGTACTGGTCTACCAGGCTTTTAACTGCTTGCAGAGCTGTACCAGTCTATCATTTGTTCTTGGAGCGTTCTGGTCTACCCATTTGTTTTTGGAGGCACCGGTCTACCCATTTGTTTTTCAAGCACACTGGTCTACCACCACACTGCCTTTTAACACTGATCAGCTGTAGGGCGGCCCTTTCAAGCCCCGCAACAAGAGTTTAAACAGGTTTTTTTCCTGCTAGACGATCAGCTGGGACTCGGGAGGCAGCGAATAGATTGGGGGCGCGGCCAAATAAAAGGTAAGAATAACGCGGGGGGGCAGGGGGGGCCAGCTCCCGAACAAAGAGAACCGGTTCGGTGACGTCATATCATCACCGCTACCGGCTCGACCAAACCGGGCCAAATTGGGAGGAACCTACCATTGGTCCACATGCCTTAAAGTTTCCAGGTTCAGAAACACCACTCTAAAGTTCACTATTTAGTTCAGAGAGAACAAATCTAGGAAGGATAAATAAAGACACCCAATCAATAATTTGTGGAACCCATGCGAGATCATTTTTAGTGACCACAGGTAGCCTTTGACTTACAACAGTTTGTTTAGTGACCGTTCAAAGTTACAACGCCATTAAAACAAGTGACTTATTGAACATTTGCATCCCATGGTCGCATGATTTACATTCGGATGCTTGGCAAATGGTTCATATTTATGACAGTCACCCTGTCCCAGGGTCATGTGATCACCTTTTGAGACCTCCTTCTGACAAGGAAAGTCAACAGGGATGCCAGATTCACTTAACAACCTAACTTAACAACTGCAGAGGTTCGCTTAACAAGATCGTAAAATGGGGCAAAATTCACTTAACAAATTTCTCATCTTTAGCAACATAAATGTTGGGCTCAATTGTGGTCGTAAATCGTTGACTCACTGTATAGTTCATGACTTGATCACAAATCAAATCTTTACCAGACCAATTCTCGAATACAGCTCGTCTGCCTGGAACCCGCACTGTATATCGGACATTAATACAATTGAGCGAGTCCAGAGGTATTTCACGAGAAGAGTCCACCACTCCTCTGCTCACAATAGAATCCCTTATGCCACCAGGCTTGAAATTTTGGGCTTGGACAATCTGGAACTGGGACGCCTGTGGTCTGATCTAAGCATAGTACACAAAATTGTCTGCTACAATGTCCTACCTGTCAACGACTACTTCAGCTTCAACCGCAATAATACACGGACAAACAATCGATACAAACTCAAGGTAAACGCTCCAAACTCAATTGCAGAAAATACGACTTTAGCAACACCTGGAATGCTCTACCCGACTCGCACAGCTTCAACCTCAAACTGTCTACCGTGGACCTCACCCCATTCCTAAGAGGTCCGTAAAGGGGGTGTGCATAAGCGCACCTTCGTGCCTACCGTCCCTGTCCTACTGTCCCCAATTATCTGTACTTACTTCCTATGTTCATGTTTATGTTCATATTTATACTTGCTACCTTGTACGTTTGACAAACAAACAAACAAACAAACAAATAAAACCAGAATGTGTGGATTTGAATCGCTACAGCCATTTTGGCAGTTCCAACGTGCCTCTGAACTTATCTGGGCTCTTCTTGACCGTTTGTTTCTCCGCCCCAAGGTCTTGGTAACTTCTGTCTGAAGCTGCATCCTTTTTCTGTTGCTTCTTTTCCATGCTTTATAACCGCATTGTTTTAACCGGTACCCAAGGACATTCTAGGGCTCCTAAAACAAACCAAGCCTCCTGATTTGCTGTCAGGTTCCCCATTGTCTTCAATCACCCAATGAGAAAAAACTGAAGAGGAAAGAAGAAACATTCTTGGCTTCCATTGGCCGGAATCTTAGATAGGAGAAGGAGTCCATTCTGAAGCTTGGCTTGAGAACTTCAGAGAATAACAGAGTCGGAAGGGGCCTTGGAGATCTTCTAGTCCAACCCCTCGCTCAACAGGAGATGAACCATTTCAGACAAAGTGTGGTCCAATCTCTTCTTAAAAACCTCCAGCGATAAAGCACCCACAACTTCTAGAGGCAAGCTGTTCCACTGATGAATTGTTCTCACTGTCAGGAAATTTCTCCTTAGTTAGTTCTAGGTTGCTCCTCTCCTTGGTTAGTTTCCATCCATTGTCTACAGAGTTTCTCAGCCATCCAGATCATCGTTGTCCCAAAGATTTGCTTTTAACAAGAGGCAACTGGACTTTCTGATTTTTCCTTGAAGAGCTGAAGAAGCTTCTTGGATGAGAAGCGAAACGTCTTCAAGGAAAAACCAGAAAGTCCAGTTGCCTCTTGAAAAAACACCTTTGGGATTTCCATCCATTGCTTCTTGTCCTGCCTTCGGGTGCTTTGTAGAATAGGTTGATCTCCTCTTCTTTGTGAGAGCCCCTCAAATATTGGAAGACTGCCATCATGTCACCCCCAATCTGTCTTTTAATTAAACTAGACATACCCAATTCTTGCCACTTTTTTTCATCTAGACCCTTGATGGATTAACCTTGATGGATGTAGCTAATCTAGCATTCTGTGTAACACCTGAACCAATAAGGTGCTTCGGAGGCATTTTTAAAGATGAGTAGGAAGACAGTAGATCATCTCCATAATTTCTTCCTAATAGACATGATGGACATGACTTTAACAGATTAACAGAATTGGAAGGGACCTTATAGGTCATTTAGTCCAACCCCCCGCTTAAGCAGGAGACCCTACACCATTTCTGACAAATGGCACTCCAATCTCTTCTATAAAGTCTCAAGTGATGAAGCTCCCACAACTTCTGAAGGCAACTTCTGTTCCATTGGTTGACTGTTCTCACTGACAGAAAGTTCCTCCTCATTTCTAGGTTGAATCTCTCCTTGGTCATTTTCCATCCATTATTTATTCCTTCTCTGGCCTTCAGGTGCTTTGGAAAACAGCTTGACCCCCTCCTCTCTGTGGCAGCCTCTCAAGTATTGGAAGACTTCTATCATGTCTTCCCTGGTCCATCTCTTCACTAGACTAGCCATGCCTAGTTCCTGTAACCGTTCTTCATCTGTTTTAGTCTCCAGTCCCCTAATCATCCTGGTTGCTCTCCTCTGCCCTTTTTCTAGAGTCTCAACATCATTTTTATAGTCTGGTGACCAAAACTGGATGCAGTCCTCTAGGTATGGTCTTACTAGGGCTTCATAGAGTGGTATTAGTATTTCACTTGATCTTGTGATCCCTCTGTTAATGCAATTTAGGATTGCATTGGCTTTTTCACCTGCCGCTGCACACAGCTGGCTCATATTTAGCTGATTGTCCACTGAGACTCCAAGATCCCTCTCACAGTCACTGCTATTAAGCCTGGTTTCACCCAGTTTATATATGTGCTTCGGAAGATAGTAAACCATCATCAGATATCCCCATGGAGCCTACAAGTCCATGAATATGGCCAGGTTTAAGGAAAGCTGTAGGAAATCTTGTGGACAGAAAATAGATCATCTAAAGCAGGGGTATCCAACCTTGGCAATTTAAAAACTGGTGACTTCAACTACCAAAATTCCCCACTCAGCCATGATGAGTTGAAGTCCACCAGTTTTAAAATTGCCAAGGTTGGACACCCCTGACCTAAAGCCATGAAATCACTTTGAAATGTAGTAGACCAAGAGAATCCAAGCTGGGGTTGTGCTTTGGCTCCTCGTCATTAGTGTGTGGCTAATGGGAGTTTGATCTACATAGTCTTTGTTGTTTGAATGCTTAATAAACGTGTTATGTCTTCAAAGTGATTTCATGGCTCATTTTTTTGTCTTTGAAATGTAATAGACCAAGAGAATCCAAGCTGTGGTTGTGCTTTGGCTCCTTGTCATCTCCAAACCTTTCATTAGTGCGTTGCTAATGGGAGTTTGGTCTACATAGTCTTTGTTGTTTGAATGCTTAATAAATGTGTTATGTCTTCAAAGACAAAAAAAATGAGGCGGACACTGTGTAAATTACAGCATGATGTTGGAACGCATCTTCTTTTTAATATATATATATATATTAAATCTGTGAAATCTCATTCACAAGTTTCTGGGCTTTTTGTATCCTGCTGATACAAACTTGTGAATGAGATTTCACAGAACTAGGGCTGAAGAACAGTTTAGCTTACATAGGTGGAACCTGGCTAGAAAGAATATGCCCATAAAAGCCTATGAAAAAAGAAAAAGACATATATATATATGCCGGAAATATATATATTTTTCGGAGTATAAGACATACCTTTTACCCCCAAAAAAGAGGGTGAAAATCTGGGTGCGTCTTATACTCCGAATGTAGCCCCACCCAGCTTCTCAAATGGAGGTTTCAAAGGCTGAAAAAAAGCATCAGAAAAGAAGCTTCAGAAAAGAAGCCCCCAAACAGAGCTTCAGGGGCTTTTTTTTCTGAAGCTCTGTTTCGGAGGTTTCGACATTATCCTAGCTTGTTACAGAATCCTATAAACAGGAAGTCAATAATGAGAGCCACAATTTTGCCCCCCAAAATATATGTCTAGCAGAATGGGTTTCTAATCTTAAATGTCATTCAACGTCTCAGCTCTTTCTCTTGTAGTTGGAAAATTTGGGGTCCCCTTTGACAGCTATCCTGTCCACCTGAACATTACAGTCTTGAATTCCCACCCTATGGCTATGTGATTCTATGTCCTTAACTGCGAATGGTCTTTCCATCTTTAAAATAGCTCCCCATTGCTAAAAGTCTGTAGAGATTCTCAGTCATCCAAGTCATGGTCGTTGCACTGTTGGACTTTTAGCTATACAATTTGGGATGAAGGCCCTTTGAATGGTGTGGTAGTAGGAATGGATTTCCAGAAGAAAAAATTTGCAGAGTACAGGAACCAGGAGCACCACTCAGGTGACCCTGAGGGCACAGATAAACCTCCGAGTGGCCTCAACGATTCTCTAAAAGGATGCAAATGACCAGCTGTCTGCAAAGAATATAAATCCCTCCAATTCCCCACCATCCTGTCAGAGCTGAAGAAGCTTCTTAGAGGAGAAGCGAAACGTCTACAAAAAGAAAAAGCAAGAAAGTCCAGTTGCCTCCTAAAAAACCACCTTGGGAGCCCAGCTGCTAAGCAAGAGAGTTATTACATTAGTTTTGCCCCATTTTTACAACCTTTCTTGACACGGTTGTTAAGTGAATCACTGCAGCTAGGAACATGGTTGTTAAATGAATACGGCTTTTTCAGTGCCGTTGTGACTGCAAATAGTCACTGAAGTGAACAGGCATAAGCCGAGGATTATCTCTATGCCATTTCCATGCAACTCACATCACTCAAATTAAGTTTTATTTCCTTGGGAAAAAAATAGATCTCTTCATTTTATTTTATTTTTGTTAGATTCATTACATACTTTCCAATTATCTGCTTACATCGCTTATTCTGTCAGAACCAATTAGTATACTTATGAAAGGAAGGAGATGACTAAGAAAGCATCATATATGAGTTTAATCAGAGGATCCTCATTAGTGATTATATTAGATTGTGTCAGCAAATCTGGACGAGTGTGAAATCTCGACCTAGAAAGCAGTGGAACGAAAACAGGATTATAGTATTTATAATTCCACAAATTGCCTCTGCTGGAATAGAGTCAAGCCTAAAAGAATATGTGGTTGTTATAATTGGCTTTGTTAAATTACCTAGTGTACTTCTTCACCCTCTAATATGACTTGCATCTTATCCATATGCATTACCTCCTGAGGTAAAAGGTGACACATAATGTAGAGAATTTGCTTAAGTAGGCCATCCATCAGCTGTAGTCAGCAGTTCTGTCCTAAGTAATAACCAGGTTTCTGGATGACACAGAATTGTCTAGGGATGTGTGTGTACACGCATGCACGCACATGTGTGTGTATATCTCTCTATCATCTCTATCTCTATATCTCCCATCTTTATTATTTTTACAAATAGCTCAAGGCAGAGAACATATCTAACACGCCTTCCTCCTCCTATTTTCCCCATAACAACAACCCTGTGAGGTTGGCTGGGCTGAGAGAGAGAGTGATTAGACCAAAGTCACTTAGCTGGCTTTCGTGTTTAAGGCGGGACTAGAAGTCACCCTCTCCTGTTGATCGGCCCAAAGTCACCCAACTGGTTGTCATGGCTAAGGCAGGACTAGAACTCATAGTCACCTGGTTTTTCTACCTGGAGCCTTAACCACTAGACCCAACTGGTTCTCTTTTAAGCTGAGATCTAATGTCTCATGTGGTCTCCAACTTTCAACCTTCCTGGATTCCTACACTTCTGTCCCATCAGAAGAAATGCGTGCAGGATTTTTTTGAGGGCAACCAAAAAGTCAGGCAGAGATGTATAATAACAAGACTCAAACAATAAAACCTTTCTAACTCCAACTTCCCTGTTTGGGGAAAGAGGCAATTCTCCAGGGTTGTTCGAAAGGCTACTAGGATAGGGGCCAACCTAATCTTGGGTTCCAAAGTGTGGGTATAGTGATAGAAAGGCATACTTCCTGGGTTTCAGAAGAAGACACTTTTTAACGGACAGGACACATGTCAAGGGGATCATTTAAGAACTGACCAGCTGATGCAACGAGGGGAATGAGTCAGCAGGGTCTTTGACTGTTATCCCTTTAAGAGCCTATGTAATAAGAGGAGGCCCTGGCTAGAGTGTTTGTTGATTTGTCGCATTTCTTCCCTGCTGTAATTGCTGTTTGTTTAGATGCTGCTTGTAGCACGTGTATGTATAGTATTCCTATATTCCTATTGTAGATTAAAAACACACTATTTGATACAAACCACTGTTGGCTGTACTTGCTCCTGGGTAGATACATGGGACAGACCTGTGCAGACTCTGACAACACAGAGCCTACCAAATAGAGACAATCAGAGAAACAGACCCAGCCTCATGCATGAAGGGCTGTATAGGTGACAATCGGCACCTTCAATCACACCCAGACACCAGCGAAAATCAAAGCAAAGCAAAGGCGTGACATGGGTGTACCAAGTTACATCCATGAATACTTGTACCACTACATTCTGCACCAACTGTAGCTTCTAGGAGTTCCTCCGTAATGTTATTTTACCTTCCTTGCCTCGTTACAGCCCTGGAATAAGCTGTTGGCCTCCACCCAAGAATTAAACCCATCTGACTTTGTTGCCCCAAAGGGGCTTTTCAAAAGAGAGCACCAAGGACCCACATTTTTAAAGATCCATTCTGCAAAGCAGGGAGTTCTTGATCCATCTTGGAAATTAACAGATTGCCCAAACTCATTTTTCCAAGAGTTTTCCATACAGATAGGAGAATAGAGTCACCCTAAATATCTACACGTATATATCTTGACATCGGCCAGATACGTAGATCCAAGGTGGTCCATCCAAGTCCTGATGTCTATCTAATATCGAATGGTTTCAATACATTTTCTCAGGAACAGAGGCGGTATTCAGCCGGTTCGGACCAATTCGCCTGAACTGGTAGCGGAAATCATGGATGCCCCGCCCGGTGCCCCCCCTCGCTCTATGACATCCTATTTAGGCACGTTTTTGAGGCCAGGCACATGCGCGGAAGGTACATGTGACAGCAAAGCACATGCGCTGGAGGCCAGGTGCATGCATGAACATTTGGAAGGCAGGGCGCATGCATGGAAGGCTGGGCATATGCATGGACATGGGAGCATGTGCTCACATTTGCAAACCAGTAGGGAAAGTAAGTGAATACCATCCCTGCTCAGGGACATCAAATAAAAATATAATCATGGTACAGCAATGTCATATTTCCCATATCAGGGAAACCTGATTTTTGTAATAATGGCTAAAATAGCCCATAGGACATGATGTTTGATCAATAAAAGCAGGGATAGAGATATTGTCTCCTAAGTCTGGGACGTTGTCTCTTATCCCATGTCTCTTATTTCAATATCCATTGCCCAACACTAAGGACTGGAATAGGGGTGGGTTCTAAATTTTTTTACTACCGGTTCTGTGGGCGTGGCTTATTTTGTGGGCGTGGATTGATGATCATGTGACAATTCTTTAGGATTTAGCAGAGCTACTGGTCTACTAGGCTTTTAATTGCTTGCAGAGCTGTACCGGTCTACTCATTTGTTTTTGGAGGCACTGGTCTACCCATTTATTTTTGCAGGCACTGGCCTATTCATTGGTTTTCTTTTAACACTGATCAGCTGTAGGGCGGCCCTTCGAAGACCTGCGGCAAGAGTTTAAACAGGCTTTTTCCCTCTAGCCGATAGCTGGGACTCAGGAGGCAGCAATAGACTGGGGGTGGGGCCAAATAAAAGGTAAGAATAATGCAGAGGGGGTGGGGGGAGGGGGGGCAGAACCGATTTGGTGACATCATATCGTCACCACTACCGGCTCGGCGGAACCACACAGAACCGAGAGGCACCCACCACTGGATTGGAAGGCAGTAATTTCCTTTTTCTTCTTTTAAAAATGGTACGTCCGAAGAGAATACTATATACATCAGTTAGTCAGTTATTGTGCATACGCAGTTCATAAACACAGCTGCTGCCTTTGCGTTTTCAAAGATTTTCATTCCTTTGTTTTCTGGTTCAAGAGAGAGAGAAAAGAAGGGGGGGGGAAAGAGAGAGAAAAGGAATATTTTAAAAACATTTTATCGTAAAAAAAAAATCAGCCATGTCACTTACTGGCAGTATGCTCCTTCTATCTCTAATTTTTATTCATTTATTGGATATCATGCTACCCATTGTAATTTTTTTTAAAAAAACCCTCTCTAAGTGGCTTACGTAAAGTTTATTGAATTCAAAATGTAGTTTTATTCTGTACATTGAAAGAAAGGCTTCTATCGTCAAATCTGGAAAAGCCCATTGGGGTATCTCACACCAGATAAAGGTCGACGGAATTCAAGAAAGGTTGCCCTTAGGCTATTCGTGGCAACATAAGGTTTCTATTCTGATGACTCACTTAACACCACCCCTAGTTCTGCCTACTCTTCTCCTACATCAGGGGTGTAAAACTCAATTTCATTGAGAGCAGCATCAGGGTTGTGTTTGGCCTCGGGGGGGTGTGTGGGGGTGACCAGGGGGCAAGGCCAGCTCAATGTCACTCGTGTCGTGGGTGCCTGTGGTGGCCCAAGTGCTCTGCCAGAGAAAACAGGCTCCCAAGCTCTGTTTTTGGCTGCAACAGCCTCCTGCAACCCTCTGTCAGAGAAAATGGAACTCCTTTTCGCTAGCAGAGGCATTGCGGACCAGTCCTTTGCTGTTTCTAGGGGGGGCCCGTGGGCCAGATCTAAGCACCCTGCAGGCCGGATCCGGCACCTGGGCCTTGAGTTTGACAAGCCTGTCCTACACAGTCTGCCAATGGGTCTCTTTTCTTTTGCTGTTTTTTTAGGGAATCAAAGCAGGGGTGGGCATCAGATCCTTTAGCAACGGGTTCGCTGCCCTGTTGCTGGGTGGGCGTGGCCATGGTGGGTGTGGCCTAGTCAGCCACCTGCACCTGTCAGGTTTCGCTGCTATCTTAAATAAACTTCATTCTCAAACGCAAGGTCTCTAATGAATCTTTTTTTTATTTAAGAATAGAAAGAACGACATCCCTGAACTCTTTGTGCAGCCAAAACTGGCACCTCCTTCCAAACCCCTCCCTTTCCGTTCTTCAACCCCAATGTCTCATTGGCCATCGTGCAGATCCATCTCTTCGTCCCAAGCACTTTCTTTTCACAGGAATTCCCCCCTCCCTCTGTCACCCAGGTAACGCTATCTACTAAAGAGCAGGAAACTAGGTAAAAGTTCATCTCAGCATTAAAGCAAAGCTTCTCCCTCTCTCATTCATGTCAGCGCTGGAGGAGATCATAATTTGGAACGCTGACATCACCACTGCGGAGGGGGGCGTTTTTCGCCCTCCCCAGGCTCCAGAGGCTTTCCTTGGGCCTCCGGGAGAGCGAAAACTGCTTGCCCCCGGGGTCCAGAGGTCCTCCAGAGGCCGGAAACAGCCCGGACTTCCGGAACCTCTGGGTAGGCCTATTTTTTAACCTCCCAGACCCTCCGCACGGCCCCTGCACTTACCTGGAATGATGAACAGGCCACGTGGAGACTCCTGGGAGGGGCAGGGCAGGGTGGGAGTGACAGGGTGAGCGTGGCGAGCCAGGGGTGTCATTCAGGGTTCGCCAAACCCCAGCGATTCTTGGCTAGAGAATCGCCCGAACCCTGCCGAACCCCCAAGAGCCCACCCCTGAATCAAAGAAATGAGGATGAAGGCCTTAATAATTTTAGAAGACATGAAGAGTAGACTTGGAATGAAACTTCAAAGGGTCAACAAATGGCCATCAGCATCACAACGCTCAGGACTTACACATTTTCACTCCAGGGTCCTGATAAAAGTCTGATACTTGTCTGGATCCGCGTTACTCATCAAAGTGGTATAAATGGTTAGCCTGATAAAAGAAAAAGCACACAGAGATAAACAAAAACCAGGAGCAGATCACAGTTTCAGTCCAACCCAATTGGAAGAGAATAAAAATCAGATTCATCAGTCACAGTGTCTGTGTTTGCCTGACAATTATTTGGGCAACAAACCTGATGCCATAAATCACAAAGCCACCACATTCAGCCTTTGCGTGATATGTGAGCTCACTGGTGTGTTATGTGACAGACGAATGCCAACCCGTCTTAAATCTAAGATTTACAAGACAACCATCCGCCCTGTTGGACTGTATGGCACTGAATGCTGGGTGGCAACAACAGGGACCGAAAGCTCTCTCCATGCCATGGAAACACAAATGCTCCATTGGATATCGGGCATCTCCCTTCTCGACCACATCACAAATGATACCATTCGACAATATTTTGGTGTGGCACGAATTTATAGAGAAGATGAGAGAAGGCCGACTCCGCTGGTATGGACATGTCCAGAGAGCAGCACTTTCCACCATGGCCAACACTAGAAGTCAATGGCCGGCGACCTTGCGGGCGCCCAAAACAGAGATGGCAAGACACTATCAACAAAGATATGGAGGCTGCGGGCCTGTGCCCTGGAGACACAGCTGACTCTGCAAAGTGGTGTTCAATGATCTGAAAAGCGGATCCTGCACCTGCGAGAATATGCTAGGGAGGAGGAAGAGGAGGAGGAGGAGGAGGAGGAGGAGGAGGAGGAGGAAGAAGAAGAAAGGAGAAGAAGAAGAAGAAGAAGAAGAAGAAAAAGAAGAAGGAGGAGGAGGAGGA